ATCATCAACATGCCCTCACCGGCCACTTTATTAGGTACACCTGTTCAATTGCTGGTTAACACAAATAGCTAATCAGCCAATCACATGGCAGCAAGTCAATGCATTTATGCATGTGGACGTGGTCAAGACAACTTGCTGAAGTTCAAACCGGGCATCAGAATGGGGGAGAAAGGGGATTTAAGTGACTTTGAACGTGGCATGATTGTTGTCGCCAGACGGGTTGGTCTGGCTATTTCAGAAACTGCTGATCTACTGGGATTTTCACGCACAACCATCTCTAGGGCTTACAGAGAATGGTCTGAAAAAGAGTTAATATCCAGGGAGCGGCAGTTGTGTGGACGAAAATGCCTTGTTAATGTCAGAGGTCAGAGGAGAATGGGCAGACTGGTTTATCCTGTCAAACCTTGAAGCAGATGGGCTACAGCAGCAGAAGACCACGCCGGGTGCCACTCCTGGCAGCTAAGAACAGGAAACTGAGGCTAAAATTTGCACAGGCTCACCAAGATCGGACAATAGAAGATTGGAAAAACGTTGCCTGGTCTGATGAGTCTGCATTTCAGCTGCGACAGTCAGATGGTAGAGTCAGAATTTGGCATAAACAACATGAAAGCATGGATCCATCCTGTCTTGTATCAATGGTTCAGGCTGGTGGTGGTGGTGGTGGTGGTGTAATGGTGTAGGGGATATTTTTTGGCACACTTCGGGCCCCTTAGTAGTTGCATGCATTGTCTGAATGCAACAGCCTACTTGAGTATTGTTGCTGATCATGTCCATCCCTTTATGACCACAGTGTGCCCATCTTCTGATGGCTACTTCCAGCAGGATATGCACCACGTCACAAAGCTCAAATCATCTTAAACTGGTTTCTTGAATATGTGGTGGAACGGGAGATTTCGCATGATGGAATGTTTCCAACACCTTGTTGAAAGTATGCTACGAAGAATTAAGGCAATTCTGAAGGCAAAAGGGTGTCCAACCTGGTACAAGCAAGGTGTACCTAATAAAGTGGCCAGTGAGTGTACATCACACCATCTACTCTTTTCTTTTACCATGCCTGCTGCCATCCTGGTGCTGGTTGCCTGGCCTCCACCTGTGATGAATTATGTAGATATCTCTTTATGCTGTGTTACACATTGTTTAATTCTTTATTTTTGGCTGATGTGTTTTGTCTATAGAGATTTATTGTACTGTGAGTACAAATACAAGAGGCTAAAATTGTGATTAGAAATTAATAAGAGACAGAACTTGGTTTCGCACACTGGCAAAATATTCCTGCGAGATGAATAGAGCAATGTGTAATAGAGGTGCATGATGACACAATAACAGCTTATTTCTTTAAATCCTACCCTTTTCACCTCACAGTACTTTCTCCTTTTCTGCCCAAGAATGATTTTATACCATAATGTGCCATAATCCTGTAGTTTTTAATTGAAAAAACAAGCCCTTCTAAAGCTAAAGCAAAGCCTTAAGAAATAAAAAAAAACAAGATGAGTATTGATTTGAGATGTCACCAGCCTACCCCTGGTAACACTGTGATTAATGGTCAGGAGATAAAAATCTTGACTGTTATAAGACATTAAGTGTACTTTTGATAATAATATCTACAAGAAAACACAGCAGCGTATTTTTTGTTTGAGAAAGCTGGCTAGGTTTTAAGTCAACACATCTTTGATGTCATGCCAGAATCAGTAGTTACATTTTCTTTTATCAGTTGGTATTCTTCTCTTGCTGTCAAACAGAACTAAACAGGGTGGTGAATGTCTGCAGCAAAATCACTGGTGCTTAAGTCACCTGAAAAGTCTATCCGCTCTGTTTCACAAACACTTTCACAACTAATTTTATATCATTTAACTTCACTTTAATTGTTTTAACTTATATATTTCAAGTCCTATTTTGTATTTATATATTCATGTATTCATGTGGGAATTGAAACTGTGATATCCGTACTAGTTATTGGAAGTAATTAGTGACTACCAAGACTGATCAGATGTCGTTTATCTCCTCCGAAGTGCCGTAATATGTTTACTGTCATTAAGAATACCCTGAATTCAAATGTCCCATCCACTTTTTTATATTTTAATGAAATAATACACATGCCTGTATAACACTTTGACCTGCCCCACAGGTACTACCACTACCTGTTCACCCACTACCTGCCACAGTCTCTGCGGACTCTTGTGGATCGCACCTCCAACTGTGAGGACATCCTGATGAACTTCCTGGTCTCTGCTGTAACCCACCTGCCTCCAATCAAAGTGGCTCAAAGGAAGCAGTACAAAGAGTTGCCCAGTCCACAGGTAGGTAGCCGTTTGTCTTTCTCACTTGTGCTATTGACACAAATATCAGTTCAGTAGGGGCCTTTCCAAAACTGCTTGCTCCTCCCTCTCCCTACCTACTTCCACTCCGTTTGCGTGTTCATGCGGAGGGTCCGCCACATTGAGTGGCGTCCAAAACCAGTGAGAGCAGAGTGGTAGTGGGTTGTTAAATCCTCAGATGCCAAGTGAGCACCGATGCTGTTTTGTTGAAGGTGTGTAACAAACACCCTTTGCTTGTGTTTAATTAAAAAGGGGTCTTGTCAGATAGACAATAAAACTGTTGTTATTGAATTGTATTTATCTCATGCGAAAATAAAATAGCCTACATTAAAGGACATAATAGAACATGGCATAACTATATACACAGGGGGATCAGTAACAAGCAACAAAGCCATTAAAGAAAAAGTCTTTATACAACTGTTTTAAATACTTCAGACTATATAATGCTTCAATATAAGATTTGATTTATATTGAAATGTTGCATTTGTGAATGTAATATTTAATGAACGAATGAATGAAGTGTTATTTAAAGATAAAGAGGTTTAAATATATAGCCTAGGCTTTTCTTTACAATGAATATCAATGTTTTCATAAAAGAATATAATATTTCTTTTTCATGATGATGTCTAAAGTCACGTTCTTAAAGAAATTTGACACAAACACAAACATGGAATAAATGACAAATGCTTTCAGTTTTGTTATTGCAAAAACCCCACACTTTTCCTCAACATCAATCCTGAATCTTAATACAACTGTTTACTTGATACACATATTATAGCAGTGAGTAGGCCTAGGTAACAGCGGTAATGTCAGATCCTATTTACACTGGGGGAGGGTAGTTCATCAGAAAGTTGTCGCTGTGTTTAAACCCTACGCGGGTTAGGGAGCTCGATTTGGCTGTGAGGGTGACTCCGACCAGAGGACACTCCGTGTCGGAGTGGAAGTGGCGAGGGTCTAGTTTTGGAAAGGTCCTAGGTGACGGTTAATGACAGCGTGTTGTTCTACCTCCCAGGGTGCAAAGAGTGTCCCCTGGGCCAACCCGGAGCACTTCAACCAGCGGCAGGAGTGTGTCAACACCTTCACCAACTGGTTTGGCTACATGCCTCTTGTCCACTCTCAGTTTCGCCTGGATCCCGTGCTCTTCAAAGATCAAGTTTCTGTCCTACGCAAGAAGTACAAAGACCTGGAGAGAGCATGAAAATGGCGGACAAAATGGACAAATATGCTGAGAAGCATAAAGTCTGATCTAGTGGCCTTTTGGACAAACAAATGGACCAATCACAGGTGGACAGTCAAGATGGGATACTCTACGCTGTGTGGGATGTGGACAAAGTGGCAGTGCGGTCCATTTGTGACATGGACAAAGTACAATCATCAGACAGACCCTGGTTGACTGTTCTGGACTATAAACACATTAATGTGAAGAGAAAGGGGCCTATAAATGTTTGAATGGAGTTTCAAATCATTCTCGTACCTCCGTGATACAACGGAGGAGGATATTCAGGGGCCTTGAAAGAGTCCCTGCGATTTAGGCTCTCACTGAGACAGGACAATCTCTATTATCCAAAGAAGGTTAACGTCAAGGGCAACTGGACTGAGTTGACGATGCTAACCAAGTTAACCTTCTTTGGATAACTATGACCTGGATGACTGAGAACCTTCACAGATGACAATCTCTATTGGACAGCAAAAAAAGGAACGCGTGTGAACACTTCAGATGTCAGTGCTATTGCTGTGACAATGAGAAAGGAATGACTATCTCATGCCAGAAGCACCTGAGGGACTGGCATTGGTGCCATGCACTCCAGCTGTCAAATGTGTCTCAGCATTTCTGTGCAGGGACTGTTGCCATGGAAACAAATCATTTCACATCAAAATGCTAACTGTAAAACCAATAAATGATTTATAAATGCAAACTCATGGTGCTGCATAAAGTTAAGAGTTTCTTTTCACTACTTTGCACTCACCCTCTACTTAAAGAAGCACAGGACATATTTTCAGCAGACATGAAGGAACATGATTGTCTTATGATCCATTTTATGACTCTGCAGTAGTAAAACATATCAGTGAGGCCAAAAGTAACAGCCCACATTTGATCCTGTAACTCCACCCATTTTCTTCATATGTTGATCAAGTGAGGAATAGGCAAGAGACTAGATTTCATTCTGATCCTGTGTACATATTTGAATGTACTGTACACTGACTATCCATTAACAGGTCCATCAGTCTGTTACTGTAACTAACTAATCACATACATTATCAATTAATCTGGCAATTAATTGTTTGTTCTGTAAAATGTCAGACAATAGTAAAAAAAAAAAGTGGTTCATTAAGGTCACATTTTCAAGTTGCTTTTTTCTAACCAACAGTCCCAAACCCAAAGGTATTCAATTTGCCTTTATAGAACCACCAAATGGTCAAATCTGAGAAGTTGAAACTACTTCATTTATAGCAATTTGACCAAAGATGGTGGATAAGCCTTGATGTACTTTTTATATATATATATATATATATATATATATATATATATATATATATATATATAAAATCTCAATTGTGAAGGAGATCATGCATTCCCACATCGGCCCCTAGGGTTGAAATTTAACACAATGGAGAGCAGACTGCAAAGTCTGAGATGGCCAATCCTGTATTTTAGAAAGCGACTTTAAAGTATATGTTCAGAAATTTTGTTCAAAAAAAGTTTATTTATACAAAACAGAAATCTACCCAGTAGGCCTACCTTTTGTCCCCCAGTTTACAAAAATAAATTCATAGGCGAGCAAGTCTCGACACAAGCAAGGCAAACGGGTTCATTTTTCTAGCACTTGGGATGCTAATCTCATTAAGCACATGCACGCACGCGCACACACACACACACACTTATGTTCGAATCACCTGAGATACATAGCTGCCAAGGGGCTAATTTGAATTCTGAACCCATAGTGTTTTTACAACTAACAGAGCATAATAAAGGCAATTGTTCCTATGGTAAACACAGTCATAAGATCAGCGTGTGTGCTTTCTGGAAGAATTACCTGCAATGAATTTAAGTCTGTCTGGTGTCAAGTCAGCACCTGGGGGCAAAACAGCATTTATATGGTATTTTAAGAAAACCTTTGTGTTGTTTTTACCTGAGGCATTACAGGTTTCTACTCATTTAAACAGTATGAGAACAGGAGTCTATAACATATCTGAATAGACACAGCGACAAATAACAATTGCAGAATACTTGGCAGACAATAACTGTGTTGTCTGCTGCCTTGTACAAAAAGAGAACAATTCTTGGAGCTGGAGTGTATCAGGTTGACACAAGCTTATCCTTTCCTATTTCATTAATAGTTTCCCCCTCAACAACTTCAATATGATACATAATAAACAGCAGATGTTAGGTGAACTGTGAGTGAACTGTGAGTTTCAGTGACGACAGGCCAACACAAAGGAGGTGTACCTAACTGGAAAGTCCCATATTCAAATTCCAACAGAAATTCCCTTATTTCACCCGGTCTTTGACGTTATGCAGTGCTTGTGTCTGTGAAGGAACGCGTCTCTTAAAAAGAGAGTGGCTCTAGTGGAACTATCATTTCCTGAGCGTCAGCATGGCGTTGACATCCCAAAGCAGGTTCCTCATCTGATCCATCAGAACCTTCATCTCCTGGTTCTTCTGACGTACCTTCTGCAGGTGAACCACAAGACACACAACATCCATTAGTAAAACTCGTTAAAGTGCATGAGCCATAGCTTTAGCATTTGTCATCCTTAAGCAATCAGGACAGAAGCTAGTTTACTCACTATAAACAATCAATAATTCATACATATTTACAGTTACACCTGCTGGAGGAGATCTCTCTCTCGCTCTCTCCCCCTCTCTCTCTCTCTCCCTCCCTCCCCAGGTGCTGGTCATATAATTCGAATATCATCAAAAAGTTGATTTATTTCAGTAATTCCATTCAAAAAGTGAAACTCTTATAATGTATACATTCATTCCACACAGACTGATATATTTCAAGTGTTCATTCCTTTTATTTTGATGATTATAACTGACAACTAATGAAAACCCCAAAATCAGTATCTCAGAAAATTAGAATATTGTGAAAAGGTTCAATATTAAAGACACCTGCTGCCACACTCTAATCAGCTAATTAACTCAAAACACCTGCAAAGGCCTTTAAATGGTCTCTCAGTCTAGTTCTGTAGGCTACACAATCATGGGGAAGACTGCTGATTTGACAGCTGTCCAAAAGACGACCATTGACACCTTGCACTAGGAGGGCAAGACACAAAAGGTCATTGCTAAAGAGGCTGGGAGCTCTGTGTTCAAGCACATTAATAGAGAGGCGAAGGGAAGGAAAAGATGTGGTAGGAAAATGTGTACAAGTAATAGGGATAACTGCAGCCTGGAGAGGATTGTGAAACAAAACCCATTCAAAAATATGGGGGAGATTCACAAAGAGTGGACTGCAGCTGGAGTCAGTGCTTCAAGAACCACCACGCACAGACGTATGCAAGACATGGGTTTCAACTGTCACATTCCTTGTGTCAAGCCACTTTTGAACAAGACACAGCGTCAGAAGCGTCTCGCCTGGGCTAAAGACAAAAAGGAATGGACTGCTGCTGAGTGGTCCAAAGTTATGTTCTCTGATGAAAGTAAATTTTGCATTTCCTTTGGAAATCAAGGTCCCAGAGTCTGGAGGAAGAGAGGAGAGGCACAGAATCCACGTTGCTTGAAGTCCAGTGTAAAGTTTCCACAGTGAGTGATGGTTTGGGGTGCCATGTCATCTGCTGGTGTTGGTCCACTGTGTTTTCTGAGGTCCAAGGTCGCAGCCGTCTACCAGGAAGTTTTAGAGCACTTCATGCTTCCTGCTGCTGACCAACCTTATGGAGATGCAGATTTCATTTTCCAACAGGACTTGGCACCTGCACACAGTGCCAAAGCTACCAGTACCTGGTTTAAGGACCATGGTATCCCTGTTCTTAATTGGCCAGCAAACTCGCCTGACCTTAACCCTATAGAAAATCTATGGGGTATTGTGAAGAGGAAGATGCGATACGCCAGACCCAACAATGCAGAAGAGCTGAAGGCCACTATCAGAGCAACCTGGGCTCTCATAACACCTGAGCAGTGCCACAGACTGATCGACTCCATGCCGCGCCGCATTGCTGCAGTAATTCAGGCAAAAGGAGCCCCAACTAAGTATTGTGTGCTGTACATGCTCATACTTTTCATGTTCATACTTTTCAGTTGGCCAACATTTCTAAAAATCATTTTTTTTGTATTGGTCTTAAGTAATATTCTGATTTTCGGATACTGAATTTGGGATTTTCATTAGTTGTCAGCTCTCTCTCTCTCTCTCCATAGGCACACATAATATCTCAAAAAACAACATCCTTCATTTGAAAATGTGCTTAAGCTGATGCATGATTTCTGCCTTTCACCTATGCCACCAAGGATACCCGTGGCCTGTGTCAGCACTGCCATCTAGAGGCATTTTCAGGGGACTTTGAAATCTAGATATCTTGCTCAGTGTTTTCAAAGTGTCTTTCAAAGCCTTATGGGAAGACCACTTTCATTTTTTAATAGCAAAGAAAAAAGAAATGTCACCCTGACCTGCCAGGTAGTCATATTCACTTCAGTTCATTTCATTATCCCAAGTGGGAAACTTGACTTGCAGTCAAGAAGAGCAAGTACAAAAACAAAACTACAAATTCTAAAAATGTGATCAGTACATACAGTACACTAAAAACACCCTAAAACATAAAACTCTCTCTAAAATGTGAGGTTTCCTGAGACGATTAAGCCGGGTTATTGTAGCAGGGAACAAAAGACTCCAATGCACAAACTGTGTATGAAGTAAGTGCTAATTATTACTTGTGGCAAAAAGAAAACAGGAGCACACCTCTAGAACTTCTTTTCTCTCCTGGTTGACAGCAGGACTGCAGGGCTCCACTTTGACAGTAACCAGCTCCTCCCCAACATACGGCAAAAGCTGAGGACACAAAATACAATCAGAACAGTTTTTCCCCCTCCTGTCTATGAATGCACTGGGTTTTGATAGTGAAAGAAGGCACAGTAAAACAAAAGGCATGAGGTACATGGACAATTCTGCAAATTATTATTATTTCCTAAACAAGCTGAATATTTGAAGCAGAAATATAAGGCTCCTTCCTGACCTCTGCTGGCCCCTCCTGCAGGTCAGAGGTCATCTCCACACAGCGTTCATACAGGAGCCGGAGCTTTCTGAATAGCAAGGCGAGCTGCCGTAGGTGTTCCTGGAGCTTCCCAAAGCGGTCCTGGTACATTGCCTGACTTTGCGTCACACCATTAGGAAGCTACATCAAAGACACACCTCATTAGTTTTAAGTGTCGTTTACATTTTTGGTTCAGTTGGCAGTATAATGTGCAGCTATCAAGACTAGTTGGTATGCAGAAGCCAGTATTAAAATGAAGTTTACACTTTACTTGTTCTTGTTTACTCTCAATTTCCTTTAAAGTAAAAGGTTGATATTGTAAGACACTGTTCAGAATTTCTCTCTCTCACTGATTTTTAAAGTGTATCATATTTAAAAGCATATGGATGGTGATGTGTCAAGCCTGAGTGAAATGCGAGACCACACATTTTTTGAGTACATGGTCCTGATGCTGATCTTTTGCTTCGAATTTTTAGTGCAGTGAAAAGACTTGCTCAGTGTAATTGACAAGGACAAGCTGGAAGAGGCGAGTTATACAATGAGAAACACAATGAGACACAAATAGAGGCACAGATCAGGTAGAGATGGAAGGATGAGTAAAGACAGATGCTGACAAGCATGCCAAGCAGATTGAAAATTACTAGAAGTGCTCAGATTCAGACGTTTGAACATCTACATTTTTTGTGGAACTCAATCTGCTGGTGTGGACCGTAAATGATGGTCAGAAGTTTCACAACATGCAAGTAAGTTGGCCTTGAGTTGAGGTTGTTTTGTCACAAAAAAATATACAAATCAATTATGAAAATAAGTATTCCCTTGAAAAATTATTACAAAACCTCAACAAGAATCCTACAAGAAGGTCTGTGCTGACGTTTCCAAAACCAGGCATTCACGCCATAACATCTTCTCACATTGAGATTTGGGACCCATTCCCTGTCCTTTCCAAACATTATCGTTACCTAACTTGGCTAACAGTATTATGTCCAGTACCTGCGTAGCTCGTGTGATCTGGAAGATCTCCATGGTGCGAGTGACAATGTCCTGGACAGTCTCCTGTCCGATCCGACAGAGGAACACTGGAGAGATCTCTCTCAGGGCTCCCTGAGGGGGCATGGGCTGCTGACCTGGGGCTGATGCAGCACTTGGGGGCATGAGGGGCTGCTGAGGCGGCATCCCTGGCTTCTGAGGCAATGAAGCTGCCATCACCACACCAATCTGCGGGAAAGGGATGCGACTGAGAGAAGTAACAATAAAGGCGACAGCGTCTAAACACGTTGTGACCCCGGTACTCCAAACTTATTCACTAACGTTTACTAACGCTAGAGTAAAAGTCGAGTATTTCCTGAAAGTGTAACGTTAATGTTAACGTTTCTCTACCTACAAACGTTTTAACGTTGCACAAAGTGTTATTGATAACACGACATATCAAAACGTCTACTCTTGTACGCACTAACTTAAACTAAAGATACTAAATAAACAACATATTACTGACTGACTTCTACTGAACAAAGGCTAATCTTGTTGGCTAAACAGGCTAGCCTACAGAATATTATGTATAGCTTCATTCAGCGGTAACGTTAAGCTAGTTAGCCACTAGCCTGCTAGATAGCTAACAGCGAGTGCAGAAAACCGCTTACCTAAATGAACTTCCTTTGGTTATATGTTGTCCAAATGTCTCTTATTCGCTCTAGTAATAGCAAAATATTAATGTTTGCTTATTTATTATTTTAAATAAGACATAATGAGACCTTTCATTTAATTTCTTTCAGAAAGCTCTGCACGTTATTGTTTTCATTGCGTCACTTCCTGGCAAGAAGTATATATTTCCCACCACTAGATGGACACAGTGGTTCATGAGTAAATGTACTGTGAACACCAACCTTACTACAGGACAACACAACAATCTTGGAAGAATTCAGTATTCATATACTTAACAAATAGTTAGAATATTATTACAAGGCTACATTAGATGACATGGTAAATACTAAGCAACATTGAGTGTGGCTACTATTAGTAAGTGAGACTGATAGATTCTACAAATATTCTATTCTGCAAATATTAAGAGCCATAACCTTATTTGTTTAATGTAATTTGACACCATGGTCCTTAAACCAGGTACTGGTAGTTTTAGCAATGTGTGCAGGTGCCAAGTCCTGTTGGAAAATGAAATCTGCATCTCTATAAAGTTGGTCAGCAGCAGGAAGCATGAAGTGCTCTAAAACTTCCTGGTAGACGGCTGCGTTGACCTTGGACCTCAGAAAACACAGTGGACCAACACCAGCAGATGACATGGCACCCCAAACCATCACTGACTGTGTGTAATGTTCTAGTTGTCAAATCCCATTCACAGTTCAGTGACTAAAACACTGTAGTTACACAACCATTGATACTTTATTATGGGATTTTTAGTCAACTTTTTGACTTTTGACCTTCCCAGAACCTACTAAGATATGTTTACATAGCTAGATAAAATAAAATACATTCACGATATAATCTAGCATGCAGTAATAGTACCAATAGTAACAGACGTTTGGGGGTTAAACGACAGTCATGTGAACAAGACTTAATGCCTGGCTACCCCAATGAGATTCAGTAATGGAAAATCACCTGCTTTCTTTAATTGTTAAATAAAGTGCGGCTGATGTAATCCTTGGTTTACGCACCAAAGGTTGCACTCATGGGCCTGAAGTCATAAGGATGTACATATTGCTTTCAATGTGGTGTGGGTTGTACGTCAAAAGGTATTTGATAAAACTAAAAGGCACCTTGTTTAGTTTTAGAATAGAAAAAAACCCCATGTTTTTGCATATATTTTAAATTTCCTCCCAGGTCACAATGGATCAAATTAAGCAGAATGCAAATAAACTGGCAAGAACCGAGAAAAGAAAAAAGAAAACCTTGAACTTTGATTGTGAAGCTGAAATAAGAGCTATTTTACTTTTCCCTGCTCTGTGTCACTGCAATAAATCATTTGTATAATTTCAAATTATTAGTGTCCTGAGGGAGATTTGGTTTGCAGACTTCCATGACAGACAGAAGTCACAGGAAGACATAGTGATAATGTACAGCAGGGATCAAATAATTAAGCATTAGATACATTTGAACATTTTATTTTATTTGGTGGTAATGTTCACAGCAAAACCTCTCCACTAAACTCAATTAAACCAAAAAAGGTAAGCTGTTAGTATAGATTGTATTTAGTTTAGTAACTAAATGTGTTGATAGATCTTCAAACGTATACCGATACATAAAACTATACTCATACCTTTTAAGCAAAAGGTAGACAACTCTGCAAGGGGCTTAACGATTACCCTTAGTCTATTTAGAATTTGCAATATGCACAGTACAGTCTTTTTGGCCCCATTAGTGCCAAAGACCATTTAGAGTTACCAATTAACCTAGGCCAAATAGGCCTACCTGCAACACTAAGGACATTCCCATGAGCCTTAGCTGTACTTTGTGTAGTGCTAGCAAAGACTGTATAAAACGAGTGCTAGTTAGCAAATGCTAAGCATGCTAACATGCTAAACCAAGATGGTGCACATGGTAAACATTAACATCTGCATGTTAGTTATGTTCAGTAGCAGCACATTCATGAGGATGTTGGCATGGTGATAAGGATCCTTCCCCAGTTAATGTTTTTCTAACTTTCATTTGTCTGTTTTGAGTTTTGAGTTTATATGAATGTGACTGTCTTTTTGAGCATATGAAATGTTTAAAAGACCTGTCCTCCTTCTAATTGCATTCTCTCATCTTTATGGCTGGTTTCCATTTACCAACCAAGGCAATAAAACAGATGTAATCATCTCTCATCAGATGAAATATGTCACAAAAAGAGGCCATTAACATACTAGATATAAAAGCAAGACAAGGAAGGCTGCAGTGTGATGTTTGATTATTGACCTCTGGGCATTGATTCTGTGTAAATCCTACAAACACATATTAAATACGCAGTAGCGTCCAATAAGTTATCTTAAAGAGATATTAAAATGCCTGATACCAGGAAATGCGCAGCACATTGATAACACAGCTGATAAGCACTACAAAGGCTTGGCTGTGCTCTCATACAGTAGCTACCAGAGCAACCTATTAGAGGAAGAACTTTGTTTCCTTCTCTGTCCTTGAAGCTGTGTGGTGATCATCCAAAAAAAAAGTGTTATGATTTGAATGTTTTTGTTTTAATTTGGAATTGACTTTAATTGTCCATGCACTTTTCCTTTAATCACCTGCATATGTACATGTTTAGTAGTAAATCTGTGGGTTGCGTTTGTGAACCAGTATCAGTCAGTACTTTAAATACCCCACACAGAGTCCAGGTGAGAAATGTGTAACTTATCAAATGAAGCATTTCAGTCACACACTTCCCTCTGTCATCTTTGACCTTATAAAGTCAAAGTGAGAGGGATTGTCTGTTTACTTTTCCTTAAAAATAGACAACTTGAAGTTAGATAAATTGGATTTAACAAAGCTGGTAAATATTTATTTTTCAAAAGAGAAAATGCTAAGCTTAAAATTTGAAATATCTGTTTCCATTGTCATTTCAATTTTGATATTTATATGGTAATATTGAGTAGAAATTGAACCATACCTAAATGTTATTTTTATTTAATGCGTGCCATGAGGCTGTCACATCGTTGCGTTGTTTCATAGAAGTGATAAGATGCCAGTTTTACCTCAAGTATTTGTACGAGCTCAATATCAAAAAGTAAACATCACGGGGATACATTCCTTTCTGCTTTCTTCATTTACTCAAACAGATCCTTCTGCGAGTCAACAGGCAAGGTGAAATCAAACATGCCTTATTTCCCAAAATTTCCTCAAATTACTCGCCATTGGGGTGGATTAAAGTCAAAGTAAGCAAAATAGAATTCTTGCGTTATCAGAGGAACCCTGGAAGTCTTTGGTGATGGGTTTCTGTGTTCACATTCCATTTTTAGGTAAACTACCTTATCAACTAAGTTTTCCTTAGTTCAAGTTTATCTGAGCTTGGTCAAAAGTGAAAAGTTAAATATTAAATGGATATGCATATAAATAACTGTATAAACTGTATTATTTTATTTGTTTTATTTATATGTTACCATATTTTACACTTAATTAAATGTTGTGTGTGTAGCATGAAGGAACTACAAATTTCTTTTCATTATGCAGCCTTGAGCTGTATAATAAACAACTTTGTACCTTGAAAAAGATTTGTGGCTGTTTCCATCAAGATTCACTGCACTACCGCCAACCTTTAATCTTTGGCAAAAATAAAGATAGTAGTATTTCATTAACAAGCTTTAATGTCAAGGGGTTGAGGAAGTATTACTTCTGCTCAGCAGAGCAGTTATCAGTATCAGTGTTATGGAGAGCTGGCAGGTATAAAAGGAAAGACGATAAAGGTGGGGACAGCCATAACATACGAAGGAAACATCTGAAGACCAAGATGGAGAAAACAATGATGGTTGTCCTCTGTGTCTGTTTCACCTTCATTTCAGTGGACTGCACTGAGGTAAGGGACACTTTTTCTGATTTCTAGTGTGAAACATTATGTGGGACAAATTACCAGAGTTTGTCCACATTCAAAGGGCCGTCGTGGACCAGTGATGAGCAGTTCAGTCTTAGATTAGTGGACACTGGCTGGACATGTGATTTATCTGGATATTTAAACACATAGCACTTGCTATTTTTCTCTTTTACTCATGTGGTAGTCTTTAAGAGTATAGGCAAATGGGGCATTTAAATGCATCTGAAAGTCTAGGCAAATTGAGGATCATTCTTGACCTTGGAAACCACAAGGTACATTTAGTAGCTGATCTTGAGCTTTTTCTGAGCACTTTATTGACTTCTCATTGATGTTGGCATCAAAATGGAAATTTAATCTTTCATTTGTTAACAGTAGTTGATTGTGGGTTTGTAGTGGGTGTTTTTTGTTGACATGTTGTGTTTAATAAAACTGTAAACATGGAAAAAACACTGGTTACTTTACCAATTGGCTCATTGCATTCAAGTAGTTTTTTAAAGCATGTCAAATTACAATTATTACGAGGGTTACTCAGTGGTTCTAATTAACCTCTTGGACAATGTCTTCTGAAAACTTGTTACAAGACATCTAATGTTAAATTTCAACTGTTTCACATGTACGTATGATTATTCTAGCTCCTCCACTGCTATAATTCTGTGACACTGAATATATTAGACCTACTTTACTTTGTCATCCCTCACTAATACTTTATTTTGTTGGAGGGAGCTATTTGGTGTCAGCCACAGCAATGCTCTTATATCTACATGTGACCTATTAGAAAAAATATAAAGCATAGGTTTGGACAAAAGGGGAGATGAAATACAACAACGAGATGCATATACACTGTGTGTAGTCAGGGGACAGTTAGTGCAGGGCAGACATGTACAGTAGGCTATAGTAGGATATATAGTAGTATATCAACCACAGCAATATTCAAAATGTGATTAATGCCTACATGTACTCCGCTGTAAGAGCTCGCGCTTGACCTTTATACGGCGTGGCTCCAAACTATTATACATAGACTCAGATGCACTGTACTGCAGCTTTATCTATGGCATCAACTGATAGCATAATACAGGCAGGAAATAATGACAGTATAACCTGGTGCTGAGTGAAGAAGGGGACAGAGAGTGGAAAGAGAATTTAAACCAGTGATGTGCTACATAGAAGAATATAATTGTATCGTCTTATTACTGTTATTCTAATATTATAATGCGTAGTAGTATCATGTTTTTCTTTAATTACTTTTAGTTCTTTCATACCATTTCTATTTTTACACTTTTGTTTCATAAAGGGTTGCTTCACCCAAGTTACGTTTTCTCACTTATTTCTTGTGGCTGTTTAGCCATGAAGATAATTTGACCATGTTTAAAACGATTTGTGTCTGGAATTTTGTGCTGCTACTCTAATACAATTGAAGAATCCCATTTGTGTGATCATGGAACTAAAATACATTTAAAAAATTTAAAAACAGCAGCATTTATTTTATTAACATTTTGGGAGTGAAATGTGAAGGTCAATATCGATTTCATGTCTGTGTGTCTAAGTACTGAGCTGCATATCTTGTTTAACTTGCTCATAAAAGGAAACGTAAAAACTGCATTTGTGGTTTCAGGGGAAGTTACACACTTGAACTTTAGTCAGGTGACCAAAGTCAAATGTGAATTGTTCTTCTATTTTACAGCAAACTGTAACAGCTTGTACCTCCTGTACAAATGGAACAGATGCAACACTGACCAGCAACAACACTGAACCAACTGGTACCACCAGACCCACAGCAGCAACCACACCACTGCCCACTCACACCACGACTAACGTAACCTCCAACTACAATAATGTAACCACAACAGCACCTCCCTCCAACTCCACCTCGCACTCCACGGCTCAAATCACTTCAACACAGAAGCCCACAATGACCTCTGGAGCAACACAAAGCTCTGTAGTCACGTCAGCTCTTGGTGTGACTAACACTAGAACAACTTCAACTACAACATTAAACGGAGGGTCTGCCTCTTTGTTTGGGTCCTGCAGTCAACTACTGGTGCCTCTGATCTCGATTCTGATCTACGGTGCATAGAACTGACATTGTAACCCAAAATTAAAATCACAGATTCACCTTTCCTCAATAGAAATGTTAGATTTTTGAAAGAGCTTCTTATTTATTGGCTCTTACTTTGACTGTCACGCTTCTGTCATATTAATGTTATGAAGTGCTTTGTTTGCTCTGAGCTGTTTTTCACTTTTGACCAAGAGTCTTCCACACAGTCTCAATAAATCATGTATAATCCCATGCTTCAGATCTATGTTTTAATCACAATGAACAAATATAACCATAGGATATATCTCTGGATGTTTTGGCAAATACAATTGTAATGCTATTGGACACGACATATGGTTTTTAAAAAAGAATTTATAAATAAAACATAGTAGCAACTGGGAGGGAAATGATAAGAACTCCTTTAGGGAAATTGTCAGAGGAAGCTCCCACTGCATTTGCATTTTGGTAATGATATTAAAAAGATATTTAATTTTATTCAAACAACACTGCGTTCAATGTCAGGCTGTTTGTCTTGAACCACCTTTGATGCTTTGTATTGTTTTTCTTACATGGCTTAAGGGTTCTTAGGACATGACAGCAATGCATTTGAATGTATCTGTATAATTACTGCAAACTGATGGCTTTTATAGTATGTGAAATATGATGAGCATGTCTTATGCTAGTAGAGTAGTGTAAGAAAAGTTGTGTATGAGGTAGACGAACAGTGGACCTAGCCCAAAATCATTCAAATCTTTTCGTGAAAATATAGTTTTCTGGTAGTCAGGCTGCTAAATATTCTTTGAAGAATAAATGGTGAATTTAAAACCAATTCAAGTTGAAACTACAGCTCAATGTCTCACAAATGTAAAACAGGGTATGTCCCTGTTAAAATAAGCCCATTTAATTTTGAATGAGTGAGTGAGGGCCATGTCACTATGCAATCTAAATGAGAATTTCTGTACTATATAACACTGAATTCAACAAGGTGAAGGCATTTAAGATATTATTAACATTTCTTACCAAATTCAACAGTCAATCACAGCCATAAAGGGATAGGAATAACTGCGGCCAAGTGGTTGGAGGAGCAAAAACAGCAGAGACCAGGTATCTCCTGCACTGATTTCACTTGGCTCAGTTTTACATTTGTGGTCCATAGACGGGGTGTAGACAGAGGGAAGACTTCTGAAACAGGTATCAGGTGAAATATCTGAATGCCCTATAAAGGACCAGCCTCTGAAAACACACATTTAACAGTCTCGGCAAGGATACACAAGTGTATGACTGGGCCAGGCCCTAAAAAACAAAACAATAAATAGCTGATAAAAACAGTGAGTTTTGTCTTGTCTTCAAGAGGAAATCATCTCTCATCCAACATGAAGTATCTAATCCTAGGGCTGTTTTCACTGGCTCTGCTGGGATTTGTCTGTGCACAGGTAAAAATCTTCTTTACTGGCTATAAAGCAGGTGGAGAGGTGGATTTAAACAAAATGTGAAAAAATCATCGCAGTGAAATTTCTTTTTTGTTTTAAATATCCTGACCTTGTATCTTTATTATTTATTGCTGCATTTTTGTCATTTAAATCAATACCAAAATTTAAATATGCATTTGTAGAGTATGTTTCACAATACTATATATATAATATTGTGCTTCATAGCATCAAATACAATGCCATGTTATGTTATGTCAAATCTCGTTTGCCACCTCTTCCATCCTCCAGATCACACAGACTTCATCACCAGGTACTGTAACGATGACGTACAATAAGACCTCCAGTACAACCAGGACATCCAACTACCCAGGAACCAATCCCATCGGTAACCAGAACCCTGTTAACGTGGCCACTACAACGGGCAGAGAATGGAAGAATGGACAGAGCCACACCTTCAACTCTGTCCATCTGCTGTTTGGATCATTTGTTCTTCAAACACTTTGGCAATGAGCACTCTCTTGAGGCTCAGAGCTGGAGCAAGTCTCTAATTACTGTAATGTTTTAACACATAGCAAATCTCAGTTTACTATAAAACATTTGCTTTAGAGGGAATACATTTTCAGTTGTCTGTGTTAAACTGTTGTCACTGTGTTTATGAAATTATAAAATGAGTTGTGAGTCACAGTGACAGAGCCAGCATATTAATTAACTAACAGACACCTTGGAAAGATGTGAAACAGATTCTGCATTGATATATATATAAAGGTAAAAGCAGATATCTTTAAATCATAATTACTACTGCCACTACTGAGAGTTGCATATGCTAAATCACATTTACACTTTGTATATTCTGTGGGCCTATTTATTGGCCTGTGTGAGAATATTTATTTACTCAATATATTACATGTACAAATTAAAGAATGTATTGTGTGTTCATTTGTAAATTTAGACATGTCAAACTTGTTGTGTTGTGTTGACCTTTGAACAACTGGGTTTTTTGTGTGTAAGTGTGTGTGACTAGGTATCATTATATGCACATTATGTCCAAAAACCAATAAACATCGACTAAACAGTCGGAAACATTACAAATAATCACTCGTGTGTAATGTGTAATATTTGTATTCACAATATACTACTCCCAGTGGAGGCTCTAGCTGGTTGATATATTGTATGTCGTCACTTTGCAAAGGCAGAACAAAGTAAAATAAAAGGAATACAATTAAATCAAGAATAAAAATAATAAAAGAACAAACAACAAAAAAATCTACTACTATGACCTTATCTATTTACTTTCAAAAGATATGTTGTTTTAGTGATTTGTTTCAAAATGATACCTAAATAAATCCATGTTTATGAAATCTGTAACAGCTTGGGCACTGTTGCCCTCTGCTGTCTCAGAATGTCCACAGAAACATGTGCAGTTGTTGTGAAAGCTTGTGAGGAAGCCAGTGAGCTGAACTCGGCTTACTATTCATTTCACTGGGTGAAAATACTAACGATATGCAGAGTGACTATCTCAAAAAAACTTTATTGTGGGCTACCTGCAATCAAGGTTCCCTTTAAGGACGACAGCTTTTGCAGTGGTGCGCGGACAATTTCCTGTAATTAAAAATAAAGAAAACAAGAGAGATGGAAATGGAGTGAAATGGGCAAAACATGCAAATACCTCGGAACTGAAATAGACAATACACTTAACTTTGGGGACTGTGCCACTTCAAAAATCAAGAAACTGCAGCAGAAAATGTTATTTTAGTAAACACATTTAGAGTGTTTTGTCTTTTGGTCTTATATGTTTGCTTATATAACATGTGCAAACCAAACCAAACCACTCAGTAGCAAAGTACCAAAAACCACACAAACTTAAGATCTCAATGATAATTTCTGTGAATGAGTCCTAACAATAACCTTTATCCTGCACTTGAGGTGTAACAGATAAGGAAACAATATTGTAACCTATTTGTTGGTCAGTTTGTCAATAATCCAACAAGAGCAATAATGAATGAATAATTTTCTCTTTGTGATTAATCTAATGGCCTCAGTTGGACAAAATTGCACCCACCAATGTCTAAATACTTTACATGAAGCTGCATTAGTAAGTAAGTATTTTTAGTGACAAGGGGGAAAAAGCACCAGAATGGTGTGAGTGGTGAGCACTTGTTTATTATTGCAAAGTACGAAGTGATAAGGCTGTAGAAATTGTGCAAAGGAGAAGAATGCCTTCCTCTCATAAACACACATGCATCACACGCACCTCCCCATCCAACTTCCTGGGTTCAGAGTCAGCTTGACTGTACGTCATAAATTCACACCTATTGAACTGTGGTATTTTTGTATAAAAGCAAGAACAAAAAGTTTCCCAGAAGAGAGTGGAAGTAGACCAGGTTACAGTGGGAGAACTTTCACAGCACCAAAAATCACAGCAGCCTGGCTACTGTGCAACAGGACATTTTCAATATTATTTCTGGTGCACCTCTGCCTCCTTTTAGCTCTCCACCATGAAGATACTTGCTCTGGGATTTTGCATACTGGCTCTGCTGACATTTGGAAAGGTAAATATTTGAAAAGCTATTAAATAGTTCTTTAAGAAAATATTCCAAAACACAGTACTATCCCTTTAGATTTTTTGCACTTTGCACATAAAAATTTACTAACAAACTGTCAAAAACCAATTCATTTTTTTCACTTGGCAGAGTCAGACCTCTTACTTGTCCTATTGTCCTGAAAAGGTCAGACATGTGATTTTATTATTATGGTGTCATGGTGGGATACTAATGTAATACAAAATGCTTATTTTAACTGTTTGATCATTAGGATTTTCTGAAATTAAACAGACAATCATGAAGCCTCTGTTTTTAAAACCTCACTTACATTTGTGGAACAAAATGTTTTTCTGATGGAATACACTAAAGGTTAGTAAAAGAGCAGAGATTAAACTATAATCCGTTCCAACATGACAAGGGAGTAATAATGTTATGAGATCATGCTGAAGTTGAAAACAAGTACGTTAATAGAAGTAGAAGTATTGTTGGCATACATATTAGAGACGCAATTTTCTTGGCCAGTCGGACCTACTGATTCTACTAATTCTAAGAAGAAAAACTTCACAGGATACACAAACATTTTTGTAAGTTTTCTTTAATGGAATATACTTCTTCTTTAGGATCCCCATTAGCACCAGCATACGGATTGGTTATTCTTTCTGGGGTCCATTCAATTGGATGTTCTTCTTTCACTCAAACACATCTGAAAATAAAAGTTGCTCCATGTTAGGCAACCGGACAGAGCTTTTCTGTACAATAAAAATCGAACTGAAAATGAACTGCAGTTTAATGCAGCTCATTGTTTCCCAAAAAATTACAGTGTAATTCACACACAGCTACACCTCTATTTCTTACTGCCACAAGTCCGTTAATATACCTGGGCGGACCACATAAGTAAATTCTGTGTTTGTGGAAACAAGCAGCTTATTTTGGTGTTACAGATATTACAACTCTAGGACTTCCGTCATGGTGAGGAACATCCATGCTGATAACATTTTTTAGCTTCTGCATTTGTGTGTCTGTGACATAGGTCAGTTACTGTCTGGCGAATATGCATTAAAATGTGACCGGCACAGAATCAGATATTTAAGACTAATAAGTCAGGTTACCTGTCATGGCCGATCAAGCTGAAAATCAACCATTTCTGATCACGGGGCCGATCAATCGGTGCATCTCTAATACACACTAAGGCTTTTGTTTCTCATTAATTTAAATGATCTTTCCACTCTCTTCCCAATAAGGCTCAAGATGACAACACCTCGGCTGTCACTACACCTGAAGCAACTTCCCTTGAAACGAATTCTATGACCATGCCTATGACCGCTGACACAACCACCGCTTCGCCTAACACTACAACTGCTGGGCCACCAGACATGACCACCATCAAAAGCATTACAGCTACAACCACCTCTCCAGCCACATCTACAACTGTCGCCACAACCACTACTACAACCGCCACCCCATCCAGTACTGCAAGTGGTACGACCACCCCTAAAACAACAGCTAAAACCACTTCCTCTACTACAAGTGGTACGACCACCCCTAAAACCACTTCCTCTACTACAAGTGGTACGACCACCCCTACAACAACGACAAAAAACACTTCCCCAGTCACCACTACAACCATGTCTGTGACCACCGCAACAATCACCACCCCAAACATTACTGCAATTTCTAATACCACCATGAATACAACTACCTCGCCAAACACAACTATGACAATGACAACCAACAAAAACACCACCCCACATAGTGGAGGCCCAGAAGTCAAAGCTTTTCTGCTGTTTTCTGTTGTGCCATCATTGCTTTACATGCTCTGTCCCTGAAAAATAACCCACCAAAATGGCAAAAAGAATCTTGGATCACCGATTCTGAGTGTAAATGAAGACTGAGTTGAACTGAATGCCGACGCGCTCCAAAGAAGTGGCTGAATGATTGATTCAAATCTAACCTTTTTATGTATGACATTTACAAATCATTTTTATATTAACTACGTATATTAATGGACTTAAGGTATTTAAGGTTAACAAAATGCCTCAAAATGAAGTTCCTTATAAATGGTAGCTTTTATTTTAGCTTCAGATCGACAGATGGACAGCAAAGCTTGTAGATGATCTCTTTCCTTTGAATTTTTTCAGTTTACATGTAAAAATGACTATACTTTAAAAGAATAAAAACATGATATGTATTTCAAAAAGAGCTCCTTTGATTTGAGTGTTTAATTTGAAATAAACTACACATTATCAAGTCAGTGCACACACAATTGTGCAAGTATTTCAAGGTGTTGTATTTAGCACAGTAATAAACAGCCTTGTCCCTTGTGAGTACCTACAACAAAGACAAAAACAGTGTACCTTTAGCTTATTAGACATGTAAAAAATGAGAACAACACCTGCAGTACAGAAAAAATAATGGATAAAGAATTATTTAGTCTTTATAATGATAAATGTGATGATCAATCACTTAGCATAGCATTGATTGATCTAAATTGTATCACCAATTACCATAAAGCATCAGAATAAAAGAGACATGATGATGACAGCATCTTACCTTCATGGTAGTTAGTCTTTTGTTCAGTTAGACATCAGGGTTTTGAATGCACTGTAATGTTACGACACAGATATTAAGAAAGGTCATTGATTACAGTCATCAGCATGGACAGTGCATAGTCATCCCTCACACAGTATCTCAAACAATATTTACTTAAAACTTGTAAGCAGTGTCTCCTGTAAACTGCTTCTCCACAGCCAGATCCACCATCTTTCCGCTCTCCAGCTCCAGTCCCATCAGCACTATAAGTAATGGACGAGGTCAGGGGAATGAACATACTCATTCCAATTTAAAACAGTGAAGACCTACTAATAGCAGTGACACAGATGACAGAGTGACAGCGTTAGCTTATTGATGAACTAACAGACACTTTGGACATGTGTGAATCAGATTCTGCATTGATATGTAAAGGAAAAAGCAGATATCATTAAATCATAATTACTATTGCCTGATTTGTAGTTGAAGGTGGCATAAACCACATTTTCACTTTGTATATTCTGTAGGCCTATTTATTGTCCCGTGTGAGAATATTTATTTAATCAATATATTACACATGTATAAATTTAAGTGTATTGTCTGTTTCAGTTCTGAGGTTTTTGCATGTTTTGCCCATTTCACTCAATTTCCATCTGTTTTGTTTTCTTTATGTTTAATCGCAGGTAATTGTCTGCGCACCACTGCAAAAACGTCGTCTTTAAAAGCACTATGAGAAGCTTGATTGCAGGAAGACTACAATAAAGTGTTTTGAAGAAAGTCACTCTGCATATTGTTTGTGTTTTCACACAGTGAAATTAAGAATAGTAAGCCCAGTTTAGCGCATTGGCTTCCTCACAACCTTTCACAAAAACTGTACGTTTCTGTGGACCTTTTCAGACTGCAGAGGGCAACAGTGTCCAAGAAGTGAACTTCAGGAACTGTGCCACTTCAAAAATCAGGAAATTGCAGCAGAGAATGTAATTTTAGAATAACACATTTAAAGTGTTTTGTCTTTTGGTCTTATAAGTGTGTTTACAGGACCAAACCAGGCTGCAATGACAATTGAAGAAATTGGGGAAACATCCCACTCATTGATCAAGAAACAGCCACCGGCCTGTAGGCTATACTCATCCTACAAAAACTCGAAATGATACAGGATAATACGCGTCCCCTTTGCTTCATTCAATCACAGCAGCCCCCTGCTATGGGGAAAGAGAATCAACCAGTGTTGTATAAAAGTAATAATATTACTTTTCCCAGTATGGTTGTAACAATTTTTGCTTCAGTAACTATAACTCACTGAATTTTTTAGCAGAGTTCTCAAATTTTTATACAAAATACCCGCATTTTTTCACTACAAATGGAACTCCTCTACAAGAATATCACAGACCTCGTGAGTTGATGTCAAATGCAATGTGTTCCCTTGTTACAACCTACCCCAGTAGTGGGGTAGGTTGTAACACATGCTGGGGTAGGTTGTAACAATCACACAAAAGAATCAAAAATAGATGCCACACTATATGATATGCTTCCAAAACAGGTAGTTAAATAAAAGAACAATGTTTCTCTCTTGCTGTAACAGCCTATGTCTGATGACTCGCACATGAACAGTATGTGTATGTAAATTTATCTACACAATAAACTTACTAAAAAGTATACTTAATAAATACTACTACAATGTAATTAATTAAAGAACATCTCTGTAAATCTTTAGGTCTAACTAAAAAGAGGTGTATGTATGTGTGTGTCAATGTGTGTATATTCTTATTCAGAGTCACAGTCAGTGCTTGAAATGGGCCGGTATTCATGGGTAGGTATGCCAGCACTTCTATATATTACTCTTTAGCGTACCGGGAGTTTTTCTTGCACACAGGCACTTCTCACAAGCTGCCCATACACTTTTCTACCCTCTCCACCGGTGGAGACTGAGTATGGAAAAGGTCGAGTGACGATACACACGCCAACACGTGTACAACATGTGAATGGGGAGGACTGGTCACAGTGCTGACAAATTAATGCTGGTAACCCTGGAGTGCGGGTTTGGTGGGCCCAGACTGCATAGGGCAATCTGGAAAATATTAAAATCAAGAAAGTACCTAGTTTTATGTATCGTGGATGGTTGTAACACTTTTTAAAGAAGTGTTACAACCCACCCCACCCCTGTCAGCTAATGTTTATCTAGCTGTATTACCATAGTGGTTTGAAATTAGAAAGGAAAAAATGCATGTTGCCTAAGAAACTATATTTCAATCTAATATAAATCAAACAATTCTTTCTGCAATAGTATAGATATTAAACAAAAAATTGTCTTGGCCAAAAAAGTTAGTTTCTTACCTCAAGATCAGTTTTGTCTCTATATATTCTGAATATGCCTGTTTCCAGACTTGATAACCACCATGCCTGATCAGGGAGTAAATACTGAAATGATCACCTAACTCTTATCTTATCTCTATTTGGTGGAATTGGTGTTGTTACAACTCTCCCCATGTTACAACCATACCCGGTCTCCCCTAACTAAGTAGTGTAACTAATTACTTTTCTAAAACGGTAATATTATTGCTAGTTACTAAGGCAAGTAACGCTGCGTTACTCATTACTGAACGCACCATCCCAGACATAAATCCACAACTGTGCGACAGCTCAGCGGGACCGGATTTTGTTATTAATGTCAGCTGCTAGCCAAACACTGAATGAAGAATGGAGAACGAGGGAGAGAGGCGTTCCCGAGGGAACTCGAACTGCGTCAGTGACGACACTATGGGAACGCCTTTAGGCGTGGCAGGGCTGAATTATGAATGAAACTACTCCAATCCTATTGGTGTTACTCGAACGGTAGCGTGGGACGGCGTAACTGGAGGCGTATAAAGCACCCCGGCACACAGGACGAGCCAGCTTTTTTCTATTCAGCAGGCGCTCTGATATGTTTGGTAGAACGAAGCTCTACGAATAACCACTGAAGTTTGTCCTACCTGGAAGTTTGCAGAGGAGATCATGGCTGGTGAGCAGTTCCGGAAATGTGTCTTTCCATGCCCGCGCTACATCATGGCTGGGGACACTCATGAGCTGTGTGTGTCTCGTCTGGGGATGCCGCATGCCCAGGCAACTCTCAAGGGGGCTGCTTGCGGCCGTTGCGAGGCCCTGCCCCTGAGGGTGCTAAGGCCTATTTTCGAACTCAACAATGTGTTGTGCAAATCCTGGAGCAAGCCCTTCTCAGCACGCCTGACTACTCCCCCGCTCCTGGATTACAGCAGCGTTGCGGGGGTTAAGGGATTCGACTATGGGACGATGCCCCGGTTTGAGGATGCTTTGGCCAGCCATCTCTCACCCGGCCTTGCGTCGTTCCTTAAAGAGCTGGCGCTGCCCACCAAGCCATGTCGCATTACATCTGCTCTGTTGGGCAAGGCTTACATGGTGGCGGGCTGGGCTGGTGCGAGCCTGCACACGATGACGGTTCTGCAGACGTACCAGGCCGACCTGTTGAGGGACATGGACCAAGGAGGGGGCCCCTCTGAGGAGGATGTCACCGAGCTCTGCAGAGCTACGGATCTGTCGCTCCGGGTCACCAAGGCCGCTCCATGTCAGCGCTGGTGGCCATGGAGCGGCACCTGTGGCTCAACCTTTCGGGCATCCAGGAGAGGGAGAAGACCTTCCTGCTCGATGCACCGGTTGCGACCTCTGGCCTGTTCGGCGAGGCGGTGGACACCGTCGTCAGCAGGTTCCAGCATGCCAAGACGCAAGGAGAGGCGTTCCGGCAGCATCTCCCTCGCCGGCTGCAGAGAGACGGTCCCAGCCGTTGTCCAGCTCCTACCGCCAGAGCCAGAGGCACAGTGTCGCTTCTCGGGGTCCCCCCTTGGTTTGTCACGATAGATCTACAAGACACATATTTCCATATCTCCATCCGTCCCTCTCACAGGAAGTTCCTGAGGTTCGCCTTTGGGGGCGCGGCGTACCAGTATCGGGTTCTTCCGTTCGGCCCAGCACTCTCCCCTCGCACGTTCACCAAGTGTATGGTTACAGCTCTGGCCCCGCTGAGGCTCCAGGGCATCCGCGTGCTGAACTACATCGAAGACTGGCTCATTCTGGCCCGGTCTCGGGAGTTGGCTGTTCGGCATCGAGATGTCGTCCTTGGCCACCTTCAGCGTTTGGGGCTGTGGCTCAACGCGAAGAAGACACGCCCAACGGACTACGTTCCTAGGGGTGGTATGGGACACAACGGCTATGCGAGCCTAACTATCTCCTGTACCCGTCGAGTCCATTTTGTTCAGTAACCGTGGTGAAGCTAGGCCGCACCATCACAGTGAAACACTTTCAGAGGGTGTTGGGTCTCATGGCAGCTGCATCCAGTGTAATACCGTCTGGCCTGCTACATATGAGAGCCCTGCAGTGGTAGTTGAAGACCAAGGGGCTTTCCCCGAGGGGGAACCTGTTCTGTCTGATACAGGTTACGAGCAGGTGCCTTCGTTCCCTGTCTGTATGGAAGAAACCTTGATTCTTGTCCCAGGGTCCCACGTTGGGGGTGCCATGTCGCTGGACAATTATTTTGACAGACACCTCCCTCACGGGGTGGGGCGCGGTCATGGACGGCCGCTTTTTGAGAGGATCCTGGCAGGAGCGTCATTTCTCGTGGCACATAAATTGCCTGGAAATGTTGGCGGTGTTCCGCGCTCTGCTGAGCTTTCTGCCCAACCTCCGAGGTCGCCACGTCCTCGTCAAGACCGACAACACGGCAGTGGTGGCCTATTTGAGTCACCAGGGGGGTCTGCGCTCGCGCCCATTGTGCAGACTGCCGCATCTGATCCTCCTGTGGTCCCAGCAGAGACTGTTGTCTCTTACGGCGATGTTTATCCCTGGGGCCCAGAACCTGCTGTCGAGACAGGGGCTGAGACCCGGGGAATGGAGACTCCCCCCCGAGGTGGTGGAGTTATTGTGCAAAAGGTTCGGCCCAATAGACGTGGACCTGTTTGCGTCACAAGAGACTACGCACTGTCCACTGTAGTTCTCCCTCTCGCCCCCAGCCCCGAGGCTGCATCTGTATGCATTTCCCCCAGTCGCTCTGCTCCCGGGGGTTCTGGAGCGGGTCCGTCAGGACGGTGTCAGCCTACTGTTAGTAGCCCCGTTTTGGCAGGCCCGAGTGTGGTTCTCGGAGGGACCTGCTGTCTCAGGCGGAGGGCCAGGTCTTTCACCCTTGCCCTGCCCTGTGGAGGCTGTGGGTCTGGCCCCTGAAGGGGCACAGTTCCTTGGGGCGGGCCTGACGGCGGGAGCGGTCGAGACTCTGCTCAGCTCCAGAGCTCCATCCAGGAGGACGTACGGCCTGAAGTGGAACGTGTTTTCCACCTGGTGTAGAGAACGGGCGGTGGACCCAGTTACCTGCCCGGTAATTGTGGTACTGGTGTTCCTCCAGCAGCGTTTCTCTGCTGGCCTTTCGCCATCCACACTCAAGGTGTACGTGGCTGCCATTACGGTGTTCCACGCTCCTCTGAGGGAGGGACCTTTGGGGAGGCTCCCGCTGATCGTGCGCTTCCTCCGTGGAGCCCGGAGGATGAGACCCGTGACTCGCTCCAGGATTCCCACCTGGGACCTGGCAGAGGTTCTCGAAGAGTTGGCAGGGGGCCCCCTTCGAACCCCTGGAGTCGGCTGAGGCCAAGCACCTGACCCTTAAGATGGCCTTTCTCCTGGCTATCACCTCTCTGAGGAGAGTGGGGGATCTCCAGGCACTCTCGGTGCCTCCTCAATGCCTGGTGTTTTCCCCGGGGAAGGTCAAGGCTTTCCTGCACCCCTGTCTGGGCTACATCCCTAAAGGTACCGTCCAGTATGGCAGGGTCTACAGTGCTGCAGGCGTTTCCCCCACCTCATGTGACGGCGGAGGACGGGAGACTTCATCTTCTCTGCCCTGTCAGAGCATTGAGTATTTACACTCTGAGGTCCTCCCGGTGGAGGAAAGCAGACCAGTTGCTGGTGTGTTTTGGGTTCCCCAAGGTTGGGCTCCCGGCTTCTAAACACACTATCAGCAACTGGATAGTTCAGGCTATTTCCCTGGCCTATCAGGTGCGCGGTTTGCCTTCACCTATGGCCATGAGGGCCCACTCTACTAGAGGCATGGCGGCCTCTTGGGCCCTCCTCTCAGGGGCTTCTCTTCGGGATGCGTGTGCAGCTGGCTGGGCCACTCCGCACACGTTCATCCGGTTTTGCAGTCTGGACCTTCCTTCTGCGCCTGGCACCCGAGCACTCTCCTCTTAGTTGTGCCTACGGGTTACTGCACGCTGGGGCAGGCGGAGGCTTTCGGCGTGGCATAGTGGGTATCTCGTTCCCATAGTGTTGTCACCGACGCAGTTCGAGTTCCCTCGAAGGGGAACATCTCGGGTTATGTATGTAAACCTTGTTCCCCGAGAAGGGGAACGAGACACTGGGTCGGCTCGCCTCGCCCCTCCTGGAGCGCCTTACTTCGTAGCAAAGAGCTGGTTTGTCCTGTGTGCCAGCGTGCTTTATACGCCTCCAGTTACGCCGTCCCACGCTACCGTTCGAGCAACACCAATAGGATTGGAGTAGTCTCATTCATAATTCAGCCCTGCCATGCCTAGAGACGTTCCCATAGTGTCGTCACTGACGCAGTGTCTCGTTCCCCTTCTCGGGGAACAAGGGTTACATATGTAACCCGAGACGTTCTTTCCACAGCTGTAAGTAGCTACTGACATTACTGTGTCACAGTCTAAGATGCAAAGAACATTATCGTCTGTTGTAAAGTCTGTGCGACCAGCAAAAAGCTTTTCGTAATGTCAGTATGGGCCTATGCTTTATGGGGCAATCATTGGCCCATTTTTTGAAAACAGTTTGGTCAATATAAATAAATAATTTGACTTGTAGCCTACTCGATGAGATGAGTGCACTGCTCTCCATCAGAGGGAGAAAACCGAAACTGAAAAGTCTTGTGATCACACAGAAATATCACCACAAATGTTCACTTGAGCACCTCTGATAAAGTGCAGCTCACAGCCGCTTTAGAAGGAATGAAGCATCCTGGAGACAGTAAAACAGTAGTGTCTCACAGCGAGGGGGGCAGAGACAGCAGGACACAAAGCGTCAGGGGTCATATTCTCTCACTACTTTGCTGCGACTGTTAACCGTTTGTGTAGCAAAGACATTGACTATACACTGACTGACAACAATTATATTTAAATGAATTGATTACAATTTAGGGACAATTCAGAAGTCGCAGATAAGACCTGGCTGTGAGCAATGCGCTCTCTCTCTCCTCTCGTGCTCATTCTAAGCGCAGGCAGGCTGAGGAACGGTGGGGGGGTCACGTTATGTGAACTTCAAACATAATGTATCAGTTATTGCGAGTAACCATCGCTCTTTGAAGATTATTGCATATTAACATAATAAATTTTTTTGTTGTTGTTGAGTTACATCCGGGGCTACAATCAAAACATCCCGGGGTAAAGCCCAGGAAAAATGACCTATTTATTTATCAGTATATATTTATCACTTTGTCAATAATCCACCAGGAGCAATAACGCAGGATGAATAATTTTCTCTTTGTGATTAATCTAATGGCCTCAGTTGGACATAATTGCACCCACCAATGTCTAAATACTTTACATGAAGTTTACAGGGAAGTTTACAGGGAAGTTTGTTAAGCAGCTTGTCATGTACAGTACATTTGTTTAGGCTAAAAATTTAAAGCAGGTGTCAACAAGACAGTGAGGAAATAAAATATTTTCTGACATTGTTAGCCCCATAAAACATAATTTATTAAATATATAATGTGTTCTAAAGTTACTAGATGTTCTAAAATGCACAGAAAGTATGAATTTGAGTTGGACTTGGTTGAAGGAAGGTGAGCAGTCAATGAGATGTTAGCTAATGGGGATGGCTACGATACTGAAGAATTTTGAGTGTTTTATTGCTTTAAGTCAATAATTTTTAATTTAAGTATTTTTAGTAACAAGAAAAAAAGCCATCAGTATGAGTGGTGAGCACTTGTTAATAATTGCAAAGTACAAAGTGATAAGGCTTTAGAAATTGTGCATAGGAGAAGAATGTCTTCCTCACATAAACACATTTGCATATGTCACACGCACCTCCCCATCCAACTTCCTGGGTCCAGAGTCAGGATGAATATACGTCATAAATTCACACCTTTTGAACCGTGGTATTTTTGTATAAAAGCAAGAACAAAAGGTTCCCTCACAGTTTCCCAGAAGAGAGTGGAAGTAGACAAGGTTGCAGTGGGAGAACTTTCACAGCACTATAACACAGCAGCCTGGCTACTGTGCAACAGGACATTTTCAATATTATTTGTGGTGCACCTCTGCCTCCTCTTAGCTCTCCACCATGAAGATACTGGCTCTGGGATTTTGCATACTGGCTCTGCTGGCATTAGGAAAGGTAAATATTTATAATGTTTTTAAATAGCTCTTCAAGAAAATATTCCAAAACACATTACTATCCAAGTATTTTTTTGCATTTTGCCTATAACATAACAACAAACTTTTGATCATTAGAATGTTATGAAATTAAACAGATAATCATGAATAAAACAATTCTGATGGAATATATTCTAGGTTAGTAAAAAAAGCAGAATGTAACCTATAATCCATTCAAACATGACTAGACAGTAATAATGTTAAAAGATCACCTTAAAAGTTGAAAACAAGTAAGTTAATGGAAATAGAAGTATTGTTGGCATTCATACTAGAGACGGAATTTTCTTGGCCAGTCTGACTTACTGATTCTAAGAAGAACTTGACAGGATACACAGACACAAACATACTCAACAAGACTACGATTTCCAAAAGAGTTGGTCAAAGCAATAGTACCACGGGAGGTAAACTGACAAACTGGCAAAAAGTGGACGAGTATTTCACTGCTTGGGTTGATTGCTTGATGAGCCACAGGTGGTGATGAGCCCGAAGCCAGAGCCAGACACGCCCAAAAACACACACACACTCACACACACACACATACATACACACACACACAGGACATGACAGACAAAACTGACCGAGACAGCAGGGAAGGGAAAAGGGAGAAAACTTAAGGAGGGGGGAGGTGGCGAAGCCTAATCATGACAAACTGTTTTTTATTGGAATATTATTTCTTTATTTCTTCATTAGGATCCCCATTAGCACCAGCATAAGCATTGGTTATTTTAATTCTTTCATTCAATTGGATGTTCATAATAAAACATTGACTATTTAATTACTTTAACATTTTCCCCCAAACGGTACTAGCTTACAGGACCTCTCTTACTCAAACAAATTTTGAAATAAAAAAGTGCTCCAGGTTAGGCTACTGGACAGAGCTTTTCTGTACAAGTATAATCTAACTGAAAATGAACTGCATAACACAGTTCAGTGTTTCCCACAGAATTAAAGTTTAATACATACACCTACACCTCTATCTCTTACTGCCACACGGCCGTTAATATACCTGGGTGGGCCACATAAGTAAAGTATTTGTGTGGGGACACATAGCTTATTTTGGTGTTACAGATATTACAAAGTGCAAGCACTAGGACTTCACTCATGGTGAGGAACATCCACTCTGACAACATGTTTTAGCGTCTGTGTTAATAGTCGGTTACTGTCTGACGGAACATATATTTAAATTTCACCGGCACAGAATCAGATATTTAAGACTGATCAGCCAGGTCACCTGTCATGGCCAATCAAGCTGAAGATCGACCATTTCTGATCACTGGCCAATCAATCGGTGCATCTCTACACTAAGGCTTTTGTTTCTCATTAATTTGAATGATCTTTCCACTCTATTCCCAATCAGGCTCAAGACTCCAACACCACGGCTGTCATTACACCTGAACCAATTTCTCTTGAAACAGATTCTATGGATGGAACTACTAACAGTACAACCATGCTTGTGACCACTAACACAACCACCGCTTCACCTAACACTACAACTATTGTGCAACCAGACACTACAACCATCTCCATGACCAATACTAGCAACATCACTACAGCCATGTTGATAACCACCACTGAAGCCATTGTCCCAAGTGTTTCTGCAAACATTTCTACCCCTACGTCTTTGTCAGAGACTATTGTGCAACCAGACGCTACAACCATCTCCATGACCAATACTAGCAACATCACTACGGCCATGTTGATAACCACCACTGCAGCCATTGCCCCAAGTGTTTCGGCAAACATTTCTACTCCTACGTTTATGCCAGAGACTACAACCACCTCTCCAGCCACATCTACAACCACTTCCCCCACTGCAAGTGGTACGACCACCCCTGCATCAATGGCTAAAACCACCTCTCCAGCCACATCTACAACCGTCACCACAACCACTACTACAACCGCCACCCCATTCAGTACTGCAAGTGATGCGACCACCCCTACAACAACGGCTACAACCACTTCCCCTACTGCAAGTGGTACGACCACCCCTACAACAACGGCTACAACCCCTTCCTCTGCTGTAAGTGGTATGAACACACCTACAACAACGGCTACAACCACTTCCCCCACTGCAAGTGGTACGACCACCCCTGCAACAACATCTGCAATCTCTTCCTCTACTGCAAGTGGTATGACCACACCTACAACAACAGCTACAACCATTTCCCCCATTGCAAGTGGTACGACCACCCCTACAGCAATGGCTACAACCCCTTCCTCTGCTGTAAGTGGATTGAACACACCTACAACAACGGCTACAACCATTTCCCCCACTGCAAGTGGTACGACCACCCCTGCAATAACGTCTGCAACCTCTTCCTCTTCTGCAAGTGGTATGACCACACCTACAACAATGACTACAACCATTTCCCCCATTGCAAGTGGTACGTCCACCCTTACAGCAACAGCTACAACCCCTTCCTCTGCTGCAAGTGGTACTACCACCCCTACAGCAATGGCTACAACCCCTTCCTCCGCTGTAAGTGGTACGACCACCCCTACAACAATGGCTACAACCCCTTCCTCCGCTGTAAGTGGTACGACCACCCCTACAACAACGTCTGCAACCTCTTCCTCTTCTGCAAGTGGTACGTCCACCCTTACAGCAACGGCTACAACCCCTTCCTCTACTGCAAGTGTTACGACCACCCCTACAACAATGACAAAAAACACTTCCCCAGTCACCACCACAACCATTTCTTGGACCAATGCTACAATCACCACCCCAAACATTACGGCAATTTCAAATACCACCATGAATACAACCACCTCGCCAAAGACAACTATGACAATGACAACCAACAAAACCACCACCCCACAGAGTGGAGGCCCAGACATTAAAGCTTCTCTGCTGTTTTCTTTTGTGCCATCGTTGCTCTACACGCTATGTCCTTGAAAAGTAACTGAGAAAACCCACCAAAAGGGAAAAAAGAATCTTGAGTCACTGTTTCTGAGTGTAAATGAAGATTGAGTTGAACTGAATACAGATACGCTCCAAAGAAGTGACTGAATGATATGCTTTTTATGCTAAGTATGTATATTAATGAACGTAATTTATTCAAGTTTAACATAAAAATGTAATGTAATGTATCTGAACTCTATGTGGCATCAGGAATGAATCATTATTGCAAATGTGAGGTGATGATTGAGGCTACTACTGTTGGAGCTGACTCAGAGGTCTATTTCAATGTTTTAAAGCTTCATGTTACACAGAGCTAGTTAATACTTTCTTTTTTGAATTGTGATTGTTGATCATTTTACTGTATGTGTATACCTTATTTATTCAGATATTAACAATGATTTACAAAAAAGACAGTCATCAGTTCAGTTAAATAACTAAGAGAATGTGTTCCATTTGGAAAAAAACACAGCGTGTAGATCACATCATTAGGGATGAAGAGGAAGTGTTGTGGCAGATAAAAGTAATAAAAGAAAGAAGAAACGAAAACAGTCTGGTGATGGCGCAGTGGATAAGACACATGCCTTTGGTGTGAGAGACCCAGGTTTGAATCCACTGTGGAACGCCAATGTGTCCGTAAGCAAGACATTTATCCCTAAATTGCTCCAAAGGTGTGCAACCTCTGACATATGAAGCAATTGTAAGTCACTTTGGATAAAAGCGTCAGCTAAATGTAAAAACCAATAACCACACTGCACAAATGAAACATCCAACATAACTTGTTTTGTTACATTTCATTGCATGCATTCACATCAGTCATTTAAACAAGCACAGGCAAAACATGCAAATGAATAAGATTCCATAAAATATGAAAAGTAGCAAGAAAGCTTTTTTTTAATCTTCAGATCGACAGATGGCCAGCAGAGCCTGTAGATGATCTCCTTTGAATTGTTTCTGTTGGAAAAACATGAAGATAAAAATGACTGTACTTTCCTTAAAAGAATAAAATCATGCATTTTAAAAAGAGCTGTTTTGAATGTTTAATTTGGAAAAAAAACACATTATCATGTCAGTACACATACAACTGTTGAAGTATTTCAAGATGTTGTATTTAGCACAGTATTATGTGTGTGCCCCACATGCAGAGCAGTGTAGAGAGAAGTGCCTGTTAATTTAAGGTAGGCAGCTCGGATACACAACAGATCTTCCTCACAGTGAGACACCATAATCCCCTGCACTACTGGCGTCTGAAAGAGTGAAAAGTTTTGTGTGTGAAATATATACGACATAGGTTTACCTTAAGCTATTGGTTTAATATATATATACATACAATCATACATACAAGTGACAAAAACAATGTACCCTTTCCCTAAATTATTAACAATAAGTGGTTTATTAGACATTTTATTAGACATGTGAACAATGAGTACAACACCTGCAATAATTAGTCTTTATAAATTTGATGATCAATCACTTCATCATAGCATTGATTAATCTAAATTGTATCACCAATTACCATAAATCATAAAAATAAAAGGGATAATTGATGATGACAGCATCTTCCTTCATGGTTTTTAGTCTTTTGGTCAGGTAGCATCAGGGTTTTGAATGCACTGTACTGTTACGACTCAGATATTAAGAAATGTCATTGACTACATCATCAACATGGACAGTGCATACTCATCTCTCACACAGTATCTCAAACAATATTTACTTAAAACTTTCAAACTCAGTTGAACGTCTCCTGTAAACCGCTTCTCCACAGTCTGATCCACCATCTTTCCGCTCTCCAGCTCCAGTCCCATCAGCACTATCAGTAATGGACAAGGTCAGAACAATGAACATCAGTCATTCACATAAGAATAATACATTACAGCCTCACCTTTGTTAAGATGGTCTGAGTCTCTAGAGGTCAGTATGTCAATCCATGGTCCTGCCTCAGCTTTTTTCCCATTTAGTGACACAGAGAGAGCCTGGAAGAAAAGAAACACAGTGAAAGGGGTGAAAACTCTGGATTACAACCACTACATGCTGCGTTCAATTGCTTGAATCATAAATGCCATAATAGTGGAATGTATAAATGTAGTGCACTGTGTCTGATTGATCATATTATTATTAGAAAGTACTGAATGCTGTTGCTTACATCCACCTGGACCATACTATTTGTGAATAAAAGTATCATGGATAATAACACCTCAACATCTCTTTGAGCCACACAAGCAATATTTTATTTCTGTTGAGAGAGAAGAGTGAGAAAACACTTTAAATTGCAATTTCAAGGCATTAAAAAATCGTGTTTCAGAAGAATCTGCCACAGGAATCCTATTTCTACATCTATATTATTTAACATTCAAGATAAATTGTTTTGATAATATGAACAATAGGGGGGGTGAGGAAAATAAATACACAAATTACATTTGTCAAAGTCACAACAAGCTTAGCTAAGTCTCCACTTGCTTCTCCTTTCAGTTCCTTCTCCAGGTTCTTCTTATAGTATAGCATTAAATACAATGCCATTTTATGTCATAAATCTCTCTTTGTCTCCTCTTCCATCCTCCTGACCACACAGACTTCAACATCAAGTACCGGAGCAATGAAGTACAATAACACCTCCAATACAACCATCCAACTACACAGGAACCAGTCCCATTGGTAACCTGAACTCTGGTAACTGGCCACAACATGCCATATGACCACCATGACTACAAAGAACAGACAGGGACACATCTTCAACTCTGTCCATCTGCTGTTTGGATCATTTGTTCTTCAAGCACTTTGGCAATGAGTGCCCTGTTGAGGCTCAGAGCTGGAGCGAGTCTCTGCCTACAATGCTGTTTAAACACAGCAAATATGAGTTTATTGTAGAATATTTGCTGTGGAGGGAATACATGTTCAGTTGTTTGTGTAAAGGAAAAAGCAGATATCATTAAATCATAATTACTACTGCCTGGTATATTCAGTAGGGCTAATGATTGTCTTGTGTGAGAATATTTATTTAATCAATATTTTACACATGTATAAATATAATATAAATTAAAAAAACTACGTGTGTTAATTTGTACATGCAAAATGTCAAACTTGTTGTGTTGACCTTTGGGCAACTGGGTTTGTTTGTGTCTAAGTCTGTGTGTGAATAAATATAATTGGCACATTATGCCAAAAAATAAAAATAAACAATTATGGTTGATCTACGGTATGTCGTCTTTAGCTAAGCTAAAGCAGAACAAAGTAAAATAAAAGTAATACAATTAATTCAAGAGTAAAGTAATAAAATAAAATAAAAAAGTAACTATGACCTTGTCTAGTTATTTCCAGCAGATATGTTGATCTAGTGATTTGTTTCAAAATGACACCTAAATCCATGTTAAAGGAATTAATGTGTAAAAAGGTATGACCTTAAGCTGAGATCTGTAACTTCTTGGGCATTGTTGCCCTCTGCAGTCTCAAAGGGTCCACAGAAACATATGCAGTTGTTGTGAAAGGTTGTGAGGAAGCCACTGAGCCAAACTGGACTTACCATTCTTAAGTTCACTCTGTGAAAATACAAACAATACGCAGAGTGACTTTCTTGAAAACAATTTATTGTGGGCTTCCTGCAAGCTTCTCGTTGTGCTTTTAAAGACGACAGCTTTTGCAGTGGTGCGCGGACAATTTCCCTTTTGAATTTTGAAATTGAGTGAAATGGTCAAAACATATATACCTCAGAACTGAAATAGACAAAAATAGACAATAGACTTAACTTCGGATACCAGTTCAAAAATCAGGAATTTGCAGCAGAGAATGTAATTTTAGTAAACACATTATGAGTGTTTTGTCTTTTGGTCTTATATGTGTGCTTATTTAACATGTGCAGGACCACACTAGGCTGTAATGATAAATGAAGAAATTGGGGAAACATCACAGTCATTGATCAAGAAACAGCCACCAGCCTGTACACCAAACTCATTCTCCAAAAACTTGAAAACATTTCACACCATAATACGCATCCCATTTGCTCTAAATTCAGTCGCAGCAGCCCCTTGCCATGGGGAAATAAACTCACAGCTGAAAACAAGTAGATACAAGAACTCCTTTAATCCTCAAGCCATTATGCTGTATAACATGTATGTTTATTCAGCAGGTCTTTTAGCTGGTCACTCGCACTTTTGCACTTTTTAATTAATTTAGATTTTACTGATTTGGATTGACTGTTTTTAGTTAACTTTAGTATTTTATTATTATTCTGTCTCAATGCAAACTTATGTGTTTTATTATGATTGTGTTGTGGTTTTATTTTTATTTATTCTATTGTTTTTACCGTAAATTTCTGTTGTTTGATTGTCTGGACCACTGAATCTTAGTATTGTCACTGTCTATTAGGAGAGGTGCAAACCAAACAGCCATAAACTGCCGATTAAAGCCTCTCAGTAGCAGAGTACCAAAAACCACACACACTGAGGGTCACAATGATAATTTCTGTGAATGAGTCCTAGCAATAACCTTTATCCTGCAATCAAGGTGTCACAGATAGGGAAACAATATTGTAATCTATTTGTTTATCAGTGTGTCAATAATCCACCAGGAGCAATAAGGCAGGATAAATCATTTCATCACTTTACATGAAGCTACATCAGTACAGGGAAGTTTGTTAAGCGACATGTCACGTACAGTACATTTATTTAGGCTATAAATTAAACCAGGCGTCAACATTACAGTGAGGAAGTAAAATATTTTCAGTGCCCTGGGTGGCATGGTGGTGCAGTGGTTAGCACTGTTGCCTCACATCAAGAAGGTTGTGGGTTCAAACCCCTGTTGCCCCAGCCTTTCTGTGTGGAGTTTGCATGTTCTCCCCATGTCTGTGTGGGTCTTCCTCTCACCATCCAAAGGCATGCAGACTCAGTTGATTGGTGACCCTAAAATGTCCTTGGGTGTCTATGTGTGGCCCTATGATGGACTGGCAACCTATCCAGGGTGTACCCCACCTTTTGCGGGGGTCCAATTTGAGTTGGACTTGGTTGAAGGAAGGTGGGCAGTCATTGAGACATTAGCTAATGGGCTATGATACCGAAGAGATTTGAGTGTTTTAGTACTTCGCAGCAAGTAAATCATTTTTAAGTTTAAGTATTTTTAGTAACAAGGAAAAATGAATCAGCATGAGTGGTGAGCAAAGTACACAGTGATAAGGCTTTACAAATTGTGCATAGGAAAGGAATGCCTTCCTCTCATAAACACATATGCATATCTCACACGCACCTCCCCATCAAACTTCCTGGGTCCAGAGTCAGGTTGACTGTACGTCATAAATTCACACCTATTGAACCATGGTATTTTGTATAAAAGCAAGAATAAAAGATTCCCTCACAGTTTCCCAGAAGAGAGTGGGAGTAGATCAGGTTGCAGTGGGAGAACTTTCACAGCACGAAAAATCCCAGCAGCCTGGCTTTTGTGCAACAGGACATTTTCAATATTATTTCTGGTGCACCTCTGCCTCCTCTTAGCTCTCCACCATGAAGATACTGGCTCTGGGATTTTGCATACTGGCTCTGCTGGCATTAGGAAAGGTAAATATTTATAAAGTTATTAAATTGCTCCTCATGAAAATATTCCATTACACAGTACTATCCCTGTAGAATTTTTGCACATAAGATTTTTTCCAACAAATGATCCATAACCAATCCATTTAATAGAAAATAAAACTAATGTCTAAAAACTTTACCATGAATTGTTTTTCTCATCATGGTGGGATACTAATGTGATAGAAAAATGCTTATTGTAACTGTTGTGCCAATTGTTTGATCATTAGAATTTTCTGAAATTAAACAGATAATCATGAATAAAACAATTCTGATGGAATACATTCTAGGTTAGTAAAAAAAGCAGAATGTAACCTATAATCCATTCAAACATGACTAGACAGTAATAATGTTAAAAGATCACCTTAAAAGTTGAAAACAAGTAAGTTAATGGAAATAGAAGTATTGTTGGCATTCATACTAGAGACGGAATTTTCTTGGCCAGTCTGACTTACTGACAGATAATCATGAAGCCTCTGTTTTTAAAACCTCACTTATTTGTGGAAAAAAAAAATTGCTATTGCTGATGGTATACATTCTAGGTTAGTAAAAAAGCAGAAAGTAACCTATAATCCATTACAACATGACAAGAGAGTAATAATGTTAAAATGTCACCCTAAAAGTTGAAAACAAGTAAGTTAATGGAAATAAAAGTATTGTTGGATATGCACCGATTGTAATTTTCTTTGTCAGTCTGACCTACTGATTCCAATTTAAGATTATTCTGATTTTTTTTGTTTCTAAGAAGAATAACTTGACAGCATACACAAACATTTTTGTAACTTTTCTTCATTGGAATATTATTTCTTTATTTCTTCATTAGGATCCCCATTAGCACCAGCATAAGAATTGGTTATTCTTTCTGGGGTCCATTCAATTGGATGTTCATAATAAAACATTGACAATTAAATAACTTTCACATTTTCTCCAAAACGGTACCAACTTACAGGACCTTCTCTTACTCAAACAAATCTTGAAATAAAAAAGTGCTCCAGGTTAGGCTACTGGACAGAGCTTTTCTGTACAAGTAAAATCCAACTAAAATTAACTGCAGTATAACACAGCTCAGTGTTTCCCACAGAATTACAGTGTAATCTACATACACTTACATCTCTATCTCTTACTGCCACACAGCAGTTATTAATATACCTGGGTGGGCCACGTAAATATGTGTGTGGGGAAACATGACTTATTTTGGTGTTACAGATATTACAAACTGCGAGCTCTAGGACTTCACTCATGGTGAGGAGTATCCACGCTGACAACATGTTTTGGCGTCTGTGTTAATAGTCGGTTACTGTCTGGCAGAACATGCATTTAAATTTGAACGGCACAGAATCAGATATTTAAGAATGACCAGCCAGGTCACCTGTCATGGCCAATCAAGCTGAAAATCAACCATTTCTGATCACTTGCCAATCAATCGGTGCATCTCTACACTATAGTTTTTGTTTCTCATTAATTTAAATGATCTTTCCTCTCTATTCCTAATCAGGCTCAAGGAAGCAATAGCCCTACTGTCACTACGCCTGAGACTTCAACCACCTCTCCAGCCACATCTACAACCGTCACCACAACCACTACTACAACCGCCACCCCATTCAGTACTGCAAGTGGTGCGACCACCCCTACAACAACGTCTAAAATCACTTCCCCTACTACAAGTGGTACGACCACCCCTGCATCAATGGCTACAACCACCTCTCCAGCCACATCTACAACCGTCACCACAACCACTACTACAACCGCCACCCCATCCAGTACTGCAAGTGGTACAACCACCCCTACAACAACAGCTAAATCCACTTCCTCTACTGCAAGTGGTACGACCACCCCTACAACAACAGCTAAATCCACTTCCTCTACTGCAAGTGGTACGACCACCCCTACAACAATGGCTACAACCACCTCTCCAGCCACATCTACAACCGTCACCACAACCACTACTACAACCGCCACCCCTTCCAGTACTGCAAGTGGTACAACCACCCCTACAACAACAGCTAAATCCACTTCCTCTACTGCAAGTGGTACGACCACCCCTACAACAATGGCTACAACCACCTCTCCAGCCACATCTACAACCGTCACCACAACCACTACTACAACCGCCACCCCTTCCAGTACTGCAAGTGGTACGACCACCCCTACAACAATGGCTAAAACCACCTCTCCAGCCACATCTACAACCGTCACCACAACCACTACTACAACCGCCACCCCTTCCAGTACTGCAAGTGGTACAACCACCCCAACAGCAACGGCTACAACCATTTCCCCCACTGCAAGTGGTACAACCACCCTTACAGCAACGCCAAGAGACACTTCCCCAGTTACCACCACAACCCTTTCTGTGACCACTGCTACAATCACCACCCCAATCATTACTGCAATTTCAAATACCACCATGAATACAACCACCTCGCCAAAGACAACTATGACAATGACAACCAACAAAAAACACCACCCCACACAGTGGAGGCCCAGACATCAAAGCTTTTCTGCTGTTTTCTGTTGTGCCATCTTTGCTCTACACGCTCTGTCCCTGAAAAGTAACTGAGAAAACCCACCAAAAGGGCAAAAAGAATCTTGAGTCACCATTTCTGAGTGTAAATGAAGACTGAGTTGAACTGAACGCAGATACGCTCCAAAAAAGTGACAGAATGATTGATTAAAATCTAACCTTTTTATGCTAAGTATGTATGATATTTGCAGATTTACATTATTATATTAACTATGTATATTAATGAACATAAAGTATTTATGGTTAACATAAATATGTAATGTAATGTATCTGAACTCTATGTGGCATCAGGAATGAATCATTATTACGAAAGTGATGTGATGATTGAGGCTACTACTGTTTGAATTGTGATCGTTTTACTGTATGTGTACTCCTTATTTATTCAGATATTAAAAATGTAATATAATATAATTTACAAGAAAAGACAGACATTGTAGTAAAATGTTCAGTTAAATTATTAAGAGAAGGTGTGCCATTTGGAAAGAACACTGTGTATAGATCACATCATCAGGATGAAGAGGAAGTGTTGTGACAGATAAAAGTAATAAAAACAAATAACCACACTGCACAAATGAAACATCCAACATAACTTTTTTTGTTACATTTCATTGCGTGCATTTATATCAGCCATTTAAACAAGCACATGCAAAGCATGCAATTGAATGAGATTTCATAAAATATGAAAAGTAGCAAGAAAGCTTTTTTTTTAATCTTCAGATCGACAGATGGCCAGCAGAGCCTGTAGATGATCTCCTTTGAATTGTTTCTGTTGGAAAAACATGAAGTTTACATGTAAAAATGACTGTACTTTCCTTAGAAGAATAAAAACATGATATGCATTTTAAAAAGAGCTGTTTTGAATGTTTAATTTGGAAAACACACATTTTCACGTCAGTACACATACAATTGTTGAAGTATTTCAAGATGTTGTATTTAGCACAGTATTATGTGTGTGCCCCACCTGCAGAGCAGTGTAGAGAGAAGTGCCTGTTAATTTAAGGTAGGCAGCTCGGATACACAACAGATCTTCCTCACAGTGAGACACCATAATCCCCTGCACTATTGGCGTCTGAAAGAGTGAAAAGTTTTGTGTGTGAAATATATACGACATAGGTTTACCTTAAGCTATTGGTTTAACAAAGTTTTGCTTTTTCTGTGGTAGGAGGCAAAAGGCAAAGGCATGTTTATCTACATATCACACTTCATACACATATACATTTTATATATATTTACATACCGTACATATATATACACACATAAACACACAGACACACACACTTATATAGTATATATATATATTACATACAAGTGACAAAAACAATGTACCCTTTTCCTAAATTAATAACAATAAGTAGAATATTATTTTTAGACATTTTATTAGACATGTGAACAATGAGTACAACACCTGCAATAATAGTCTTTATAAGTTTGATGATCAATCACGTCATCATAGCATTGATTAATCTAAATTGTATCACCAATTACCATAAATAATAAAAATAAAAGGGATAATTGATGATGACAGCATCTTACCTTCATGGTTGTTAGTCTTTTGGCCAGGTAGACATCAGGGTTTTGAATGCACTGTACTGTTACGACACAGATATCATCATCAATGTCAGTGATTACAGTCATCAACATGGACAGCGCATTCTCATCTCTCACACAGTATCTCAAACAATATTTACCTAAAACTTTCAAACCCAGTTGAATGTCTCCTGTAAACCGCTTCTCCACAGTCTGATCCACCATCTTTCCGCTCTCCAGCTCCAGTCCCATCAGCACTATCAGTAATGGACAAGGTCAGAACAATGAACATAGTCATTCCATTTTAAAACAGTGAAGATGTTCTAATAGCAAAAGAAAAAACTACATAAGAATAATACATTACAGCCTCACCTTTGTTAAGATGGTCTGAGTCTCTAGAGGTCAGTATGTCAATCCATGGTCCTGCATCAGCTTTTTTCCCATTTAGTGACACAGAAAGAGCCTGGAAGAAAAGAAACACAGCCAAAGGGGTGAAAACTCTCTGTCTGGATTACAACCACTACATGCTGCATTCAATTGCTTGTATCATAAATGCCATAATAGTGCACTGTAAATGGAGTGCATTGTGCCTGCTCAATAATACTATCTACTACTATATACTATTAGAAAGTACGGATTATTTCTGTTTACATCCACTTGGACCACAGTATGTTTGTGTAAAAGTATCATGGATGATATTACCTCAATATCTCTTTGAACCACACCAGCAATATTTTCTTTCTTTTGGGAGAGAAGAGTGAGAAAACAAAATTGCAATTTCAAGACATTAAAAAACTGTCTTTCAGAAGAACCTGTCAAAGAAATCCTATTTCTACATCTCCATTATCTCATATCCAATGTTTTTAATAATATGAACAGTGAGGGGTGACGAAAATATAAATAACCAAATTACATTTAGCAAAGCCAAAACAAGTTTAGCAAAGTCTCCACTGGTTTCCCCTTTCAGTTCCTTCTCCAGGTCCTTCTTATAAACTGAAAAGAGGGACACACAAACAATATGACATCAGATTATTATAGGTTTAAATGTCCACAACAATCAGTCAAAACAGTTTTGAGGAAGGACTAGGGATGTTCTGTGACTTACAATGTTGGTATGCAGTACTGATTTCTTGAAGATGCTTTCCAGATCGTGTGCACAGGATCTCCAGTAGTGTTTCCTCATCTGTGCCTAAACCCTGCACTCACAGAAGCACATACATCCTGCATGTGTATCCTGGGATATGACTGACAGAAAAATGTAAAATACCCTCCTCCCCACAAGGTATTCATGAATACACACATTGAATCACCAACCCCAAGCACCCCAAAATATGGAAAAAAAATCAAAAACCCACTCACCGCCATGGCCTGTTGCAGGCGTAGAGCTTCATATTGCAGAGGAGGCATCAGCAGTTCCAACAATAGAGTCACCAGATCTCCAGCCAGAGCTTTCTTAACACCAGCTGCCAGGTTCTGGTACAGAGTCAGAACAAATACTGAAGTTTTCACATATCGTAGACATTGTCTCTAGTTGTCTGTTGACTCTCACTTTACCAATCAGACCGATCAAGTAGATTGAAAGGTAAATCAACCCTAAAATATACAGAATACAGAATACAGAACGAAACTGAATAAAAGAGTGGAGAAACCATCAAATGCAGATGCTTCTGTGCATCTGGACTGGTATGAAAATGATTTGAAACATATCTACATCACCAGATGTCAACCCAGTTTCACACCTATGAGAGATTTTGGACCAAAGACAATACTCTCCACCACCATATCCATAAAACCAAATTATGTACAGTTGCAGGAAAAAGTATGTGAACCCTTTGGAATTACTTGGATTTCTGCATAAAAAAAGAAGAAAGAAATGTGATCTGATTTCCATCTAAGTCACAGCAATAGACAAACACAGTCTGCCTAACTAACTAACTAACTCACTCCACACAAACAATTATATCTTTCCATGTTTTTATTGAACACACCGTGGAGACAGTCACAGTGCAGGATGGACAACTGCTACAGGACTACTACAAGGTTATTAATCTATTAATTCTCTACCTCACCCCATGTCATTATTTTAACCTACATTGTTTATACTACTCCCTCTCTAAACAAAGGTGTGTTTTAACCTTGTAAGACCAGTTTAAATAATGTTTGATCAGCAAACACTTGGGAATTACAGATGAGCAAACATACATATTTGTGAAATACAGTATTATCATTGCTCTATATTCTGTTGCATCGCATAACATGGATTATTTTGGGGACTATTTTTCATTGGGGGGCTATTAGAACTTTGAAACTCTAAAGACTTTTTTTCATCTTGTAAATTGTTAAATTCAGTAAGAAGTGCTGTTGTAAACATATTCAGGTCATTTGTTTCTTTACCTTTTGTGTCATTTCTTCAAAGGTCTTTGCGATCACTTGTCTTTGGGCATTGTTCCGATTGGTTAGGATTCTCACAAGAGTTCCCGCATCTGAGCCATGTACACAGTGATTGAATTTCGATTATGATGCAGTACTGAATATTTAGCGATGGAGCAAGGAATGTTAAGAAGGAAAAGAAAATAGGTTTGTGTACAGCTTTGTCAAACATTGCAGGTCAACAACACCACTCAAACCAGTTTTAATCTACAAGCAGAAGTACCTTTCCTCTCCAACGCTGCCTGGATCTCCATGGCATCCCGGTCCTGGTGGAAATTGGAGAAGGGTCGCACCGTTCCAAGAGTACCCCAACACATATCCTATTTGATAAAAAGGGAGAGAGGGAGAGAGGGAGAGAGAGAGAGAGAGAGAGACAAAGAAATTCTGGAAATTCCAAGACTGGAAGATTAAGCATAAATCCTGCCATTGGACACACATCCTGTCTGTTTTGGTCAGGCGTGTGATGATTAAGTGGCACAGAACAAGTGGCATGTGTACAAGAAAATAAGCAAGGTGACAATGGCCCAGACATACTTTGAAGGTGTTGGCAGAAGCTGAGCAATCCATCAGTTTTTGTGTTTGAATTTAAAGGATGTCAAATGTTCTGTTCTTTACTTCTATTGCGACTAGTTTGGGGATGGTTTGAAAAGTTGTAGGTTGCAGAATTAGTTTGAAAGCATAAGAACTGAACTATTCTTCAACAGGAAACAAAGTATAATATTAAACATCATCTTCAGCACTGCACTGAAACACAAGTTCACTTTGCAGCATGCCTGGAAGCATTGCGTACTTAGTGACTTTTGTAGATAAGGGTAGGTATGCACATAATCAGAGAACACGAGACAGCATAAGTTACCTACAAATGTGACGCCTTGGTAAACAGAGTTATAAAGCAATAGCAGAGGGAAGACAATGCATAAAGTTCTTACATAGGATTTGAAGTAGTCCGGGTCCATGGCTTTATTTTAACTGCATAAAAGAATGTGAGTAAGAGATAAATTGAATTTATTTCAGGAATTGAATTAAATAAATGGTACATTGGCACAGCATGACACCCAGTTTGGTGATGTGAATAGTAGGAGGGGAACCTTTAGATTAATCTCATTCTGAATTAGCATTTTTGTTCAATGAATCACTTGATGATAGTTCATTCATGAAACTAGTACAGTAGTTATCTCAACAAACCAGTTATGTTACTTCAAGTATTTGTCTATAAGGGACCAAGACACCCAACATGCCAAAACACCTGTATATTTGCTTAGAAAATATGTATATTTTTCCTACCTGTACAAGAATGTTGTGGCAGCTGTGGGAAGGTGCGGAAGTGGAGTAGTTTTACTACCTTCTCTGATCAACCTTGTATCTTAGTCCCACCCATACTACGCCACACCTGCAGCAGTTCACCTCTTTGTCGGTGCACAGTGTCTTCAAAGTTTTGTCAACACTATTGTTCTGTAGAATTACTATGACCACCCACTTGCAATAATGCTGCCATTCCTTGCAGATGAGGAATCCAGGCAGTCAGGTTTGTTTACAGGTGAACTTTTTTGTGACCTGACCATGCAGGCTGTAGGCCAAAAATGAATTATCAGTCATGAACTGTTACTGTTCTTTTCATCAAGATGATTAAGAAACACCAACAGGCAGCATTTTCAGTCATCTCTGTAAGTAAGGAAGTTGTTTAAGGATGAATTCAGGGATCTGGTCATGCTTATGTATATAACCTGATGGCCTTTTGCCTGAAACACCTGAAAACTAAATTGTGTCACAAGAGCTAACAAAAGGTTGTCTAAGTGATAACAATCCGATACTCCAAAACTCTTATCCGCCCTTTTTCCCCAGTCAAGAGAGAATGAAGAAAGGAGAGTGAGAGAGACAGACATATCACATTCACTTTCAGGCTCATCAGGCACAAATTACAGGCCACATAAATTACAGTCTCACAGACAAATGTATAGTCATTTCCATCTAAAGTCATTTCCATCAGAAAACAAGGCCGATGAGACCTCCCGAACAAATGTATTCCTCTTACAGTTTTAATTTGTCCAGTCCTCTGTGCTCAGACCTGCTGTTCACCTGCAGAGCACAAAGAAAATTATCTACAGGAAGGTCTTCTGACTTTTGGTAGCAACAAAGTAACAGTACGTCAGTAACATAAGCTATACTCAACATCCAATTGGCAATGAAACCATGCGAAGAGAGAAGAAATGAGGAAATATTTTTTTACATAAATGAGACGTCCTTTCCTTCTGAAGCGTCACGTGAAGCAACATCCGTTTCTGATCAGTTACCACTGCCCAGCAGCAGCAGTGTTTTCTCTCTGTAGCTGTTAACAAACACCTGCATTCTATATTTACACTGTGTCCTGCTCAGAGGCATTTCTACCTTGGTGTCCTTTGAACATTGGAAACGATTGTAAAGTATCTTAGGGGGCTTTTTAGCTTTTGTTTTTGTGATGGGACAGTTGAGAAAGAGATAGGAAATGTGGGAGAGAGAGAGGGAGGTGACATGCAACAAAGGAAATGATTTATTTGGCTAAATGTTGCAGGGATATTCAAATGATTTAACTCCTATCAAAGCCGACACTCAGGAATTATCAGCCTCAGATGTGACTGAATGGAAATGACGCAGAATTATGTAAAAAGTGTTCCTCGTTGACAGACCCTATGACTCTCTGACTTTAATTGTACCCATAATAAAAGCTGATGGGAAAAATATTTTAACAAGCAAGGTATTACTGAAGGGGTGTCAGGATATTCATGAAATAATGCACATTCATTTTTAACATATGCATGCATTATGCAAGCAGCCAGTGAACTCGTTTGCCTGCCAGCAACTCCTTCACTTTTTGCAATTAAACTCTTTTCTACCAGCTCTTTCCTGGTCTGTGTCCTGCAGTTAGGTCTTCATTCAGAAAGCAGTTAAAATATCAGTTGATGTATAACCACTGAAAGCCATTGAATTGTCATTTGACAAGAGATGAAAGCAGTGGAAAAGTAGCATAAAAAGTAGTAGAATAAAATTCAGAAAAAGTGTTGATTGACACATGAGAGGTGAAAGCAAAAAATGATGAAAGCTGTTTCGTTTAAGGTGCAAGTTAATTAAACAGTTAAACTTGAAAGTTGAGGAGCTGAACTACAGTGAGTGTGACAATGTCACCCCTGAAAATTTGTGAGATTCCAGGCACCTCGTAACCTCCACAGAGTGCCAATGACCTGAGACATGATAAGTCATGATAGTTTTAACTGATGATGCTGTGCTCTACATCAGTTTTTACAGCTCCATTTTAATAAAAATGAAAAAAACAGGATAAATGTTTGTAGTAAGTGGGTTTTTAGTATGTGGAGTTAGTATTTTTAAACACGTCAAAACAGATTGTATTTACACATCATGTTACAAAAATGATCCAATCTTTTGAAATCAATGTGTCAAATCTGTTTTATTTAACATTTTTTATTTCATATTTTTAAACCCCTCCCTCACCTTCAACATCATATCTTTAGCATCAAATATTAACATTACAGCTGATGCTGGTAACATTTCCGTGTAACAAATTTGACATAAAACAACAACTATTCATAAGACAACAAAAATACAACAAGAAATAGAGTAACTGGACACACACAACCCATTTCATTGCCCTGCACAATGCAATGTGATATATTGCATACATAACTGCAACATTTCCCACAAAACAAATATTAATACATACAGCCCATACAAAAATACTTTAAAAAACACAATAAAAAAGCATAGCATACATTTCTTGCACACTACACATTCACTTGGCTTCATTCGTCTCCTATCTGTATAAAGCATTGTTTGCCACTTCCTGCTCACTCCAGGAAAACAATTTCCAGAAGAAATTAAAACTTTGTTTGCTCCATCATAAACAAAGTTATGAGAGCATCAACTATATTCAGGACATTTGCATGACCTGGGAATCATTCAAACATGATGATTCTAGTTTGAATACTCAAATTGTTGACAAAAAAATAACAGATCAGATAAACGTGAAAAAGTCAAAGACATAGAATAGGTCAAACCATACACTCAATCACTGGATAGAAATGCACAGTTCCCAGTATATATATATAGGGAATATTCTGGAGCTGTAAAGAGAAGCACTGTTGATGCACCGCTAAGTAAGGCCTGGCAAAGTTTTTTATAGTAGGTTACAGCAGCTCTATTTCCCACTGTTGGCTTGGCCTCTCCTCGCTCTCCGGCATAATCACCACATGGTCCTTGTCGTAAGTTTTGCCACCTGAGGAAAAGCAAAATAATCATATTGAAAAAGTCAACATCATCATGGCAACGCAGTAATGGCCATATTGAAAAAGCAAAACTATTTTTAGTGGCACAGAGTGTGGGAATGTAACTAAGTACATTTACTCAAGAACTCTTAATTTTACAGTAATTTTTACATTGTTACATTGTTGTTTTTAGCTAAGCAAAGAATCGGAATACTTCTTCCACCACAGCTGACACATTTATTTATTAACGTACAGGGACTAACAGGCAATAGATTTGTTTAGAAAATCGTTCATCAAGATTCATTCTTCATCATATGATGAACTTCAATTAATAATACAGGGAAGCAAATACATGTTTATATGCAGTCAGGCCAATGCTCATGTTTTCTTCTCATACCTTTGACATCCAAGACCATGCCAGGGAAAGTTAGGCTGGTGATGAGGCCACTCATCTGGGCTGTCCAGGTCTGGATAGGCTGCCGGGTCTCTGTCCACAAAACCGCCTTGGATGCCGGCTCAACGTTACCCATCACCTGAAGGCTCATCGTTTGGGACAACTACAACACACACATACAGTACATGATTAAATCTGCTTAAACCTGGGATGACTTGGAAAATTCAGTTCAGGTTTTAGTTTGCAAGATGCTGCCAACAATTTAACCTCTTAATCACACATTACCTTGTTCTTGATGAAGCCGTTCTGATAGAACCAGATGTCGCTCATTGGCTCCACTTCTGGTGTCACCACCACTCGTCCTGATTTCACCTCCTCCACCCCGCCCTGGATAGACATGAAGTGACCCCTCTCTTTGTTCTTGATGCGGAAAAATTGCCGCTTCTGCAAGAGGAAAAATACCCAAAAGGATTGTGGTTAAACAGTCACATCGGTGAATCTTACTACTGCACGGGTTTAGGACATCCCCTCACAGCTAAATCATGTTCTTAAATATCTAAATCACATCAGATTGGTTTAAGGTTGGCTTTCCACAGTTTTACATAATTTTCACCATTTTAAGCTCTGTCTAGTCATTGTGTTAATTTATAAAAGCATGAAACTGATACTGCACTGTTTTACCAACACTTTAATGTGAATGTTAACGTGAAATAACACAATTCTGCCACCACCTAAAAAACGTCTAAAGCTGGCAATTGGTTGAATGTCACACTTTGAGCAAATCATCAACATTTAATATCAAATTCTTCTTATCCATTCTAAATTAAGTTGTTCTGCAAGATATGCAACTTTGTGTTCAGTTGATCAGCCACCAATTCTGTCTAAGAAAGGTTTGGGACCAGAGCAGCCAGCCAGTCACAATAGGTTTATTCCCTTTACTTTTTTTTATCTTTACACAACAGTACGGAGAATCCTAGATAAAATATCTACAACTTCTGTTGCAGTTGCTCTGTCGTTCGTCGTCTTCTTTTCTAAAGAATTTCCCCTCGGTGATCAATAAAGTATTTCTGATTCTGAGGTGTCAAGAAGACTCTTTAACTCTAATACAATTTAACTTGTGATGGCTAGGATGGGTATTTTGCATTTCTAAATGTGTACTTAAAGGCTATGTTGTTAAAAACAGGCTGTAAACATGACTTATTGACAAACCTGTCTAACTGGGAACATTGAACCAATAGTCTCCAGTGAGCTAAACTTCGGCCAGTTCGTGATTTCAATTGGTTCCAGTAGGAATTGGCGCCCCCTGTAGTTGCTGTGTTCACATATCACCCAACTGCAAAGAAAGAGAGACAAAATTAGAGAATAATTTGTTGCACATGGCAAGCGGCCATCCATTCAAACATTTTAATTACTCCCTTTTCCTATGAAAAAAAAGATCTAAGGTCTAGTACAGGGACGCAGTTATTATTTTTTTAAGGATACTTTATGACTGTTTCTATTTCACTGTTCCAGGTTGGCTCAGTTGGTAGCGTACAAGACTAGCAATCTAAGGGTTGTGTGTTTGATCCGCACATTGGCTGGATTTTTTTTATTCTCAACAAAGTTCTTTTGAAGATACTGTTCACAATATGCTCACAATGAATGTGCATGAGTGTGTGCGTCCCACCGATTGGTCTACATCCATCAACCTGTGGATGCTTATTTTAATTTCCCCAGAATCCCCAAGCAGAGGAAATTCCTGCGCTTCTCATTCAGGGGAATCCAATCTCGCATTTCCCGAAGGCTATTTCAGATGTGTTAAGCAAGCTACACTCTTTTGAATGTCCTTCAGAACTTTTCAAAGGTACTTGACACACCTATGAAATAGCCATCAGGAAATGTGAGAGGTTGGTGGATGTGGACCAATCGCTAGGACACGCACACTCTAGCGCCTACTTTATTGTGAGTGTGTGAAACGGTATCATAATTAATTAGTGTCTACACTGAGTCCTATGCTCTGCCAACTGAGCTAGGCAGGGACATTGATATCCACTATTAAATTATCCTAAAAAAAACACTTACTTGCCAAACCATCTATTAGACTATAATTTTGTTATGTGGAGATCTCAAGAGAATTATCCCATTATCACAGGAAAACAGAGTAACTGAAATTTGTTAATGGATGGCCTCTTAGGGCTTCCATACACAGGTACCAAAAGCAAGCATTTTGGTATGGTTGAATTTTTTATTACATTGTTAGAGCTAACTATCATGTTGTATTAACAGACAATTTTCAATCCACTATCAACTTGTGGTTTCATTTAACTACCTTACTGTCATAAAAGATGTTGTTGCTCATAAGTCAACCCAGAAAGCTACTTTGTGAAATACGTCAATGCAAATAAACTTTGGCAAATGCAAACACACAAACCATAAATAGCCGAACACAAACCGACAGAGATCCACTTACCAGCCTCTATTGACTCTGACAGAGAGAATGTGGTTGTTGAATCCCTCTTCAACCATGCTGACAATCTCTGTGTCTGTGGTTATCTCTCTGCCCTCCAGACACTCAAGGCCAAACAGAGAGATGGAGGGCACTGAGAATGTCTAATCAGGGAGAGATGGCAGTTCAGAGCAAGCCAGAGGAATGAATAAATTGCATTTTTTATATGATTGCTTTCTCACCATTGGCACAGCCTTAAAAGAACGGATGGTGCAGTCAGGCGAACATCCCATGCTGGTTAAATTTGGGTATTCTCCATCAGATAAGACATACATGTTCCCAGAGTACTGTTTATCCTCATAGAACACCCAGCTGAAACACAGGCAATTGAATTATTATGTTTTTTTATTGATTTGCTGTCAGTCATAACCTATCTGCATTTTAAATCCTCCCCAATCTCAACCGTCCGTACATCACCATTAGGAATATTTTATTGTTCACCCTTGCATTAGTGGCCTTTTTACACATTGTTCTTTACTCTATTTCTATTTCACCGACTTTTCCTGCTTGCTATCATTTCTCCTTGGACAATTGTAATGCTTAATCACTCACCTTCCCCCAGACACTTTGCAGGACTTGGTCAGTAATTTTTCTGGCACTGCTTCCTGGTTGTGGTCAAAGATATGACACTCACCCTGGAAGTCTGGCTGAGAGTACAGGATTACCTGACACAGATAGATAGATAGAGGTAATGGAAAGGATAGTCAGAGATTAGATTACCACATTCATAGCCTGAAGCCTTTTATTATTTTTTTAATGTGGCTTTTTAAGCACTGATTTCCAAAGTGCTACTATTGCAATGCTGCTCTGTCCCTGTGAAGGAATTATTTATCTTATTTTCTGCAATCATAGGCCAAGTTTTGGCAACATCATTGCAAGTTCTATTTAAAATGCAGTGTTCTGCCCATACTATTGAATATTTCACTTGTAACATTTACATATCATTTAAATAAAAAGTTGAAAACAAGTGACAGAATAAATGTTGTAAAGTCCTGGCTAAGATAATTTTCAATGGAAAATGTAAATCCACCCATGAGGTCTGAAGCACATTAGTTTCCTGGATTGTTTCATACAAAGAAAAGGTGTTTTCCCTGCATGGAGCAAAGTACAGATGCAGCACATGATCCAGCTTGTGCCAAAAGTGTCGAATTAACCCTTTGTGCTTAGGGACAATGATTGCGGCCATTTTCCATAGTTTATAAGTTATAAAACTTCAATCAGCATCCACTTGGGCATTAGAGATGTATGGGCCAGATTTACTAAAGGTTTGCGTGAGTAAAAACGTGTGCAAACTTGATATCACCAGCAACATAAACATGTAAGCTGATCTACTAACGATGTGCGCACAGAATGACGTCTTTCAAAAGTGCAAAATAGCACCTGTTGTTCATTTAGTACTTTTGCCTAAATAAATTTGCAATTTGGGGCATTTCAATATTATTGTTCAAAGTAGTGGGAGGGTAACAAGCAAATACATTTATTTAGTACATGCAATGTGATCTACCAAGTTAAACGCAATTTCATGTGAGTGCACCCGCATCTGTATTTAATACGTTTGAAAGGAAGGTGCAAACCACCAAGTGTTGCGCAAAGATGGTTGTTGTTATTGTTGCCAGAAGGAGACACAGCCGTAATTAAAGGAAACTTAGCGAAATTAACAATATTATATAATATTATTCTATATACAATGTCTTGAAATACAATTATTTAATTTTTTCGATGAACTATATGAATAGAATTGTTTTGTTTTTTTGTATTTTCCTTTATCTTTGGCAATACTGTTGAATTAACATTCATGCCAATAAAGCAATCGCTTCGACCTGACTTCTTTTCTCTGTGAGATGGAAGAATTTAGAAAGTTTTGTGGCGCTGCGGAGAGCCCCCACATGCAGTGCATGAATCACACTGGATGAATAAAATTCATCCAGCCAGAACGATCACCGACTGTTTACAGTGAGCCGGTCGTAATAGCAACACAACCCAATGTATGTATCGGAGAGGGAATGGGTGCGTTAGGGTGTACAGGGCCAGGTACAGGAGATTGCAGAGCGACTGGGCACAGTGCGAACGGTCGGTGATTGTTCCCTCTGGCTGGATGAAGCACAACCTGCTGGCATTTCCTCGCGTCTGGGTCATTGCAGCATACTGTTGCAGCCGTTTCTGCTGGGGTTTAACAAATAAGTATTTCAGGTGTGCTGTCCCAAGTACTTAGTGCAATCTCAGGCAGGATGGGCAGGTACATACGATTTCCACATACTCGGGACACACTGAATGAAACAAACCAAAGTTTTTACGCAATGGCTGCTTTCCCTCCCGACTCTCCATGGCGGAAAACCTCATTTAAATACTGCCACCTCCATTGTGTTTGCTCCTGTTGCCATCTACGTAATAATTCTTACTAAATCACCCATAACAGGTATAATTGCACGTTCAATATTTTAGAATGCACACGCAATTTAGTACTATTTAGCCCTATCTGTTTCAAAAACCCTGCCTACCGTGTTCTTCTCCTTAATTTATAAATTCTCAAAGTCATGTCATGCTCTGAGTAGCAAGCCCAGCACACCAAATACCATATATAAGTGACAAGATGAAAAGTATCATAGACTATCCCTTGACTGAAGTGAATTAAACAACATAAAACCGAAAATGTCAATGCACTATAGTCACCTCTTTCCTCATCCTTGAGCCATCACATGGAGCCTAAAAAACACACACAAACATGGGAATAACATTAAATCAATATAGAGATAAGCTTATTTGTTTCATTACAGACAGATAGACTACCTGGCTTACTTTAGAAATTGTTGCCTGTGACTTTCATGACAACCGATATGAATTAGGTTAACTTAGTTAAGCATATTGTCTTCTTTTTTTTCCACCAATAGCCAATCTAATCTTATTTGGACACTTAGTGAATCTCTTTAGGTCTCGAAAGGAAATATCCCTCTGTACTGCTGATGCCATTCTCTCCTTGGCCAGGCATCATTAAACAATGCTGTGTAAGATATCCTGAGTTTCCTTAAACCTTCTTCTTGAGTTGACTCGCTTACAGGAATTTCCATCACACTCACCAGTAGGATGGGCTGCACTGAGCAGATGCGAGTCTCCTGAGAACCCCAGTCAGCACAGTTATTGTAGAAACCTTTCTCTAAGATGTATTGGTTCCCTGAGAAATCTACATGGGAATAGGCTATCCATCTGGAAGGAAAACAAACAAGAAACTGATTATTGTAGTACAGTACTACTTAAATAAGTGATATCACAACAGTGGTAAATACAGTATTTGTGAACTTACGCCCCACTGAGTACGTGAATGGAGCGTGTGGAGGTTTTGTACTCAAACAGTTCAACATCAGGAATGGCCTCCGTCACCTCGAAGGTGTTCTCCTCCTCCATGCCATCCTCTTCTTCTGGCTGCTCAAACATCACCATCAAGGGATCTGTCAGGTCCTGCAGAAGAACAAGACAATGGGTTAACTTACCTAAGTCATTTGGTTATTGCAAACTGCATTAGCTAAAAACTATACATAAATCGAGGGTGGTAATGGTACAATGGATAAGACGTATGTCTTTGGTGCGAGAGACCCAGGTTCAATCCCCCACTGTGACCAATCCACCATTGTGTCCCTGAGCAAGACACCCCTAGTTGCTTCAGAGGCATGTGACCTCTGACATACAGGTGCTGGTCATATAATTAGAATATCATCAAAAAGTGGATTTAAGTAATTCCATTCAAAAAGTGAAACTTGTATAATGTATACATTCATTCCACACAGACTGATATATTTCAAGTGTTCATTCCTTTTAATTTTGATGATTATGACAACTAATGAAAACCCCAAAATCAGTATCTCAGAAAATTGGAATATTGTGAAAACGTTCAATATTGAAGACACCTGCTGCCACACTAATCAGCTAATTAACTCAAAACACCTGCAAAGGCCTTTAAATGGCCTCTCAGTCTAGTTCTGTAGGCTACACAATCACAGGGAAGACTGCTGACTTGACAGCTGTCCAAAAGACGACCAATGACACCTTGCACAAGGAGGGCAAGACACAAAAGGTCATTGTTAAAGAGGCTGGCTGTTCACAGAGCTCTGTGTCCAAGCACATTAATAGAGAGGCAAAGGGAAGAAAAAGATGTGGTAGAAAAAAAGTGTACAAGCAATAGGGATAACCGCAGCCTGGAGAGGATTGTGAAACAAAACCCATTCAAAAATGTGAGGGAGATTCACAAAGAGTGGACTGCAGCTGGAGTCAGTGCTTCAAGAACCACCACGCACAGACGTATGCAAGACATGGGTTTCAGCTGTCGCATTCCTTGTGTCAAGCCACTCTTGAACAAGACACAGCATCAGAAGCGTCTCGCCTGGGCTAAAGACAAAAAGGACTGGACTGCTGCTGAGTGGTCCAAAGTTATGTTCTCTGATGAAAGTAAATTTTTCATTTCCTTTGGAAATCAAGGTTCCAGAGTCTGGAGGAAGAGAGGAGAGGCACAGAATCCACATTGCCACAAGTCCAGTGTAAAGTTTCCACAGTGAGTGATGGTTTGGGATGCCATGTCATCTGCTGGTGTTGGTCCACTGTGTTTTCTGAGGTCCAAGGTCAACGCAGCCGTCTACCAGTTTTAGAGCACTTCATGATTCCCGCTGCTGCCCAACTTTATGGAGATGCAGATTTCATTTTCCAACAGGACTTGGCACCTGCACACAGTGCCAAAGCTACCAGTACCTGGTTTAAGGACCATGGTATCCCTGTTCTTAATTGGCCAGCAAACTCGCCTGACCTTCTATGGGCTAAAATCTATGGGGTATTGTGTAGAGAAAGATGCGATACGCCAGACCCAACAATGCAGAAGAGCTGAAGGCCACTATCAGAGCAACCTGGGCTCTCATAACACCTGAGCAGTGCCACAGACTGATCGACTCCATGCCACGCCGCATTGCTGCAGTAATTCAGGCAAAAGGGGCCCCAACTAAGTATTGTGTGCTGTACATGCTCATACTTTTCAGTTGGCCAACATTTCTAAAAATCCTTTTTTTTGTATTGGTCTTAAGTAATATTCTGATTTCCGGAGATACTGAATTTGGGATTTTCATTAGTTGTCAGTTTTAATCGCCACAATTAAATGAAATAAACATTTGAAATATATCAGTCTGTGTGTAATGAATGAATATAATATCCAAGTTTCACTTTTTGAATGGAATTACTGAAATAAATCAACTTTTTGATGATATTCTAATTATATGACCAGCAGCTGTATATAGCAATTGTAAGTTGCTTTGGATAAAAGAGTCAGCTAAATGAATAAATGTCTTTTTGTATAATGTAGTAATTCATGTTTTAAGTTATTGATGCTTGGTGCTATTGTCTTAATGTTACTAATGACTGATTTGTGAGTTATCCCACTGTGTGCAATCTTTAGTTTGCACACAGTGGGATTGAGCTTGGATTGAGGATTTAGGAACCTTTGAATCATTAACAAACATTAACTGTCTAATATTCCTTGCAACTTACTGCTTTTATCACCCTAACGGAGCGCAGCTCAGAATCATGACCTCCCCACACCCTCCAGTCATGGTATTCCCCCTCCTCCAGCAGGTACTGGTGACCTCGGAAGCCCTCCTTCTCGTAGCCTACCCAGCTGAAGCAACAAAGAGAGGAATAGGATTTAAAAGCATGCATAACTGATCATACTCCACTTATTGTGGCCGGGAGCGGTTTGATAATGGCTTTCTGCCCCATGTATTTCTCCCCACTTAATTTCTGTGGTGGTAATACGTAACTAAACAAAACACTACAAAGCAGCACTTACATTCCTCCCAGTACTTTAAGGGAACCGACACTATACATAAAGGCCGTCTGCTGCCTTTCTTTTCTGGTCATGAAGTCTTTCATGTTGGTGGTAATGGTCCTTGATTTCCCAGTGAAGTACGGCTTGTCGTAGATCACCATCTGGAGTCAAAGAGTGTAATTTACAATCAGGGCACACTGACTTCTTTGGTGTCAGTAATCATAGGTGTCATTCATATCCCTGCTGTCAGATAAGCAGTTGTACAGTCTCAACAAAAGTGGACTTTCTTACCTTTGGTTCACTCATATTTTCCACCCTTGGTTCACCCTTTGATAAAAAAAACAAAAAAAACAAACACATAATTAACTAATAATTAACTACAGTAAAGAATCAGGGGATATACTTTTTTTTATATATACAGAAGTAGTAAGAAACGAAGCTTGTAAATACTTTTAACAGCGCCACTTACTACTTTAAGTGGATGTAGTGACGCCACGTAGGGCTGTTCCACTCCCCAGGCTGCAGGGTTGGGGTACCCCCCCACCTCAAGGACACGTGGTACACCCTGGAAGAAGGGCTGTGCGTACACAAGCCATCTGAGCAGATGAAAAGATAATGAGTGAAAACAATGAAAGCAAAATAAATATGATTTGCTAAGCAATCTTTTGAATTATACCATCAGATGAAATAAAATACAAATGACAAATGATTAATTCATTAAAGAGGTGGTATTATGCTCATTTTCAAAAAACACCATATTTTTCCTCATACTGCACATTGCTGCAGCTCCTCTTTTCACCCTATGTGTTGTATGGTTGTACGCTCCGCTCGAGCCACAGAGTGATGCATCTTGCTTGTACAAAATCTTTTTTGGGAGTTGCACATGCGCAAAGCTGCTTCAGGCTGCAACCGTAACCTAGTAGATGGTGCAAGTTACTCACAAAACCACAACCACACAAGATTATTGTTCCACATCTTACCATTAGGACTAAACACTGAACTGTTGCCGGTGTTCTGACGATCTATGCTGCCTTGCCGAAAAATGCTACCATAGCGCAAATCGATAGACTCGACTCTACTCGGCCCTGCTCTGTTTTCCATTGCAGGTAGTCCCAGAGATAGTACGTAGCTTTTCGTCATAGCGACGCCACACACAACTGCTGTGACGTAATGTTAAAGGCGACACACATCACCGATCCACACAGCTCTTAAAATATATACAGTCTACGGTTAATACGTTTCAATATTACTGAGAATGTAAACACAGATAAGCGGTAGAAAAACCTTCCAGCTGTATTTTCCTCTGTCGTTGTTGCTGCAGCGGTCTGTGCGACGGCGGGAGCAGAGGGCTCTGTGAGCGGGCGGCTGGCCGGCCTCACACGCTCCTCCTGCGGGTTGGCGCAGGCTTCCCCCGCAGCAAGTGGCTGCAGGGGAAGTTGCTCCTCAACTCCGAAAATATTCAAACACATTTTTGTTCCGCCAGACGTGGATTTAGTGATGAAATTCCATACGAAAACTGTAAAATATAAAACTTTCTGTTGCTGGCCTCTGTCTGGTGCACGTAATGATGATGCAGTGAATAGAGAATATTCTCTCTTACCAATCAGCAATCTGTCCTGTTTTCATGTTACATTTTAGTATCCCTCAGCTGCCTTGGAACCTCCACGGAGGTGAGGTGAAAAAAAAGTACCTGGAAGCAGGTACAGGTGCAACATTTCTACAATGGAAAACCAAACAAAGGCGAGTCGAGCCAAAGGGCCTCCGCTCAGACTAGCTTGGTTTGAGGGCGTGCCTGACCCCCGCTAGCCACTTGGCAAGCTTTATGACGCGTTTTCATTGTGACGTCACAAGTAAAGGAAGTGAAGGGCTGGACTACAAACGTGCTGTTTTCAAGCGGTTCAGAGCAGAGCTTTCTGTGGGAGATGGGAACTCCCTTTGGGCTGGACTTTTTCACTTTGCAAACCTGTTACATGCACAAAAAATATATATAACTCAATAAAGGAGAGGGGAAAAGCCAAATAGCATAATACCCCCTCTTTAATTAATGTTAATGAAAAAAAATCAGTTTTTACAATATAATTTCAATACAACCATGCATTTTCTCAAATTTATAACTTACAGCCCAGCGTTAATGATGACAGAGTTAGCCTTGACGGGGAAGCCAAAAATCCTGGCATCTTCAGATGTATCTCGGAATATGACCTTCTTCCCTTCGGCGTTCTCTTCTGGAAAAAGACTGATTTCTGGTACACTGTAGTCCTGAGGGAGGAGAGAGAGCATCCATTAATGCCAGGTAATGGTTGCAATGCTGCAGTCCTGACGGGAACAAGAAAACATGTTCAGTAGTTGCCTCAGAGGGAACTATAATGAGTTACAGACACAAATCACAAACCAAATGTGAACAAGATGATTGTCTCACCATCAAAATCAGATGGTTGGATCCTGCTATTAAACACATATTTACAGACAGACATACACAGACTAACATTAGACAACAACTTAGTCTAAGTTGTTAATGTTTTCTGATCCTTTTTAACGTGTGTTTTATAGGCCACCCAAGAATAGATTTTTAAGACTGATTCTGATTCCCTCTCTCTCTCTCTCTCTCTCTATAGATATAAAGATAAGAATAGAGATAGAGAGCTTTGATTTTAACTTGGGCATTTTGAATCTATCCAACAGATCACTACTTAAAATATTTGACATTTCATACCCTTTTTCCCAGTCAGAGCAACAGGTGCTTGCTCTTACTTTAGACACTAGATGGTGCTACTGAGTTAAAGAACACAGTCACTGAAAAGCTACAGTACAAAATATCTGAGAGAACTATTCAGTTTACTCAAAATGAATTTCCACCATACTTTATAATAACAGATCATATCAAAATCATAAAAGATTTGAATGGATGGTGACAACAACAAAAAGCCTGTCTTACCCTGACAGCTCTTCGAACAGATCCGATGATGAACCTCCTGGCTTGCTTGGTCTTTGTCTGCACATCACTTGCTTCTCCGTTCTGCTCTTCACCCTCCTTCTCTTCGTTCTGCTGCTGCTCCTCGGGAGGGTTAAAGGGGTAGCTGAGCTCTATGTCTCCCTCATCTAGCGCGATCTTCTCCCCTTTGAAATTAGGCTTCTCATATAGCACCCATCTAGGGAAAAAAGAAACAAAAAAAAACAAAAGGTGCAATGAATGACCACATGGTTACAACCTGCTTTGTAGGATCAGCTTTGCAGTTCTTCTGGGCATCATTCATAGATGCTGTTAATGTATTGTAAATATTTTGTTCTGCATCTACAGAACATTTGCCTGAACAAAAGCATTTTATTATTCCTCTCACTGATGCCACTGTTTGATCTGTCATTTTGCTCACAAGCTGCTGCTGTGTTACTGATGTAAGGCTTCTAGAAGAGAAGAGATTACAGTCTATATATATATATATATATATATATATATATATATATATATATATATATATATATATATATATATATATATATATATATATATATATATATATATATATATATATATATATATATATATATATATATATATAATGTAGAGACACAATTGTTTAATTTAGAGTTAGAATAAGATTATGTAACTTTTGAAAGAAGAAACCAAATGTCTGAAGATTCTTAGTCCTCCAGGTCAGAGTTATCTACACAGGTGTGCAACTGCACATTTTCTAGTGGCCAGCCTAAGTCACACCTGTGCAATACCCATGCTGTCTGATCAGCATCTGGATATGCCACAACTGTGAAGTGGATTGATTATGTCGGCAAAGGAGAAGTGCTCACTAACACAGATTTTGACAGATTTGTGAGCAATATATGAAATAAATAGGCCTTTTGTGTATACAGGGAAAGTCTTTGATCTTTGAGTTCAGCTCATGATGAATGGGGCAAAAACAAAAGTGTTGTGTTTTTGTTCATTATATGAAAGTGTAAAATCAAGGGGAACTGGACTAGGCTGCTAAGATACTCATCCAAGAGGACAGCATTTTAAGTGTATGTCCCCCCACTTACAATCCTGTCCTTTCATCCCTTCCAGAAAAATTAACAAACATTTACATTTGGCCTCATGTGAGAATGACAACAATGGCCATTCAGACTTGGCCTCAGGTGTCTCCAATGACCATTACTAGTGTCATCACAAGAATCAGCAGCACTAATGAACCAAGCTGTATCGATCATATTGACAATGACCCCACAGAGGTTAAATAGCTGGGATTCCCTACAAGTCAGTCAGGACTGAAGAAGCCTCTTTGGTTGAGAGGCGAAACATCTTCAGACGTTGAAAAGTCCAGTTGCCCTTGATTTTAACCTTCCATGGATAAAGAAGAAACAACACTACCTCTTACAGACAAAAAAGTAGGGGGTTAATGGGATATAAACTCTTGTGGTTTGGGCAATGGTGCAGTGTGTGATGCGTGAGTTGAAGGCATAATTATCCGTTTGCAGGAAGCCAAGCAAGCGTTGGCGTTAGTACATACAGCTCAGAGCAGTACCATCAGGGTTACTGCAGGTTCACACTGTTGGCTGTGGTTGATAAAACATTCCACATCTGAAGCAAGTGTGTGTTTAAGCTTGTGTGTGGGTGTGTTAGCTATTGAAGGCATGTGCATGTTCTCAGTGCATGAATAGCTGTTGACGCTACAGTGCATTCGGACAGTGGGGTTTATTTTGAAAAAACTGTTTAATCTCACACACACACACACACACACACACACACACACACACACACACACACACACACACACCAAGAAAAACAAGATGAGGAAGTGTCATCCTAGCTACTTTTGCAAGTTTGAAGATCACAGGAAACTTCAGGTTTAATAGAGTGCCAAATATGTAGTGGTTGTATGAGGGAAAGACACATATTTATCAGGATTGTTTACTGTAATTAGCTAAAGTTATACTGTAGCAAAGAGCAGATGGGTAAAAGAATCTGCTGAAAGTAAAACACAAGGCTTGTATAGTTTCCCTTTAAATGTTTAGAAAAAACACTATGCTGTCACTTTGAGAAGTTTAATCAGCAGATGCATCCTGAGCCTACAATGTGATTGATGTGCATCTGTGCAAGCCTTGTGTCATTTCATTCAGTTTGTAAAAACTGGTAAAAGGTATTTTATACTAACTGTAACAAAAGTGTACGAGGATAAGTAATGTATAATACATCCATACTGTATGCAATTAGTATTTATTGAATTGGGAAACGACAAAAGACTCCACACCTGGTTGTTTAAGGGAAAATGTGGGGTTGTAAATGTAAACATAGCAAACGTGTGCAGTTCAACCACTTACCCTCCTCTGATGACCCTGATGGAGATGGTCTCCTGCAGCTCCCAGGACGTAGCATCGATGACATCACTGCATACTTCGATCCTCTGTCCGCACATCCCTGGCTGGTCAAAGATGTACATCTAGAGAAAATGTGGACCAACATACATACATTAATGGGCATTGGCATTATTTTGCTAATTTCAGCACGGGAGATGTTTGTTAAAAAAGGTGTAGGATCTGACTGAGTGGCTTTTCAGACTGAAAACTTTGCAAAGGGACGCATTTATCAAATAAAATATGGTGGCTAGAAAGTAAATATTAATACCAGAAGCCATTTACTTGGACAGCGAGTGTGATACAATAGCAGACCAGATAAAACTGCAGTAATGACAAAGAATTACTTGAGGCAAGAGCTCAAACTGTGCTGCTGAAGAATCCTTTATAATGTTTTAAGAATGGAGCCAATATTATCCAATGGCATTATCTCCAGTTTCATATCTATGCATGAATCTTACATTTCATGCTAATCCCCTTAAGATAACTGAAACAAGAATTGCAAAGTAGAAAGTAATAGTAAGAGTTGCATAGTACCATTAGTCCTGAATATGTATTAGTAGCATATGCTACATGAAAGAGTGCCATTCTGCACAAATAAAAGAAAAAAAAATAAAAAATTTAACAAATGAATCAATACTAAAATCATTCTATACAGGAAACAAAGTGTTCTCTTCCTCTTGGAAGTTCTTTGTTTGTTAAGGCTGAATTTGAGAGCATTAGCTTTTTTTGTTATCAGTACTGACACGTTCCATCCATTCAGGTCTTGGGCCCTGCAGCATGGAAGAGTACCCAGAAGTCCAACCTGAATATCAGTTTATCTCTAGCATTCAGGCACACAGTGAGAAAAGGCACGCTCAACTGCATGCAGGAGCAGGCCTTACATTTAAAAGTGGATAACGTCCATGGCCTGGGACAAACAGTAGCAGGTATGCAGTTTAACAACATCAATCTCAGTCTGAAATTCCACGGAAGATTTTGTTTATCCGGTGAAGAACAAAGCATTTAACTGCTACTGAAAAAAGCTTCTGGGATGACACGGGTTAACCGAAAGAAAAATACATGTGGGTGAAAGTTTTGTGCAAATTACTTTTCCCCATAACCAGTTATGTATTCTGTGAATAGATCGCTAACAAATTCCACCCCACATGAACAGCACACCAAGGGCATCACTTTGTGTTAAAAAGTGGTAGGGACATAAGGGCTCAAAGGAAGGGTGTGACCACGCACTTTGCTCATGAGATGTGACAATGCACAATATTTGGTTCACGAAAACAAGACAAGATGATATTTTAACACTATTTTGAAGAAATATTCATGGTTATTTAGCGGAATGGGATATGGGAACTTTTTGAACATTAAATATTTAATTTCCTGCATTCTGGAGAAATTTTCTGAACCATTTTACGGTGGAAATGTATTTATTTATGTAAAAGGAATCACAAAATTCAGGTGGCAGGTGACATTTCTAAATATAAAAACATAATGGAATATAATGCAGGAATCCGTAGCTTGTTTTTTTTTTGCTTAAGTTACTTTTTTGGACAATGCACATTTGTTTCTTTTATATTTACATTGCATGTCATGTTTTCTTATTGTGCAAATAAACCTTTCTCAAAGCATTTTTATTTGTTATTTAACATTTCATTGCAAGCTATTTTTCTGTACATTTTTAACAAAGGCTTTCAAAAAGTAATTCAGCCATTTCTAAACATGATGGGGACATGTCCCCAGTGTAAATGACACCATGCAGCACATGCAGATTTGCTAACCAACAGCCATCTTTGCAGTTTGCTCACATCAAACTACGCAACAATCACATTTGTTATCTGCTGACACAGTTTAAATCATAGTGACTGAAAATCACCACAAATATTCTAGTGTATATTATTTTGCAGTAGAATAATATTACATAATAAAATGTTTTGTCATCATGTTGAAGTGTACGCTAGAGTGTATTTTGGGCGGTGACTCACCTTTCCAGGACGAGGATTCAGCTTCCCATGTTCCTTCTCTTTAGTGAGCTATGGACAAAGAAAAATTATATATTTTAGCAAACTTTATCTCTCTCTCTCTCTCATTTTTATATATTTATACTTCTATTTGTGTTCATGTGTATTGGAAGCTGACTTCAGGTTTCATCTGAGTTAGTGCAGACAATCGAGCAACAAAAGCCAATATATTATTCCAGATATACATTGTAATGCTGTAACAACCTGAGCAAACATTTAGATTACACCCAGTTTCTACCTTGTTTACACACGCTGGACATTCCAAATATTGTTTACATTTATGGCACCCTGTTCAACAGACTCTGAGGGCGTCAGGGAGAGAGGCAAGGAAAGAGGAAATCCTTCATGATGGAAAAAGGAACATTTGACATGTGGAAATACCTTCCTCCCCTCTGCCTGTTTGACCCCATGCGTCCGAGTACTACCCCAGCTGATAACAACAGTACGACATCACCTCAGATTTGTTCTGAAATTGCACTGGAAATCTGTACAGTGCAATTTGCATATACATTAACCAGAGAGGTTGGTGTGTATTTGTGTGTAGTCTCAGGTATCACTTGGCCTCTACTCTCTGGGAGCTGTGTAGGAAAAAGGTTATCATCTGGATCATGTTACCCACCAAGGGCCTACAACAGATGCCTTTATTTCATCCGTCCTCATTAATTTCCGCCCCTGCCCTAATTCAATATAGCAAAGATTAAAATTTGATACATTAAAATAACCAATCTCTGTCAATTTTAATAACCTTATAGGATGCAATCGCATACATTTTCTAGACTAGAGAACACCTTTTACATGTTCAGTGAAAGCAAGCTGAGGCGCTGAATGGCTGTCAGCACTGGCCTAGTAAATAAAAGAGTGGCTCATTACTGTTAACAGACCACATGACAACAACATAAAACAGCTTCCCTGCATCAGTCAAATTAAAAAAGCTTTGACCTTCCATCCACTGTCATTGTCCTGCAATTCTTCTTGCATTTTGAGTAAACAAGTTTTAATATTTACTAGGTGTAAACCACTTTTTTCACATAAAATTATATTGGCTCTACCTCTCTGATGTTTTCCAGGGCAGAAGAAATAAGTGTTTTACCAAAGCAAAGAGCCAAAGGGCCAATGTGGCCAAACTACATAAATGTATGCGAACACCACCCTGAATGTAAAAGCCAGGGCGACAAGATGTCTTTGTTGACATAGAGAATTTGTTTCCCTTTTGTAAGGTTTCTTATGTGTTGTATTTTTGTACTTGGACTTACTGTCATATGTGATGTGTGCATATGCTTAATGAACTGTCAAATGGGCAAAAGACAGTTTTTATCTTGGTTGTATTCTATTCTAAACTGAAGCTTGTGTTGGTAGTTCAGCTTTCAGCTGCAGCATGTTACTATAAATCCATTCATCATGCCTACTGCAACTAATGCCTGTAAACTGTTCCCATGTAGCAAAATCTTATGCACTGCTTCTAATTCTGACTGACTTGTCTCTATACAAATGCAACCACGGGTGGAAATGTTTTCACTAAACAATACTGTCATAGGACGGGCTGTCGTATTACATAATCAGCAATGACTCAAAGTCAACATTTACATTCCTCTAGCTCGTCACACTAACATGTTTAGTGCACTGTATGTTGATGCTTTTGGTTAGACAAACCTGATCCAAACCAGTACGTGACAAATACAGAGAAAATGGAGGAGCATTGACAGTATCATAACACTTGAGTCGGTCTCACAGGTTTTCCTTACAGGCAAGTTACAGGACAGTGCTGGTTCTGAGAAATTGTAAAACAATACGACTATATAGCCGTGAAATCATAGTTTCTGCCACATAAAACCCCTTTCGGGGGCAGAAAAACCTACAAACCGTACTTCATGGCGCCTGTACCATTATCACAACTTGACTTACCGTCTAAGATTAAGCTGAATGATTTGAGGAAAACATTGCAATTTTCTGACCAATATTACAATTTAAATTGTGATTATTATCTATAAGTGAAACTCCACTCTACTGAACAGATGCATAGTTGGACAGTCATGGTAAAAATGACAAACTGCTGGTAAATCACGTCTGACAATGTTTTGATTTTGATAACACATTTTTCCAGCTCTGCACTATAGCCGTTTGACCATTGAACACTGTTGTTACCTAGTGAACTATGCCCGGGTTAAACTTTCACTTGCTACAGCTTGTTAAGGCACTGGCAGCTCTGGTCATTTAAAAATCATACTAATTTTTTTAATTAAAAAAATGTGTTTGTTCAGTCCCACCCTAAAACGTAGCATTTCCCTCACTATACAGCTCAAAACGAGGTCGAACAACTGCATCATTCACGGGGAGTGATGTGTTTACTGCTGCCTTGATGCCCAACTGAAACAAACTCCGACAGACATTTATCACCCCTCCATTCCCTTCCCTCCCAGCACCTTGGGCAAAAGATCTGCTCTCCCATAAAATTAATTACAGCAGATGGAATGTGTAGTTTCAGCAAATCACATATTCAAAAATACACTCATAGTGGGGAACAGATAACCCCTTTGTCATCTTCTCTTACTTTTCCACCTTTAAAATTCTTCCTGTCAACTCTACTTCATCAAATATCAAGCACACAAGGGGAGAAATGTGAAAATAAATACAAGAGGCGAGGTGTGGCCATGTCTCTGCAGGAATAGTCAGTTAGCTGGAATGGGTGGGGAGCCCAGCGGAGAGAAACAGACATAATTTTAAAAAGGCACTGAGAAAATGTTCTGCCGGAATTAAATGACTGAGACGCCTCACGCCCACCAGCTTACTTACCCGTCACTGATCATTTAAATGCACGGAAGAGCGATATACATCAGTCCTGCAGCGTTCTCTGGAAGTCATGTATTTGTGTTTCAAATTCCCTCTCTCCCAGGAGTAGTTAGTTTTTTACAAGCAACAACAATAATTATATTATAAATAATAATAAGCTTCTTTCTTTCAGTTGACAGACGGATAAAGCTGTAAAATACATCCCTGTTCATGCCCATGTCATAATAGGACACCAACACACTTTTGCTGAAAAAAGCAATGTCATTGTCTGGGTCCCTTTGCACAAGACTGTAATATTATCTCTGTAAAAAAATAAAAAAATAAAATCAATGCCTAGTTTGTGTATGTATGTTTACTCGGTTACTAGCAGTGGCATGATATTATATACATGTATACAGTATATTGTTTAGATCAGACATTTAGTGTGTGAATGTTTCTACCCAATTTGAATCTACATTATAGTACAATACTCACATTGTAACCACTAGTAAACAGTTAATGAGCCTTTTATTTTTACTCCAAGTGACCTTGCATCCAGATCAAACAAATGCGGCATGGCGACCTGTCACCAGCTGCTTCTTTAGTAAGTGATCATAGGCAGGAATGCAACTTCGTTTGCAACACAAGTATGATGACATTACTTGTCTGCATTCTTTCCATACATTCTTCTTTAATCCTGCAATACATTCGTGACAGAGAGGACAGTTTAAAACTCTAAAACAACCCACAAATGGTTTAGGTCCCCTACGGATCTTTAGAGGCCCAAACCCATCATCTGAAGTTAGTATCAGTTTCAGTCAGTAATATGAGATGTGGTCATGCTGTGTGCTTTGGCCTGGAAAAAGGATCCGCTGCACCAATACTAGTGAAAGTGGCAGAGGCAAACAAAGTATTGGTTGGACATGAACAAACACCCTGTGCAAACAGCTGCATTTAAACTACTGCTACAAGGCAGACTAGAGTAGTTAAACCTCTAGAATCCAGCTGACACTCCTTTTGTATTTGCATGGACAGAAATAAAACCACTATCATGTGTTATGCCTGGGAAAAAAAAACAACTTTCCGTCAGGGGTCAGTTCTGCGGTTGCTATGATTTCAAACCGTTGGCATACCTGCACTCATAACATGTAATGGTTAATTATAATGGTTTAGTGTGAAATCAACATTTATGTGATTTCCTTGCTGAGGTATGAAACAGGAAGAACACCTGAAAGTGGACAGCGTGGTTCAGTGTTAGTGTGCGTGCGTTGACAAAAAGATAAGACAGGAAAGTGATAGAGAGGGTGTGAGTGCTGCCATGTGTGCAGTAGACGTTCCCTCTCTTGCCAATAACAATAATTTGAAGACATGTCCTAATGAGTTAAGCCTTTCACATGCCCACATAAATGCTTGCATGTAAGAACAAGTGAATACACAAAGCTGGTAACACACCCTTTTCTGTGGTGATTCTGTGATGCTCAGTTAGAATAGCATTTTCCTGACATGTGGGGGTCATGCCAATGCATGACTACTGAAGGACCAGTATGCACTGGGTGTTATTGAAGCCATCTGTATGAAAAAAAAAGGAAAATGCTTCTTCTACTGCATTCTTCACTTAACTTTGCCTTGGAGTGCAGAAAAATACATTATTCATACAATTTGTTCACATCTCTTCCCTTACGTGAGAGTTGCTCTTACATAAATTAGTTCTACATGTTCTTCACCAAAAGGTGGAAACACAAGATTCCTTGTAAATTTCCCCATTTTCCACAAATCATGCTTGCGCAACTTGTGAAACTTTACCTGATTAAGTCTTTTCTCACCTGAATTGTCATATATGTAAACGTCACCTAAGCAACAACAATAATAATACACGGTAAGACAAAATACACAAAATTAGTAATACTCACATAGGCGTCAGGGAAGGCTCTATATTTTGACGCTAAATTCCTCTCACGCTCAAGTTCATGGCTCTGGAACTGAGACCCTCCATGCACACTGCTGAACAGTGAAGTCTGCTGGACCCCCATGGTGCCTTCACTACTGAAGCTCCTCTGTAGTATGGGTGTGCCCAGTACCCCATTACCTACACCCATCCCCATCCCCTGTGACTGGCCAAACGTAGAAATGGGGGAGTCTGTGGTGGTGAACGGCCTGTGGAGGTCTATGGAGCCAGTGGGGCTGAGGAGGCGGGTAGGGCTGTTGCTGGAGGTCGGCGAGCTGATGGGCAGCAGTGGAGGCTGACTCATTCGAGCTTTGGGGTCTTCAGCCCCGGTCAAGGAGCTTGACAGGGAGGATGAGGAGTTCAAAAAGAAGGAGAAGCGATCAAAACGGGCCGCTGGGTCTGTTCCAGTGCCCAAATGACTATTCTCCTTCTGTCCTACACTCATTCGATCGTTTGAAGGACCTGTTTCAGGTAGTGAGGTGGTGAAGAGTGGGCGATGGGCGTTTCTTTTTTCCAACGTCTGATCTATGGATGCTGATCTGTAGCTTCCAAAGATAACACTGTTGTCTAGGCGAGAGCCAATGCTGGAAGATGGATGTACTCCGTTTTCATTAAGCACTGGGGACAGTAAGTCCTCAGAAGAAGAGTCAGAGGATTTTGTCATTACTATACTGTTGGTAGTAGATGCTCTCAGGGGCAAGTACAGGCCTCTTGTTCCAGGCTGCTGCTGGTCCTGCAGATGGGCAGAGCACATGCAGAATGTATGTAAATAAGTCTATGGGTTGGTTTACCCATGTCACAAAAAACAAAACACATATTCTCATGTTCCTAGAAAAGTCACCTAGTCATGCAGATTGTTTTAGTAGTATTTGCATAAGTTCAATCGCAGTGAACTAAATTTTTATTGACAGCTTTGGAAAAAAAACTGCTTTAAAAATGTTATCTACTATCTTATGTACTTCTCTTTTCTGAATCAGTAGCCAGATTTGCAAGTTCAGTGCTTTTTGTGACCAACTTCAACTTAAATCCATGGAAAACTTTCCATTTTAGAGATATGAAGGTTTTCACTAAGCAGAGAAAATTAACTGAATTTGTGTCTTAATGTACCATACCTGCTGGCTCTGCTTCATCAGTTCCAGTGGTGAACGAGTGTCTCTGGTGGAGTTCCTCTTCAGTCCCAGGTCAGCGGGCAGAGTGAAAATTCCATTGAGAGACTCAGCAGGGTTGCCTGTTGCTTCCATCGTTTTTGTGGGACTGGTAAGGGAGGCAGGGATGCCTGAGGTGACAGGGCCGGGAGCATCCTCGACAATTGGTGGCAGGGAGGAAAGCAGAACTGGAGGAGGCCCGCGTAAGCTCATGTTCCTCTGCCTCAACGAAGGTCCCATGCTCTTCAGGGTATCCACCAGGTTATCCATGTCAAACTGGTTGAGCGAGTCTGCGTCGGGGGAGTCAGGGGGAGTGGAGGGGGGGGCTGTGGGGTCAGAGACCAGCTCCACAAGTGTGGCCTGAAACACTCCAGTAAATTGGGATGAGTCGTCCTCTTTGAAACTGTCAATGTTGCTGTAGCCGGTTTCTTGTGGCGAGGAGGAGCCAGACACAAGGAGCTGTTCTGAGTTCCAGCGTGACTTTATTCTACCAAACTCTGCCCCTCCCTCTCTCTGTCCCTGTCTTTCAGCTGCAGGTGCAGCAGGCTCCTCCTGCTCATCTATGCCTCTCCTCCACTCATCTTTCAACTCTCCCGCTGGCTCACTCTCACGGCTCAGATAAACTTCGGCCCTGTCATTCAGCCTCTTGCCAAGGGCAATGTGTTGCTCTGGAGGGGGGGGGGACGAGGAGGAAAAGGTGTTGCCAAGTTGTTTGTATGCTGTAGCCTCTGGGAGAGCAGGAGAGGAGGAGAAGGAGGAGGTGCCTGAGTAAGTGTCAGACATTCTCCAACTCAAAGAATCAGAAAAAGAGGAATCCTCTGTTCCGTTTGGTTTATACTGAGAAACCCCCTCAAATCTATTTTTCCATCTGAGGCCTGAGCTGAGATCTGTTACCTTGGATTCAGTCATACCTGTGCTTGTTCTGCCAAAGTCCACTGTATCCTGGCTGACCTCAGTGGTATCAGTGTCTCTGACCAGAGATACTTTACGGAAACGATTTTTGTATTCATCTTCTTTAGGGGGAGATGGATTCTTTATGGACAGTGTGGTGCTCAGGCTGCTGTAGCCTGAATTCATTTTGTCAACCAATTCCATGTCAGCTTTAGTCGGCTGATTTTCTGAAGCAAAGACTTCTGATGCTGCAGTGGGCGTCCTTGAAGCGGTCAGGGACCTAGATAAAAACAGACAAAAAGAAAAACAGGCAAAGATGACAAAGCAGACAGTGAGAATCGATCGGATTTAATAATGGTAACTGGTCCACAGCGTATCAAGTGCCTCATTGACTCCAGGGTGTGGTAGTCATGTAATGCCAACAATGCAAATTATACAAAGCAACTTTGAGAATCTTGACTTGTGTGCAATATCAAATAAAGTTTACTAAGGCCTCATAATGGGAACACCTGTTGGACTATTCCATTCTAATTATTTATCCATCTATCTGAATTTCTAACATCATGGTTGAAAGAATTGGAAATGTCTTGTTGAAACTGGAGGAGTTTAGAAAACAGTAAATAAATGTAAATGAAGAAAACGTTTCAGCTGGATTTACTCTGCATAAACACAGTCCTGAAACCAAAGTCTTTGTGCTCAGAGGATTCATGTGCACACGAGGAAGATGCTGTCAGCAGACAATTCATAGTAATTTAAACTCAAAAAACAATTATAAAAAGTTCATTACCACCATCAATATTGTTTGCTGAACCAAAATGAGCATTACATTGAATGTCAAGAAGCTTTCAAAAGTCAGGTTTTGTGCTGTTCTAATTGGTGACTACCAGTGACTTTGACCTTTGACACCAAAACTGTTTGGCACATTAGTCAGAATCACTTTTTCAGAGTGACACAATTGAAAAGCCAAAAAAAAAATTACATAAAAGAGTAATATAAAATCCATATTTTTATATTTTACATGAAAAATGTGCTGAAATATAACAGGTTCTGAGGACTTTTTCCAAGTGACGGTACACAGGAATGCAAAGCACCATTATGTGCATGGTTACAAACGTTTTTAGTATCACTGGCCTTGACCTCCGTTAAAAGGTAAATGAATAGAGACAGTGTTTATTGTAACATTGACAGAGAGGTTAATTTTCACCTGTATTTAAACGACATGACTAGATCAACACAACACTAAACCACAAACCAGTGTGTAGCTACTCTATTACTATTATTTTACTTAATTTATTGACTGACTTTATTGTTTTTTGATTCTATTGATATTCTCGCACAGTAACTGAGAATCCTCTTCATTTCACTGCAAGGTTTACTTTGTATGTCTGTTTATGTGACAAATAAAGAACCTTGAACATTGACCTGTAAGGTGGGGCAGTCTGCCTGAGAGGCTAACTCAGGGCAAAGGAAATTCTGCAGTCACTTGCTCATTAAGCTCTGTGCTGTACTGCACAGCAGTAACTGAAAGCGACAAAAAGCCTTGAATACACAACATTTTTATCAACTCAGACCTTCTTTAATCCGGACTTAGGCAGCTGGACAGTAAGATGACAATGTTCCGAGATACCTATGTAAGAACGTCAACCTGAAATATCAAAATGAAGACATGCAAAAACGAGATTTTGAAACAACAGATCAACACCTATCTATGACGGCACCTGCATATTCTGGCAGTGATCCTAAACATCCTCTCAGACTTCACTGCAAATTATGCAAATTATGTCACACCTGACACAGGGAGCCTTAAAGCGACAGGTAGACAGACAAGAGCGTAAGCACAAACAGTATATTAGTATATTAATTTGCAGGTACAGGGACATACACAGACATACCTGTATATCAAGCGTTGCACATGAAAGGAAGACATCAATGCTAAATCGGTGGAGTACTCTTTTAGAGATATGATACTGTAGATAGTGATGTACTTTTTTTCACAAAGGTCCTGTATTTACAAAAACGAAAGTCATGTTTACTAAAATTTGTCAAATACTGTATTCATAAGATCAGATGATACAGTAGGAACCTCTCCTAATGTTAATTTTAGCAAAGATTAAAATATTCACTTGGTGCTCATAATCATCTTAAACTAAAACTGACTCTGCTGTGCGACAATCCAAAATGGAGGACTGGCATATTTCTTTGTTAGATGGTGTGCCAAAATGTACACCTCTCAAGAAGTGACCCCTACAGATTCTTGGCCCGAGACCTTGGTTTGTGACAGCCAGGTGTTTCTGACTTCTGTTGGGTCAAGGTGCAGTTTCAACTCCATCCACATGCTCTAATGACAGAAGGTGACTACCAACAAAAGGGAATTCTCAACAAGTTTCTCATTCCACTTGTGTCTCGAGTAAGAAGTCAGATGACAGCTAGTCAGCCACACATGAGCGGAAAACAAAGGACAAAAGCTCTGTGGCACTAATGGCTAGTTGTGACTAAAAACATACAAGTTGCTCAACTGGCTTTAGAGCTAATCCTACCAGAAACATGTCTGTGCCTCTTTCAGATTTTGATGGAGGAAAGGGAAAAAAACACTAAAGAAGGACACAAAAAGGACTACCCTGGAGATAGACAGAAGAGTAGGGAGGAGACAACTGCATTGTCACTGATTGTGTGTTTGCTTGTAAGCATGTAAAGTGAGTTGTTTGTTTACCTGGGTGTGTGTGTTTTGAGAGGTAAGATGCCTTAGAATTTTTAGCATTTTAAAGGAGTGAATGGCTTTGCGACTAATTTACTTGGTTGTTTTATCACAGGCTAATGTTTGCACATGTGTTCATATTTAATGTGTTTTTAATGTGATGTTTTGTTCTGATGCAGCCATTCCCCTGAATACAAGACAATTTTCGGCTATGGGAGACAATAAAGTAACCTTAACTAATGAGACTTGATTTAGTGTTTCAGACTGAAGCCTTTATGATGGGGCAGATGTTACAACCATTGTAATGGTGGAAAAAGTCAATTATAATGTCACAACTTGTTTGTTGGCAGGTTATGGAATTAAAACATCTATAGAAATGATGAAACGTAATTGCCTTAATTCAACCCATATATAGTTCCACACAATTTCTTTAATTAATAATAAATAAATAAAATTGCATTTAAAGTTGTGGCTTGACAAAAAAACCTACACTGGATTTTTTATTGTTTTATGCATTTTTCTTTTGACTTTTACCAAATCTGACTTTTTTGAGCCATTGTCACATTTGAGCATACACAGTATATGAACTATACTACATACCATACTTTCTGATGAGCCTATACCATTTCCTTTTTTTAATAACCACAATGTGGAAATCTGCAAGCCAGTGTCTTCCACTCACAAGTAGACTTTGCTGCCATCTTGTGGTTTTAAAAAACACACCAGGACATCAGTAACATCTATGTGATATAAAGACTAAACGCATATTTTCTGTTACACAACCAGTTACGCAGCAGTTTACATATTGTACAAGTGTGTATTTATGAATTCTTGTGATACATGTGTATACTGTAAAATCCCATGTTGTGAATACAGTGAGGGAGATTAAAGCTTTTAGGTTAAGATCCTGATGTGTTCAGACAACGTGGCTGCAACTGTTATCTGCACCTGTCACATCATGTGTCATAAATTCCACTGTAAACCTTTTTTTCTGAGAAATACATCTTATCCATTATTTCAAGGCAAAAAAAATTAAGCCATGCCCTTTTCCTGCAACTGCTGACACTTTTAACATACACAAAAAAACAGTATGAAGAGTTGCATAAAGAAAACACATGAATACTGTGTTGGAATGCCAACACATTCATGTTAATATGCAAATGAGCATTCTGGCATTAGACCCCGTGCTACAGGTGACAGGGCATGTTGAGGAGCTAAAAATGGATCAACACTTTATAAGTCTGATTAAAGGTATCGGCATTTTATAGTATTGTGTCTCATAGATTCTAAGCACACCTAAAGTAGATCCTGGGATACAGGATACTGTAAGTGACCAAAACTCTGAATTTGTCAACCTAAATGCCAGTGCATGAGGAGGCTGGGGAGATGGAGGCAGAGAATAAGAGCGATAAGAGACACTGACCCGCTATAGCTTTGAAAGGTGATAAAAACATGGTGTTTCTTCATGAAACACAGCAGCTGTGGTTGGCCTGTGGCTAACATTGGATTAGTATGTCGTTTTCATGACAAAAAATATCCAAACATCAACAACAAAACACAGCTCAAACACTCCTGCAGCATTATCTCTTTCTTTGCTGGCCAGCGAGTTGCAAACACAATGTCGCCAAAATACAAAGAAGTGCACCAGCAACAAGCAACATGGAAGCAGTGCATTATTCTCAGTGTGATAAGAGTTGCAACATTTTGGTTAATTGTTTCGCTGATCGACAGACACTGATGGATTAAACGTAGTTGAAGCACTACTTGTGACAAGACATTGAGTGTTAGGAGATGATCTGCTTAAGTTATTTATCTTTTTATTTGATAGATTCCTTGGGATAGATAAGAAAATAATCCTTACCATTACTGTACCTTTTCCAGTGAATATACATTGTTGACAACTGATTAATGAAGGATTCTCATACATGTATTGGCTAAACCGATACACACGTCCTTGATTACTATGTAAAGAGGGATTCTTATATTCTCTGCGCTCGTTAATGTTTAGTCATTGCCATCACAGTCAATGTATGTGAAAAATTATGGCTAAAAACCTACTGGTGGTCACAGGTTGGGTGTGCCCCCCTATTCACTGTCCGACAAACCACGAACAATAATCACTATCTCCATTTTGTTCCTGAGTTATGGTATTGAAAAATAGTCCAAAAAAGCACATCATGATTTCGCTGCGACAGTGACCTTTGACCTTTTGGGTAAAATATGTCAACAATTCATTGTTGTATGCGATTAAACCTTTGTATGAAATGTTGAGGTAACAGTGACCTTGACCTTTGAGTGTAAAGTGTCACCAATTCATTGTCTGACAAACTGTCAAATATGTTCATGTTCAAGTATCAATTCTTGAGTTATAGCCAAAAGGCCAGTTATCTTGGCCTCTGACAACCAAAATCTAAATCAGTTCATCCTTGAGTTTAAGTGGACGTGTGTGCCAAATTTGAAGCATTTAATAATAATACATTTTATTTATAATGCACTTTACATTTCAACGAAATCTCAAAGTGCTACAAATTTCCCTCAAGGCATTCCTGAGATATCACATTCACAACAGATGAATGAACAGACAACTCAAAAACATAATGCCATAAAGCATAAAGATATGTGGAGTGCAATGATCCGTGAACACTGTATTGTACCAGTCTGTGAACTGACTGCATTGTTACACCCCCAAAGATTAACCTGTACCCAACCTGTACCTGTACCCTTATTGTACAGGGTGATAATTTAGGGTTGAACAAATGGAATGCAAAAACAGAAATCAATCAATTAACTGTTAGTGGTCTTCTTCCTAACTTTACACTGTGTGTGGATCATGACATGGATTGATCAATCTGAGTTATGTCACAAAGCTGATGGCATGCGACAGCGATCCTGGGTTTGGTCACCTAATGTGCAGTGTATTAAAAAGGGTGTGTTTATTCAAAACTACACAGGTATGTAGGCAGCTTTGACTGTAGGTAAACAAGGCAGCTCATCCAGTGCTGATCTCTTTATCAGATGAAAGGTGTACACATTTCAGGGCCTTATCATTCAAAAAACTTTGAAAATACTACAGACCATTCACCTGTTTTAGCCTCTTTACATTGGCTCCCTGTTAGGACTGACTTTAAGATCTTCTTGATGACTTTTCAGGTTCTTTATGACCTGGCTCCAGATTATATTTTGGATCCATTAACCCCTTCTGTCTCTTCCTGAGTGCAGGCGAAAAACTAAAGGAGACAAAGTTTTTGCCATCAGGGCCCTGAGGCTCAAAGCTGACCTGCCTGAGGAAATTAGACTATATGGGTCAGTGTCGCCTCTAAAAACTCACTTTTATTGGAAAGAATATCCTCATTTTATCTGAGCTTCCTGTTTATTTTTATTCGTCATTATTTTCTTATTATGCTCCTCATGCATTTGATCATTCACTCTGGTTTTTCATTTAATTTTTCTCTCTGTGTCTCTGTGAAGCACTTTGTACTTTGTTTTGATAAGTGCTCTATAAATAAAGTTTTATTATTCTTATTATTAGCTAAGGTTACTCATATGGGTAACCACCCATCCAAAGAACTTCACTGGTTCCTCCGCAAGTGTGAAGTCGATTGGATGAATGGTGATTGAAGGACATACATTCCGACATACAAACATATAGACACAGACTCCTTCAAATTTAGTTTTTTAGTAGATGACAGCATTCAAAAATGTGTAAAATAACTCATTTCCATTAATGCTCCCTAAACTTCACCTTTATGGACAGCAAACTATCAGTTACACATTTAATGTACCTGTTCATTCATGTTACATCAAGCTTAAAATCCAGTACACTTGCAGTGATAAAACTTTCCACTTACCCCTGATTCAGGTCAGGTTGGGCTCCTGCCAGATGCTCCAGTCTCTCCGAGTGTGTGTGTGCAGCTTCTATATCAGGACAGTGTGTGTCTGTGTCCGGGGCTGACAGCTCAACTGCCACCTGTTTTTGCACAGTCCTGGTTCCGTTTGTGCTCTGAGTAATTGTATCCACCCACTCACTACTCTGTGGAGTCCTATTGTGTTCGGCCTCTGTGGCATCTGATTGCAGCTCAGCGCTGTGTGTCAATGTGCCCGTGACAACCTCTACTCCACCAGGAGTATCTGTGACTGCACTTGTGTTAGCATAACTGTTGACTTTTGTGCTTTCTTTGCTCATGTCTGCTTTTGTAGTAAGTGAAACTTTTAAAATTTCTTTCTCTCTAAATGTGGATGTGATTATGTCTTCCTTTCTTGTGTGACTGGAATGTATATTTTCAGAACGTCTAATGTCTTTGTAAGCCAGATATTGTACATCTTGGCTTGGAAGTTGCTTCTCTTCATAAGGGTGGTCTTCTGTTTCCAAACCCTCGGTCCAATTTCCCTTTGACCCCTCCCCCTGCCCATGCTGCTTACTGGAGGGTGGAGGAAAGTCGCATTCCATCAGTGTGTTTACTTGCTGAACCGGTGTGGCTGGTAACTCCTCCTTTCTCCCCAACCTTCCGTCTACTTTCACCTGCACAAACGCTGGGGTAGCTACTTCTTTCTGCTGAGTCTTTGCATCATTACTCACAGGAAATTCAGAAGTCCCAGTATCTGAATTCTGACCACTTAGTTGTTGCTGCACTTCAGATAGGTAACTGACATCCTCTTTCTGTTCTTCATTGCCCATTTTGCCTCCATCATTCTGCATTTTAAGAATTACCACACTCAATTCTACCTCACCTCTCTTACTCATACCTCTTTCTGCAGTCTCCCCCTTCTGTGGAGATACCTCGCAAAGACTGACAACCGCTTTCAGTCCGTCTTCCACGCTAATTTCTTCTCTTTCATGCACCGTGTACATCTCTTCATCCATACTCTCCTCTGCGTTGTCCTCTTCAGCACTGTAGTAGATCTCAGTGACACTGGCGTCATCTGATCCTGCGCTCAGATATGTTGGACTTAAAGGCCCATCATAACCATCCATCTGCCCGGAAGGAGCAGATAAACTCTCCGTTGTTTCAATTTTTATCTCTAGACCCTTAACTGCACTCATCTTCTCAGGAACGGGAGAGGGACAGCCAGGGTCAGGACTCGCCTCATCAGTGACTAACTCTTTGACTAGGATCACTCTCCTTTTACAGTCAGTAACCTGAATATCTGTCCCTTGGGATGTTACATAGTCAGAAACAGGAGGGGTGGAGTTTTGAACCACAGGGACTGACCTGACAGTGTCTTGGATGAAGCAGAAACTGTCTGATTTCACCTCTGAAAGGGAGAGGTTCAGCTTTGAGTAAGGAATGTTATCACTGTTAGCTGGTTCAGAACCTGAACTGAGAGAGGAAGGTAGATATCTGTCATGTATTTCTGAGTCTCTATGACACTCAGAAGCAGTAGAAGTTTGGTAAGAGGTAAATCTGGAGCTCTCACTTGAAGAAAACACCTTTCTCTCGCTGAAGCTGGCATTTATGTTAGTGTATCCACCCACAGCTTCATCCATTCTGCAAACAGTAGGGTCAAACTCACGGGAAGTGGACAGACGAGAAAAAATAACATTAGTTTCGGTGTGGCACTCATTAAGGGTTTTAAGCACAATAGGTTCTGATTTGGTGTTAATTTGTGTTATCTCGGTGTGGATTTTAGGTGGGAGGTTTGAGAGGGATGACATTACCTCTGAGGTAAAATTCTGGGGGAAAAGTGTCTCATACAACTCTCCATAAGCTGCATCTTGAATGACAGGACAACCGCTCTTTTCACCGCTAACCGCTGAGGTTGTAGTGGCAGTTTCAGGAATAGACCTCTCAGTGAGAGACATTGAGGCTTCTTCATGCATAAAAGCAGAATTTTCATTGAGAGCAGAGTTGTCAGTGTGAAGAAGAGGGGCTGACTCTGTAAAAGTGGTGTGGTGAACATTTGCCAGGGGGGGTTTGCCATTTGGACCTGTACTGTCAGCTATGAAAGGGGCATCGTGTTGATGATGTGGTGATGTAACTGTGATGGATTCAGTAAGAGAGTTTTCTGTTTTTGTGTTAACCTGCTGGAGGATCTCATTGTCACACGGGTTATTGTTTCTGGAGACTGAGTCAACAACTGCTGCGTTGGCTCCTTTCTCATCTGAGGTGTCGAGCCTGACTGGAGGCAGGCTAGCTGGAAGGATATGAACAGTCTGGTTATCGACCGCAGAGGTGGTTTCTGTGTGAGTCATGTGAGCAGATGAATTGGAATTGCTTTTGGATGAGTTATCATGAACAGGAATGTTCTCTTTCTCCGATGAGGCTGTATTCTCCAGCTGCAGCTCAGGAATGATGGCAATAGGTGCTTTCGGAGGTTCCTTATGAACATCAAAAAGATCGGAGCACTTTGTCAGAGGCTCCTTTGCTTCTGGTTGGGTGTTTATAGCGACAGATGACTGTGATTGATTAGGGAGATTGAAACTTGATTTTGACTGGTTTGTGGCCACAGGAGGAGGAGAAGGGATGTCAAATGCATCGCTGATGTCAAGCTCTGGTTGAGACATACTGAACATTGCTTGATCCAACTCCATCTGTCGGACGTGCAGAGGAGTCTAGCAGAAGACAGTTTACAGTTTACTCATGAAATAATGAAAAATTTGCAGTCAAGTAATTTTAAGAAAGTAATAATCATTTGTACATATGGATAAGTTAGCCCCAGTTTGTACCTCTCTCGTGTTTACATTACAATCGAGCCACAGGGCCAAGCATTTTGTTATTCTGAAAAATAAATCCCTGGTGACCTTTTAATAAAACCCAGATGGTTGTTAAACAACACTTACCGCTGCTTTGATAGTCTTTCTAGAATCCTTAAACCGGCAATAACATTTTTGGAAAATCATTTGTGGCTACTACGGGTAGTGGAAACAATTGTGAATGCAACAAGTCCACTAATCTCACCTGTAGGAATAAGTCACAAGCACTCATTGACAGTGTTTGTGTAATTGCGCTCACTGCCAGAAGGAGAGACAAAAGTTCCACACTGCAGGTTTAAATATGAAAATATACTGTAATGGGAAAAAAACATGCTTCACATTGGACAAATTTACATTTACTTACATTACATTTAGCTGACGCTTTTATCCAAAGCTATTTACAATTGCTATATATCAGAGGTCACGCGCCTTTGGAGCAACTAGGAGGAAAGTGTCTTGCTCAGGGACACATTGGTGGATGTGTCACAGTGGGGAATTGAACCTGGGTCTCTCACACCAAAGCCATGTGTGTTATCCATGGCACCATCGTCATTTTTGACTACAATCTTTTTTTTGAGTCGCAACTTGGGAAACAGATTAAAAATCTTTTTAATTGGGAAGCAGATGGAATGTCATTTGACCTAGATAGACACAGGAGTCTGTAATGATTCTGGATATACCTCTAAAACTGAGTTGTTAAACAACTTTCTGGGTTTTTTTAAAGATTGTCCTGGGGGCATCTTCAGAAAAAACAATGCTTAACCATGTGACCGTAATAGAAAGAATTGCTTAAATATAATGATAATACATGAGAGGCACATGCTGGGGCTATGGATAAGCCAGACAAAACAACATGATCATATAGTTGTGTAGGCAGTTGATGCACTAAAGTTTCAACGTGACAAAAAAGGAAGGAAAATTTATTTGCCACAACAAAACTCAGGGAATGAGGTTACCTCATTTTGCTCTTCAATTCCTGGGCTATGAAGGCCAAACGTGCTCTTAGAGATTCTCTCTTCATCTTTCTTCTTCCTCCTTTTTTGACCAAAGGAAAATGTAGAAAACCTTTTGGGCTTACGGAGGTCCAACTCTGAGTAGCTGAGTTCTTTTCCCTGAGAGTAAGAGAGAGGGAAGGAGAAGAGAGGGAGGAAGAAATGCAAAATGCAAGACATAGAATATAAAAGGTATGTATTAACTCTCAGGAAAATTAACAAAACACGTTGTGATTAATAATTGGGAGTGTAATTTTAATGACTTGCTATTTATAAAAATCATTTTTAAAACATACTACAGCTCACTCTACCTTTTATTAAATAACATCTAATCTGAACACACATACCGTACATACTAATAATCCCTAACCATTTAAGCCCTTGACATGGGTTAATAATAAACCTTTAAACACTGCTTCTTTCAGTGGCAAGATGAGGATATTTCACTATGAAAAAGTACACATAGATAATGAGTCCTTACACTTATAAACATGAAAAAGGGTTGACACCCTAACTTCATTCCAAGCAGTAGAAAAAACCTGATCCACCCGACTAGTAGAACACGATCATGTACGTAGAAGTACAAATCATAACCGACATAGGAAACATCTACATCTCTTTACACTGCATGTCATTACTGTTACAAAAACTGTTGTGCAAAAGAGTTAAAAATTTGTCAGTATCTTGGGAAAGCACCTGACCCAGGAAAGATACTAAAAGCGTGCAGGCAAACACTGATTGAAAAGGTGACACATGATTATGTGTGCATGTTTTGTTGAGACGTGATGACAAAGTACAATGGAACATGAAGCTGTCTGTCACTGCCATCTGCCAGGTTTTTAACTGGGTGTGTTTACTAGAATTCTTCCTCCTGTGATGAATAGTTTGGAAAGTATGAGAAGCAAAGACAACAATCAAAGTGGAGTCTTTGTGAATGGACAGTGTAACTCCGCTGTATAGGACATGTCTAACTACCATATTAAGGTGTTTGTGCATAAAACACAAAACTAAAAAAGAATGCTGATTTTTTTATTCACTACAGTAAATCCACTACTTCAGTTACCTATCTACAGGTCCTACCAATAAAAACTTTGTTTTCAGCTTAACTTAACAAAGATAGGGAGAACTTTTCAAAGAAGAAATAATCTTCATTTTACAAATAAAATATTGAATTCATATGCTATTAAACTAGTGCAGATTACGTTTTTAAACATTTGATCTGCTTTTTTGCACTGTTAATTGCAATTCCTTCTTCTCATGCCATTATGGTCCATAAATAAGTCTTAAGGTATGCTTTTTGTGGTCCACTATTCCAACCTAGTTTTCCTGCAAATCAACCAGTGTATGTATTTTTCTAAATTAAGGTGAGATTATGTACCTTTTAAAAGAAGAAATAGCACAATCTTCTTTAGAAATTATAATCAATAAAACAAACCCTTGCTCAATTCAATGCACAACAGTAATGCTACAGCTTCATTTGGTCTGGTATGACCAGTGGATGCTGATGTTAGTGAATGTTAGGAAACTTTAGATAGATATTGCTTTGTGACTGATATTTCAGATCAAGTTACAAACTTTGACTCTTCACTACTTGTACTATTGTTACACAGCTTTTAAGCACCAGTTGCAGCCACTGTTCAGCAAAAGTTACATTAGCTAACATTAGTTTAGTTAAATAAATTACTACACTATGTGCCCTGACACAGCATGTTGGTAAGACGAAAACCACAGCTGTTCCACCGGAGCACTTATTAGTTACGATGAGGTTCCTCTAAATTATGTTATTACTGGTGACATAATTATACAACATAAATATAGCAACACACTGAAACTGCAGTATTCTTTGTTGATGTTAAAGCTGACCATCAGCTATACAAAAGACAATGGGATGCTCTTTTCTACTAATGGTGCATTTGAGTTCACCTCAAGGGTGTTCAGTGCCATTGTTGAGGGATTGTAGGAGTGAGATAAGTGATGTATTTCACCTGAATTATCCTCAATCCAATTACAGATGATTCTTGCACAATGACATACTTTTCTTGTTTAAATCTATGCATCTCCTTGGAAAATTGCAAGTTCATGGTGTGTTCCTAAAAGGTCTGTTGCATCCCCCATCTGTATTATGATGTAGACATATCTTAATGTGAACAAACATTGCTTTTTACGGCCAAAGCTGTCTCAAACCATCTGACACATGGCCCAAAGATTTTTAATATGTTATATTCTGGTCCACTGGTAATGCTCAAACCCACCTGGCTGACACAAGCTATAATGCTCTTTTTAAAGTGTGTTATATCACGCTTTAAGCTCATTCTGCATCACTATGTTCACATACACAGTATATACTAAACACACATGCTGTCCTGTACATTGCCGCTGCTAAATCACTGGATTCGAATTCACAAAATAGAACATATGACCGGGATGACTTGCTTTTTTCATGCTAAATGTCTTACAGGTCTCAACTACAAATCCATCAGAACGTACCGGTAATTGAACACTGCCACAACACTACTGCTTAGTAGAGCAATGGCACCCTCTGCTGGAGGGAATAACAATTATTTGGTGTATTACCTGCTCCTCCAACTCTGTTATATACTGGAGGCATAGATAGAAATCAAGGCTAGAGTATTGTAAATGAAATTGAACTGTTACATTATTCACATACAGTAAGCAACAATCACAAGTGACTTCATTGAATCGGAACATTAACTTGTATGCTGTGTTTACTGTGTGACATACTAGGTGCGTTTGACTTCATGCGGCGCTGCGCAGCACTGACTGAACGTGATGCAGGCTAGACTTAAAATAAGGCATGCTGGTTAGAAATTGTGTCCGACTTTCGCCGGCGCTGCAAAATGTCACGATGTCACATGACATTAAAACCTCGCTTGAGCAAGGCGGCTGCAGGTGCCAACTCCGGCGGACGCAGTTGCTTTTCTCCAGCTGTACAAAGTTGATCACTCACTGATCTCAGCTCACAGTAAGCTCACGCAGGTAGAATGTTTCGACGGCGCCGGTTATATTTCGCGCGCCCCTGCAGTGACCTGGCGGGGTCATCTCGAACGCACCACCTATCGTGTTGCGTGTGCTACTTTTTGAGATATGGTGCCCTCTAGAGAGGAGTCATGTATGTTGGCCACCTGCAGTCAATTGCATGTCTGTGGGTGTAACTGAGATTATGAGAATAGTTAAATAATAACAATTGATAAGTGTGACTGTGCTTATTTGCATAGTGCATATTAGAGTTATCTGTGAGCATGTGCTTATAAGTGTAAAGTGGTCATTATAATGCAAGCAAGACCCCGAGGGAGATTCTACAAACCATAGGTGGAATGCAGCTGCCATTAAAGTCACCTAACGGAGGCAATTTTATTCATCTTTCAAAGACATGCTGTCAAGAATATTCTTGTTCAGACAAGTTTCTGATCTGATCTTCAGAACGCTGAGAGAAAACCTACAGGACTGTCCTGCGATCTGAGAGCAAAACAGAAACATGAATATACACACACACACACACACACACACACACACACACACACACACACACACACACACACACACACACACACACACAACTAAAATATGCTGCAATAAGTGTATGCACATATGCACTTTAGGGATGATAAAATAAGACTTGGTTGGTTCACTAGTTTCAACTTCTTAAAAAAATCAGAGTGAGAATGCCATTTTGTGTTTTAAATTTTATGCTTGTATGTTTGGATGAGGAGATCTGTCAAAGCAAGAAAAATAATGTCCCTCCATTAGTTTCACCATGAACAAATAACTAATCTACAAGAGATATATCATTCTAGGTCATTTTAAATATTATTCCATGTATATCATTACAGAGAAGTATAACCAGCTGCCCTGAGTACGTACTACACGGTCCGGAGTCGAACTGGTGACCAATGGTGGATGATAAAACCCACGGGCGCTGGTGTCGTTCGCCAGTGCGTCTCTTAAGGTGTCAGGGAGTGAGGTTTACTCACTACATAGCCTGGCTGGCTTCAGTTTGAGAAATTTAAATTTGGCAAATCATGTGCTTGACATTTGTTGCCACAGGGATCAACATCAGGTTTCAACTGAGTATCAGCGTGTTAGCCTCCCAGGCAGCACAGAAAGAGAAGACAAAGTTTTCAGAGGTTCAGATGTTTTTGCTTTATCTATATGTCAAGAGCAAAACATGTTTCTTGTCTTAGTGTCAGAAAAGGTATAGAGTTTAAAACCAGTCATTCAACATTTTTGCCTGAAAACCTTTCTGGATCAGTCAAATCAAATGCCAATTTTGAGCTAAAGACACATTTTATTAGCATACAGTGCAGTAATAAATTCTCCTTTAAGAATATCTACTACAGAAATCACCCAACCTGTGGCAGCAGAATAAACTAATGAGGAAATTGTCGATGCTTCACTACAAAGGGTCAGACAGAGCAGTTGACACATTTTTACTGCTTATAATTGTTGTTGTAATGGTTCTGTATAATTAAGGCCCATATTTTATTAAAGAATGAGGATCCCCAGGATGACTAAACATACATTCTGCATAACACACATTGACTTCTGTCTGCGTGTGTCTCTCTCTCACTCACACGCACACCTTTCCAGTCAAATCTCTTTCCTGCTTGACTACACTGTCTGAAATAGTCATAAGCTGGATTGATTAATAACTTTTTAATAACTACCTGTGAAGTGAGGTCAACAATGTAAACAGCTTGACTGACCTTTGACCTGGGTGCGGTGCTATAGAGAGAAGACCGCTTGCTGTTGGAAACAATGTTGTCCGACGAGGCCTCTCCATCCTCTGCAGTGTTACTGGGCTCAACATCACTGATGGGCACACAGTTAAAAATATTAAATTAGTAGAATCTCTACTAACAAAATCCACATGAAAATATATCAGCTTTACACACAGAAAAAACAATATGCCCATTGTAACCAATGTGAGCTTTGAAGGGCTTCCATCTGGAATCGGATGCTTTTAAAAACTGTTTTAAAGTTAGAGACAACGATTTATGATGAATTAATGAGTTAATAAACAGTACAATAAAACTGATGTTGATTGTGATCTTAATTATGGCTTGGTTGATATGCTGTAGGAAAAAAAATTGATTTCCTTAAGACAAATGAAATACTGATTTCAGAGATTTTTATGACCCATGTACAGTACAGTATACTGCTGAAGTAGTGCATGACTAACACCATACATACTGTATGCCATCCTGTAGTTTGTTCAGTACTTTTATAAAGAGGGAAAATATGCTGCTTACAAAATAAAAGAGTGAATCATTGCTGAAGGAATGTTGAACAGAACCAGCTAAGCAGAGTGTGCATTTGTGTTTCTTATAGGTGTTCTGAAATGTGACTTTTGTATAGAACAGAGGCTTATTATGCCATCAGGATACAGTTAATGAACATAAAAACTACAAGAAGCTATATTTGCCATTTCCTAAAAAAAGGAAATTGGTAGCTATAGCCTAAATAATATTATTCATTCAATTATTGTCCACTTTGTTGTGAAACAACAGGCTTTTGGTTTTGTTCAGTCAATCGGAATTATTTCCGACTCCTCTCCTGGGACGTGGGTGTCAGTGCGAGGCTGCAGGGGCTTCAAAGTCAACAGAGAGGGTCCATCAATAATCATGAGCTGTCTTCACATCAAATAGAGGCCTCTTTGTACACAAAAGCTGCTTTGCACAACTAAATACTCACGCAAGTACCCTTTTCATAATTAAGCAGCAACCAAATATTGTGTATTTGTATTTTTTCATGCACAACAGCCTGTCAATAAGTCAAGTAGTTGTGGGACTGCAACGTGTGAGACAAATAAGCTGCAGTCAGAAAAGATTTCCAGAGATAAGAGGATGAGTCATGGCGTCTACCCTATGTGATGCGTTTACATGTCAACACACAGAATACCAAGACACATGCAACTCCTTTCAACCAAGAATGTCTTGAATAGGATAAAGCTCAACAGGATGTAACTAAGAGATGAAAGTGCCTTCTGTACTTTCACATATTTTACTGCGCGCACAGAGAGAGAGAGAGAGAGAGAGAGAGAGAGAGAGAGAGAGAGAGAGAGAGAGAGAGAGAGAGAGAGAGAGAGAGAGAGAGAGAGAGAGAGAGAGAGAGAGAGAGAGAGAGAGAGAGAGAGAGAGAGAGAGAGAGAGAGCTGCAGTAAAACTTATACATTTGCATGTGTATCTACAAACTGCCAGACACTTGCTACAGCCAACCCACAAGTTTTCTGTATGCAGATGGACTAAACCTGCCATCTCAGTTACCTTCCAGGAAAAGTTTAACATTTTTGGAAATATACGCATCAGCAGTTGGTTAGCTTAGCATAGAGACTGAAAACATGGGGAAACTGCTAGCCTGGCTCTGTCCAAAGGTAACAAATTTCTCTCATGGCTATGCTTGCTCAAGCATGGCAGACAATTATGGAGGCCGCCCTGTGGCTCTCACCCCCATTCTGATGAAGTGCTTTGAGAAACTGGTTCTCTCACCAGTTTGTTTTCAGAACCAACAGATCCACAGAGGATGCCATCTCCACTGCCCTCCACTCAGCCCTCACACTCCTTGAGAAAAACAACACCTACGTCAGAATTCTGTTTGTGGATTTCAGCTCAGCATTCAGCACAATCTCCCCCATGAAACTTATCAGCGAACTCAGCACTCTGGGTTTAAACACAACACCCTGCAACTGGATATTGGACTTCTTCACAAACAGACCCCAGTCAGTTCTGATTGGCAGACACACCTCCTCCACTCTAGTGCTCAACAGCGGAGCCCCCCCCCCCTCATGTTCACGCTGTACACCCACGACCTACCTATTATAGCTCAGGCCTCTCCCCCTAGTTTCAGTTTGGTTATTTGGTGAGTGTGTTACACAAGCTCTTTCAGCTTTTAAGTCTAATCTATTTAACCAAATAAACTCACTAAATGTCAACACTGGAAACTCTAACACCTATTATCCTAAATAAACAGAAATATACAACTATACACTTTCTGTATTCAGTTTCTCTTTTTCACCAAAGAAATTGCCTTTTCACTAGCAAGGGCCACATCATTGATAGATATGTTTAAATTATTTATTGATGAACCTAACAGAAAGATGTGCAAGACTTGTAGTTGCTGGATAGCCATATTTAGAAAGCGTTGTGGGGAAGCTACAATAGGGAAATCAGCTGTAGTACCCGGGCACGACGGACCACCTCATAACCCTATGGAGAGGAAGAAGGTGTTGAAGAAAGAGAAAGGGTTGGTGGGCAGGGGTGCAGAATCCAAGTGCGAAAAAGAAGAGATTGGTTGTGTGGGTATTTATGGATATGCTGAGTGTGACGTGACTGATGTGCTGTGTGGTCTCACTCCAGACACTCCTAAGTAGCTCCATGTCAAGCCTGGGAGGCTGCTGAGCCCGGTTCCATTGCACACTCGCCTTGCTCTGGTTCTGGTGCCCATTCAAGACTCAGTCAGCTATTCGGAACTGAGGTAGCTGCTAACTGAGCTAATTTGCTAGTAGGAGTTAGCAGCAGTGATGACCTGACATGTGATATGTTCCCCTATATTTGTGGAGAATTAATTAAAGAGGTGTCTTAATGCTTACACATTGGACCTTTAAGATAAGTGAAAGATCATGATCTGATTTAGTACAAAAAAACCCCACAGTGAGTTGAATCCTGAGACAAAATGTGACTTAACATTTAATCTTCTTTTCCTAATATTAACCAAAGTGTTTTTGTTGCCAAAACCTTACAGGACAGGAGTCTACATTCACTTTGGCAAGGTCACACTAATAGTTTATTCTGGTAAAAAAATTCTGAGAATAATCAAGTATTTCTATAGGGAGGTGTATATCAGCCTCAACTCATGTGGCCAGTACTCCACTTCCTACATGAACACAACAGGTTTCACAGTACAGTGACTCATTATGAACTAATTTGTTCTGAATAATGCCAGATATTTAAACACAGTTGAGTTGAGACATCAGAGCTTCGACTGTGAGTAAGATGTTGCTGACCTGTATCCCTAGGCACAATGATGGTGTGTGTGTGTGTGATGATTAGTAGTTTCATGACAACGTAATAGGCATGTGGAGCGGCAGGTTTCTCTACAGTACCTCCATTAATCCTCAACTTGACTTGGAAGCCTTACCAGATACTAAAACATGTGGGTGTGTTGGGCATGGAGTATTTCCTCTATTTTCATACAGCAGGGCTAAAGTTTAAAATAAGTCCAATATGCCTTTGACATCACCTTGAACTGTGTGAAATGCTATGGAGTCAAAACAAACCAAAATGACATGAAGACCCAGAAATCCAAAAGTCTTTGCCTGATCCCTGGACAAGAATTAAAACTTAATCCTTAACTAACAACAAAAACAGATTTTGTCTATGTGTGGATTTAACTTTGATCTAGGACATTCATCTATGATGTCAACAATTCAGGAATTTTAATATCAAGATGTGATGTGACTAACAATTAATGGATTAGAGGCTATTAATGACACACTTCTTTCAATTCTGTTTTATTATAATTTAGTCCTGAAAATGTATATCAATATGAAGGTTTATTTGTTACCATTTATTATTTTAACTGCATGTGTGCCATGCATAGGCCATTATGCTTTACCCTCGTGTAACCCCAGTGTGCGGCTGTGTGCACAGGCGGTTCTCACAGTTTCAGCCCACCATTTATATTTCTCCCTGTGCAAACACAAGCTGTCACTACAACCGCATCAACAACATGATTACATTGTCCTATCATGTGACTTGCATGAACACACTACCTCTCTTGTGTGTTTTATGCACACTCCTTTGCTTACAAGGTTTAAACAGAGCAGTGTCTTTACTCCACTGCAAACATCTCAGACCGATACAGCAAAGCTGAAAATGTTGAACAATTCTAAACTCATTGTTTGTGTATTTCTTGCATGTATGATACTTCTAAACGCCCAACATTTTATGCACCTGTCAAACTCTACAAGATGTCTCTGTCTCTCCAGGGTGAAGTTGCACTTGACAATTGCACAGATGTTGTAACACTCTACTGTCTGGGGTTGTGAGAATGTAGTGATAGTAATGCCTATACTTAATGCTAACAAGTGTTACATGTCAACAGGAATTAAAATTTTATTTATGGTTTTGAAAGCAAATATTAGGTGTGTATATCGGCTTTATCGGAACAGTCCACTCACAGTAGAAATTATGAACTAAAGCTGAAAAAATGAAGAGTGGGTCCATCAGTGCTTGTTTGGACTGTTGGGAATACCTGCCGATAATGGCTTATCAAATATATTGGTAGTAATTCAGAAACACTGATCCTTGTTTAAGGTCATAATTTTAAGTAAATTTTCTTTTACAGTCTATGGTCGATTATATTGTTTGTATAGCTTGTCCTTGAGTCTGTATTCTTTACAAATGAGCATATCACAGTCTAGCAGATGGTGTTTCTAGCTCTGTTTGGAATAATGACTTTATTGCCCAACAGCCTGTCTCCAGCACATCACATGAAAAAATGTACTAACGGCTAAATTTCACTGATCCACACTTTTATCTTGCATCTTTCTTCTTTTTTACTGTAAGATGATAACAACATCAGTCCCCAAAAATCCAGTTTCAGACAGTCTCTACTTTGTAGCAACTTTCTGTCTTGCAATTTTGTTTACAATTCCATTTAGACATTGAACATTAGCACAGTAAGTAACATTGATTCATCTGCAAAATTATTTTCTCAATGAATAAAGTTTGGTTTTGAAAATGTCAGAAAATAATGAAAAATATCTGAGACAGTTTCCCAAAGCTGACTTATTGAAATTGCTTGTTCTGCCGAACTAATAGTACAAAAGCCTAATATTCAGTTTAGTATCACAGAAGACAACAGTAATATCAAAGCTGCGTTTCAACCAAAAGTACCCGTGCTGCAGATCATCTGCAGCACTCGTGTGTGTCCGCCTGAGCATCGGAGGATCGGGATTTTTAACAAGCTTTATTACCTGCTCCAATCAGTGGTTCCGCTTGTTTTGGAGAAGAGGAGGCCGACTTCAGCTCTGTGTAAAAATTTTCTGACTGATGAAAACTTAAAACAACAACTTTGGAGCCAGTATTTAGGGTAACTCCATCTGCTGTTCACTGTAAACACACCGCTGCACGTTGGTTGCTGTTTCTGAGCAATAAATTTATTAATGCCGATGTACGATCTTAGGCGGACATCTCTGCAAGTACTACCCCGCGAGCAGGGACTTTTGGGGGGTAAAAAAAAAGACCCTAGAACTAAATTTAGACCCTGGTCCCCTAGGTGGAAGTTCCTCCAAAGGTTGCTAGTTCCAGGGTATAGTTTCTTTGGTCGAAACGCAGTTCAATAAGCTAGAAGCAGATATTTTCTGGGAGTTGTTTGTAGAAAATTACTTTTAATAGATTATCAAAATAGTTGCAGATTTAGTTTTTGCTGGTCCCTTCAAATGAGGAAAAACAATAGATATTCAATCATGTATTTTGTCTCTGCCTAAAACATATTACATGCCTAATAGTGCAATGACTTCAATACATTTCACTCAAAAAATCGTTTTTCTAAAGTTGTCCCTACGCTACTTACTGCATGTCCCTTAAGGTTTCTGTAGGATTTCAGGAAACTTAAGGACATTTAATTTTTCCATGTTTTATTTGCACAGTTAAATGACTGAGAGAATGGACTCATTTGCATGGATTTCACAGTTCACCTTTCAATTGTCCTGTCTAGACAGGAATGCCCTTGTCGGTTATTTAAATCACCATCAATTGAACCATCTACAAAGTTATGGTTAACCTAAGTAAACAGATTTGGCATGGTGCTGGGAATAACCCTTTTCAGCAATCATTAACCTCATTAAACTGGTTCAATTGTCTTTTGCCTGCACAGACAGTAGGAGGAGATCTAATGTAGGCCTACTGGGCACGGATGTCTCATTTTAGTGTGTTCAAGGCTCAACTGACAAAGCATGAACCCAAAACTCCAAAACTTTCCACAGTTTGTTTAATATTGGTGAATGACAATAACTACAACAACATGGATTAATTTCGAACTAAAAGTGAAAACTGAATTATGTGTGTTTAGTCAAAAAGTCTAATATAACATTTGGAGCAGCTATGGCTAATCCACAGCTTTGCAGCTCTTCTGTGCCAGAAGCTGCTTTATGTTGATGCTCCTCCACGCCAAGCTATATGACACATGCACAGGCTTGAACAATGGCTACTGAAAATTCGCAGCATTCTGCGAGCATACCTGACAACCTGTTGGTTGTTATCCGGGGTCTCGTAGGCAGGGCCGTTCTTCGACTTTTTCTTGAACTTCAAGAAATGAAACCTCTTCCTCTGTCCCTCATTCTTGTCCACATCCTTCTCCACCGATTCGTCCGGGCTGGCTTCGCTCTTGGAGAACAAACTTTTCAGGGACTTTCTGGATGAACTCTTCGCCATCTCTAGTGGGCGATGTCAGTGAGGGCAGATGAGGGCTGGCGGGTATTTTAAAGAGTCGCAAATGCTTTCCGGTTGATGATGCGGTCATTAAAAGCTGATGAAAGTAGTCGAGGAATGGAGAACACTGCACGGATGAAAGTTGTTGACATATGACAGCTGCTTCATTTTTTTTAGACAGAGCTCAGGTGTGGCGACACGCCCCTGAGGGCTTACACCCAGAACCCAGGGACACACCCTTTTCGATGCCTCTTGGTCCATTACCATAATGCAATAAAATATTTTGAAATAATTGATTTGTTTACTTTATTGTCTTAATGAGTCAGGGTGTTACATGTAGTTTCAAAAACTTTAATTTGTATTGGTAGTCTGCTTTTGTCTAGTGTCTTAGGTCAGATATGGAATGTCTGTCTCCATCTTGATGAAGGTTGGTGGACGAAGAACACCAAGGAGAAGTAAGATTTATCGGTCTATTCCTGACAAAATCTGATTATGTCATATAAGAATTTTGTCAATAATAGATATAACTTGTATAGTTACAGGATGCATGTCTGAAGATGGGAGATAACAAGAGACAGATGACTAAAAATATAGAAATCCTTGCAGGATTTCATCACTCTTTCAAGTATTGCTGGGAATTCCCCTGGGAGCAAGGGGCGTCACTTTGTGTTGAAAAGTGGTGGGGACATAGGAGCTCAAAATAGGAGTGTGAAGAGACACTTACCTTGCCAGACATCATGATAGGCGATATTAGGTTCACAAGAATGACACCAAAAGATCCTTAAACAGTGTTTTAAAGATATCCTCAATGCCGAGATATAGGCCTAGGAGAGGGGAGTCGGTTCTGGTGAACGTTTCTGCACCAGTTTATGTTGGAATTTAGAGTAGAATGCAGTGTAGCTCTCAGACATTCTGTGTTGCTTTCAGATATGTTTCTCCTGTAGATCACCTTTTCTCACATAATATCATACCTGCTGAGGCAACACATATGTAGGCATGGTTTAGTCTTCCCTCCAGTTCTGTCATGGTCACAGGGAGAGAACAGAAAACTTGGCCAAAAAGAAACTGTGTTAAGTAGCTTGTTTTTTTTTTAGCTTAAGTTACTTTTTTTGGACACTTCGCATTTGTTTTGCCTATATTTTAAATTGCATTGCATATTTTCTTAACGTGCTAATAAACCTTTCAAAAGGCATTTTCATTATTATTTAACTGCAATCTATATTTCAGAACGTTTTTTTTAACGTTTCAAATTATGCTTTAAAAAATGACATGTCCCCAGCACTCCATTTATTCTAGTACAGTAGGGCCTACTTGAGTACAGCTTTAATACTTCTACTCCATTTCAGAGGAAAATATTGTAGGCCTATATTTTATAATATTTTACAATGATAGGCTATAAGATTGTGAAACGAGCCACTCCGCATAATGAGAAGGCTACTTTTACTTTTGATACTCCTACTTTTTGCGCAAAATATTGTATTTATAAGTAAGTAACATTTTGTATTCAGTACTTTTACTTATAATTGAGTATTTTAGTCCATTGTACCTCTTTTACTTGCAAAAGAATGGATTACTTCACTGCCTGGGAGCACTTGCAAGGACACACATTGGAAACCTTTAGGAAAATTACTTCAAAGTATAGTTTACCTAATAATAATGATCATAATAACCATAATTATTATTATAAAGCTTGGCAGTTATGGAAATATACAGAGCAATTTCCAGGTTTGGGAGCTTATTTAGCCTACATTTATTTATCTCCTCAATAGGTGTACCTCCACAGTATGCAATCTCTGTGGATCAACGGCGTCACCTTGTGGTCTCTATGCAGTTTGCAACCTGATCACAGATCAGTTGCAAGGGCACGGAATTACTGCGGTAGGCCTGTGCACACGTTAACACGCATGTGGCTAACTCCACCTCAAGGTGGCGCTACAAGCTTGCTCATTCTAATCTAAGTCGGCAAGCTAAAGGTCAGTTCCAGTGTGTGCTTCTTAGATAAGAAAATGACTATGAACTGACTGATGCAATGAATGGTCAATAAATGAATGCTTCCGGATCAGTATGTTCACATTTAAAAGAGAGAGAGAGAGAGTCATGAATTCACTTAAAACAAATGTGACTGTAAAATGTTATCAATTTGATGATCTAAGGCTAAAGTTGCTTTGTATTGCTTTATTGTAACAGTAGCCACTTGCATTGGTTGCATTCTTAATGTTGTGGAGATAAGGAGAGATAACCTTGCATGATCTTATTTTTATAGGGAGGGTAATTAAAATGAAATCATAATCTACCTGATTGTGCTGGGATTTCCCTGGTACTACCACCAGGGACACAGTATGGGAACCTCTAAGTCCTGGATTATTTTTCTCAGCGCTCAGTATGTATACATTTAACTTTGTAAAAACATTTAAGTACAATTGCCATTAGCCCAAACCAAAATAAGTTGTTTCTCTTTTACCTTGCATTAAAAAAAATTGAGCATTCAAAATGGCAGATCACTGCATATGTTCTGGGCCATGGGACAAGGATGAGCTGCTGGGCCCCTATCAGCCCGTGTTCCTCCCCCTCTCTCTGTGCATCGTGTGCAGTATTCTTACGCTGGAATATTGTAATCTTCTCTCTAAGTTTTCTTTGTGGTGATATGAGTTTTTGCAAGTACATTAAGGAACATACACCATGTAAGCACAGTATACTGTCTGAAAATAACATGAGGGCCAGAGGGCCTCAAGATCAGATAATAAGAAAGAACACACCACATTAGAAACAGGAAGAAATACGTAGCTTGCCTGGCTGTGACAAATGGTAACAAAATCCACCAATCCGAATGGATCTATTTTGTTTCTTCACTCCATACAAAAACCAATGTGTAAAAGGGCAATTTCTTCTTTTACAAAATGGTATTATTGGAGTATTCCTTTAAGGCCTTTATTGTGTCAGCTTAGTTTCGCATGTTCCCAGATTCCCAAACAAAATCACAATTAACAAAACAGTGGGCCCGAGGGCAGCTGGAAAAGCAACCATGTTCACATCCACTCCATTCTTGTTGCTGGTATTGTTTTACTGTAACAGTAAGAATAATAGTGCTAGATATGTCACATTGTATAACTACAGTAGTTATCACAGTCTGTTGTTAGCATTTCATTTATTATAGTTATAGTAGTTATAGTAACCACCACTTTTATCTTTATATGTTAAACCTTTAGACTCATTTAGCTGATTGCTAAGGCGTCACAGCCTTGTGTTAGTACTCAGTGCCCCACACCTATGAATATGGCTTTTACTACTGACTAAAAAATAACTGCAATTGAAATTCAAACACTGAACAGATGAAGTACAATTCAAGTCATGCACTCACTGGGGGGTAAAGGCAGTTGGTTTGTTGTCTCAAACTCTGGTATGGTAACTTAAAACTGAAAGAGAAATTGGCAGAGGAGCTAAATCTGTTTGTCACATAACACACACACACACACACACACACACACACACTTAACATTATCATCCTTGTCATCTTTCTGTTGAAATCAAACAGAAAGGCACGCGGTGCTCAGGAGTTGATGGAGTTGTTCATAAGATGGTAACGATATTTGGTGATTATCCAACACAATTCTCTTCCAAGTAAAAGGGCAAGAGGGCTTGGCTAGGATATGTACACTTTTAAATGGAAATGTTTCCGTTTGATAAAAAATGTACCTTTTTATCCTTTACCCAGAAATCTTTTACTAATCCACTAAGGAGATACTTGACTGAGTGAATGATATGACATGTGATACATTAAATATGAGAATGTGACAAGTCATTTGGCGATTAGACCCTATCATGACAATGTGGCATTTAACGGGGGTGGTAATACAGAAGCATAGAAATCACCCCCATGGAGTCTATAGGCACTGGCGGTGGTGGTGACAAAGGGATGAAGAAAATTCTGAGGATCTGAATGTGATTAAGGGAAGACTTCTGCTGAGCTTGAACTGGACCTGAATCGGATCAGGAGGTGAATGGGGTTGGGGAGGGCAGCAGCGATTTGTGCCAAAATGACAGCTGGCTGCAGAGGAGAGAACAGATTTGAAATATCATAGTGATTTCATGATTGGCTGGGCTGATTGTAGTAAAACCTGATTGGAAAACAAGGGGAGAATGCCCATAGTCAGTTAGAGACAGGAAGAAAGTGTGTAGGAGAGAGAGAGAGTGACAGAGTTGCCAATGAGTGACACATAAAGATAGTCTTCCTGGTTGAACTTAAGTTGAGCTTCATTAAAATTTTACTATGTAGTCTTGCTCAATGTAAAAAGTTTTACATAAAAACAAGTACTTTTTAAAACTTCCCTCCTACTCTTTTACATATTTACTGAATTATTTTTAAGTAGTTTTCTCATATGGCTAAGTGACCACAGTTGGCAAAGATCAATTGTTTTTCTGGGACTGCACAACACATGGCATACCTCTTGCACAACACTTACACAAACACAATTTCTGAAGGGCTACTATTAGTGTAGCATGGAGACCATGATGTTACTAAATTGCCTTGATATGTGAACTTGTTGTAGCCTACTTACTTGGTGTTTTGGTGCACTGAAAACTTATCTTATGTCCATTTTTATTTTCTCTGTAATTTTATCTGGCCAACAACACAAAGCCACAGTTGTTTAAATATGAGTTAAGTTCATAGGTTGACCACGAGGTCAATTATCAAATTACCTTGCATCCTCCACATAGTATTTAACGTTTCGTTGGGGACAGAGGATGCCTCTTACTTAGATATTCAACTGCAGCAAGCCAACTGATCTGCCACTTTACATCATATTGAGCAAAACCCAACACAACGTCTACAATAATAGCTTAATCAGTTCACACATGGGCCTATCGCCATGATACTTGTAGTGGGTGACTTACTATCCAACAAGCTATTAAAAAGATACCAAACAAGCTAGGTAATAATGGCTAACATAGCGAACTCAGAGAAATACATTGTTAAATAAGAATAGAAAGAATAAAATAGCCTTGCCGCTTGTTCTACCACTGCTGAAGCCATTCAAACTTTGTTCTCTCCCAGTTCTCTCCCAACAGACTTTTGTGTGAAGTTGACATAAAGGGGGAAAGCAGGCAGTGGACCAAACCACAGAGGAGATGTTATCTGGTATTACGTTAA